GATCACACCCTGTTCAAGCATGTCGTCAACCAACTTCCGACATGTTTCTCGCGAGCTCCAAGGCAATCTCCTTGCGGGCTCATAAACTGGACCATCACAGCTAGTCCTAATCTCGTGTTTCAACACGTCTGTCCGACCCAGCTCGGACATGTTCATAGCGAATACACATCTGTACTGCTCGACCAAGGTTCTGAGCCTAGCCAACTGCTCGGCCTCAACCACAGGCTGCTCGCTGTTGCCTGTATCAGGTGGGGAGCATGCCTCCCGGTTACCCTCCTGAGAGCAACAGCCATCAGGCATCGTACCACGACCACGCTGGTCAACGTCGGCCTCGTGTACTGCCTCATCATCCCTCATCGCGCAATGGTGTGACCGACCATCGTCATCACCACCACCGGTTTCAAGCAGCCTCTTCCCGCCTGGAGAGCGCTTCCCTGCGCCGGGACCACCATCGGGGTTCCCCACTCGCAGTACAGACCACAAGTCCTGGTTAGCCCCGTAGCTACACCAGTCATTCGCCTCGTCCAACTCTTCACTACCGTCCACCACAGTTGCAACTGCACACAGCTTGCCAATCTGGGCTCTCTTGGGCAGAGTGATTTGTTCCGCCGTGCAATTCATCAATCGCACGGGAACACGATTTTCTTGTGGCCGCACAACACACTTTGCCACCAAGAGACCAGGGTCGCTCGCAGTCCCACAATCTGGTTCCGTGAACCCCAACTCTGGCATCCCATCGAATGCAAGAGTGTCCACCACAGCCGCCACGGTCATCTCGTGGTGTGGTGGGAGAACAATCTTCTCCTGCAAGCGGAGCGGAGCCTCATCTGCACCACCCCCTCGCCTTTCTTCGACCTTGAAACATAGCTTGCCATTCGTAGAGGTTATGTTACAGGGAATGCTGGACAGCACATCACGTCCCAGCACACATGGAAATCGTAGCCCATCGACTACCCGCATTTCCGGCGAACAAACACATCCTTGAACGCCAAGGTGAACAACCACTTTTCCGTTCACCACCAGAGGCTTACCATCTGCCCCGCAAAACTTCAACCCAGGCGCATCCGCCGTGAGTCGATCTGGATCGTAGCCCAGCTTCCTGGCTAGCCTGATCCGCAAATACTAAGCTTACAGCCGCTCCAGTATCTACCAGCATCTCCACTGACAACCCATCGATTGTCCCCGTGGTCAACATCCCCGTTCCAGAGTCGCATCCGACCATAGGAATGGATTGTTCGACAGCACGCTCATCAGGTGCTGCCGGATCACACTCTCGACCCAAAGAAATGGTCTGACCAGGCGCGTGGGCACAGCGTATTCAACCGCTGTAACCCTGACCGCCGTGTGAACATGCCAAGCGACCACCGTCGCATCAGGTTTCCCGATCCCACGCCTGACTCGCGACATCTCGCGGAGCCTCGTGCGCCATCCGGATTCCCGTTAATCACACATTTAGCCAAGCCGACCAGTGCAAGCCGCATCATGCATGCCTCTCAACATCATGCCATGATTCCTCGCGCACAAGGCCGCCAATAGTTCACCCTAATCACTCCGGCTGGCATCCCAGCCTGAGGACTAGACCAAACAGACTAGAGAGATACGACACATCCATACCCCTCCTTACGAACTGTATGCCCATCATGCAGCATGCTATTCTCATCACAAAAGGCAGCTCAGTCATCACTGCGCCATGCCTATCGAGCACAACAGAGAACAAACCTCTTTATTCCCTGGTGGAGGCCAGTTCCCGCACCCACAACAACACAACCAGTAGTGAGGCAGGATACATTGAACATCTTCAATATACTTATGCTGCGCTTGCACCGTCTACAAGCGCCTGGCCGAGATCTTTGTGCCTCTTCTAGGAATGGTGAACTTTGTTGCCTCGTTCTTGCCAGCCATCCTGGTCACAGCACCACTTGTGATAACTCGCTCGGACAGCGTTCCGGTTAGTCTCACCCATGGCTGTGTCGTCTCTAACCCTCGGAACGTTTTGCGACAAGTATAGTCACGGCTGGCATAACGCAACTTCACCCAGTCCTAACCCAACACACACATAACCTACTGATCTCGTCAGAGCAGAGAATATGTTCCTGTTTGGAAGAAGAGCACCGAAAGAACCTCTCGCTAAAAGCAACAGCCTGCTATGATATAACACATTGTAGAAAACAGCAAGCAGGGGCAGTAGCGATAGTACTTGCTAAACATGCAGCTAAACTGCTACTTTGTCCTCTGCGCGGAACGGCGATCGGACACGCACACGCACACACATACAAGCACAGGCCTGCGTGATCTACATGTAGAAGCGGCGGTCATCATGATAACATAAATATGCAAAGTGTGAAAGAGTATTAGAAAGGGGCGAGACTAGACCCGGCGTCTAGACTGCAATAACCTGATTAAAAGCATTGCCAACCAAGTGGTCAAGTAGGTGCACTCACACTCATCCACACCTCGCGTACTACTACTATATTGCGAATTCATAATTACATTGTATTGCACTTTCTACCGCAAGTGCACAGTCGTGCGCTTCATCTATTGAAAGCAGCCAAACCTATCATCAAGAGTACATAACTGTTCCAACTACGGAAGACATAGTGTGTCCACGTTCTACGCACAGTAGCTACCAGAAGTAAGTTACAAGTTACAAGCCCTCACTCCCGGGCTATGACACATGTATGGGCCAATCGCGGTCATCCATACTTTTATAAGAACGAAATGGCGCTTTTAGTGACATTTTGCATACAAATCGCCATCTAGTAGGGCGCAGTCACCCAGTTTCGGTGGAAGTGCGCGAGTTCGATTGGGATTCAAGTAGGAAGGGAGCGTCTCAGCTTCCTCGGACCACGACCATTCGACTCAGCACCCCGAAGACTACAACTGGTGAAATTTTAATTTTTGCCCCTTTAAAGGGGAAGTATACCCTAAAATCAAATTTTCACCAGTTGTAGTCTTCGGGGTGCTGCGTCGAATGGTCTTGGTCCGAGGAAGCTGAGACGCTCCCTTCCTACTTGAATCCCAATCGAACTCGCGCACTTCCACCGAAACTGGGTGACTGCGCCCTACTAGATGGGGATTTGTATGCAAAATGTCACTAAAAGCGCCATTTCGTTCTTATAAAAGCACGGATGACCGCGATTGGCCCATATGTTGTAGTCTTTTGGACGCTGAGTCGACTGGTTTTGGTCCGGAAAGGCTGCGATGCAGCGTTCCTCCTTTATTCCCAATCGAACATGGTTGAACAAGCGGTCACGTGCTCCTGCGTACACCAGTCAGCTGGTCACCGTGCCTGCAGGGTACAACTTACTAGCCTGTTTGACCTTTTTTGGGTGCAGTCCTGTCACTCGAGTTGAACTCGAGTTGAACCTTGGTGTGAAAGTTGTCGCCTGCTGGCGCGGTGACCAGGTGATTTGGGCACCCAGGAGCACGTGACCGCTTGTTCAACCATGTTCGATTGGGAATAAAGGAGGAACGCTGCATCGCAGCCTTTTCGGACCAAAACCAGTCGACTCAGCGTCCAAAAGACTACAACATATGGGTCAATCGCGGTCATCCGTGCTTTTATAAGAACGAAATGGCGCTTTTAGTGACATTTTGCATACAAATCCCCATCTCGTGGGGCGCAGTCACCCAGTTTCGGTGGAAGTGCGCGAGTTCGATTGGGATTCAAGTAGGAAGGGAGCGTCGCAGCTTCCTCGGACCAAGACCATTCGACTCAGCACCCAGAAGACTACAACTGGTGAAAATTTGATTTTAGGGTATACTTCCCCTTTAAAGGTTTATTTTTATGGCTAGCCAGGATCTAGGCTTGGACTTGGAGTCGTGATTTTTTCTTTTTCGTTATGTTTGTCTTTTGTTCTTTTTTCCTTTTTCTCTCGTACTTCTTCTTCTTTTGTCCTTTTTCCCTTTCTCTTTTTCTTTTTGAGTATTTGCAGTCTGTGTTTTCTGTGTTTTTCTCTTTTTCGTGGAGGCTTGCTTGTTGTGTATCCTTGGCTTTTGGCCGTTACTTTATCGCCATCATCAGTATAGATGTTGGTAGTAGTGAGTGACAGTGTCGGTAGTACGGACTTGGCTGATGCCGTTAGTAGTAGCAAAGCATTCGGCATCATCCTTCTTGGCTTCAGCGCCAACGCCGAACGGCTTCATCCGCTCCACTGCCCAATGACGAAGAAGACACGGTTTCTAGCCTGGCGGTCAGAGCGCAGCCGCACTACCCTAGCACCGGACCCACTCAGCCGTAGACGTCTAGACTGAATCCTTCAAAGACAAGACAGTGTTCCCTATCATCACGGTGGCAGCTGGGCAAGAGTTATTATTAGGCATGTACATCTACATCAGGGAGTCGCAAAATAAGGTGTTGTTTTTGATTTTAGTTGGATTCGATGACCAAAACGGACAAATGATAATGTATCCAATAACAATGGGGTCAATCCTTGATGCACATGTACATGTACATACTAATGTAGTTGCAGTGTTGTAGCCAGCTTGGCTTGAAGAGCGCTAGCGCTATAGCGGTCCCTGGCTTAGTTCTCGCAACACTCCTTCATGATACGGAGTGCATTACAGCTGGGAAGGTGATGGCCCACTGGAATATTCGCTGCACTGGTTCATGGTAGATCTACTGTTGTCTGGAGCAATGAACCAGGACAGTAGTCTACTCTTAGATCACGGTACATGCACACTCATGCACGCAAACACACACACACACACACACACACACACACACACAGTGACACACAAACACACACACACACACACACACACCACGCAATACACACAAGCCACACAAGACAAGACAGAACGATTCCATTCCGCTCTCGCCAGGATAGTGAAGGCAAAAACACAGATGCATCTTTGTCCACATCCAGTGGCAACATCTGCTGTCCGAGAAAGGGCCATGCTCAGCTATTATCATCACACCGCGGCACATACAAACGAATGCAACTATCCGTGCACACACAGCCACAAGACGTTCTCAGGCACATCCATCACCGCACACGTCTTTTTAAATGTCAATCATGATTGTTTAAAAAATATGATTCGAAAAGGAAAAAAAGAAGGAAAACTCCTACTAGTAGTAGTTCATTCAATGAATACAAGGATCTAAATTTGGAACTTGAATAGGGAAAAAAACATCTTGCATCATCTTGCATGAGCGTACATGTGCATGTGCAGTGTGTGGCAAAGGCACAAACAGGCATACAATACTATGAATGCGGCGGCGAGGCAGACTTGGAAAAGCAAGCTGAGCGAAGGAAAGCAGGCAACCGCGACTGGCGAAAAAGTGAACAGCATCAAAAAAAAGTGAACAGAAAGCCGCGGTGGCAAGCCATGCATGAGAAACTGCGGCAAACAGTACATTGGGTCCTCTAGGGAGAGTTCTTGAAAAAGTCCTTCTAAAAAATATTTCAAAAAAGCTAGCAAACGAGGCATTGGAATACATTGTGCACGTCAAAAATTGGCACTTGACCACAGAGCACACTGCTTTAAGTGGGGCAAGACAATGATATTAAAAGAAGAAAGCCAGCTGAAACTTGAAATATGTTGCCAACGTAGGGCTATGCAAGGCCAGACAATGCCAGGCAGGGCAACACAAGGCAGAACACTGCAATGCAGAAAAACTGGGAAGCTACTTCGAGTACACAGCACACTGCAGAACAACACAGCGTAAGAAGATCGTCCACCAGTCAAGGCAAGACACACATGCAGAGCTGCAATCGCAGAAAGTCCAAATGCCAAAGCACAGCAAACGTGTAACGCAGTCGAATCGAAGAAAAGTAAAACACACTGCAGTTCAGGTTGAGTCTCTCAATAAAGAATCATGGGCAGAATGAGTGAAGTCAACAAAATGCAGCATGAAAGTAAGAAAAACATGCAGAGACCGCTTTCAAAACAAATTCATGAAATAGCATACTGGAGTCTTGTTTGGAAGAATATTGTTGCAAGCTCACTGGCTAGGTGCAAGCTGGTGAAAGTGATTGTGACGCTGCGGTATGGCAAACAGACGGTGTGGTCAGCAACCTGGGACAGAGGCAACAAAAGCGGTTCACATCCATTCCGCAACACGCACACCCACACACAAACAAACACACACACACACACACACACACACACACACATACACACACACACACACACACACACACATGTACACATGCATGTACGGACACATACAACCACAGAAACGTCACACGTGATCTTCAACAACATGTGGAGGCAAGTACGTGTGGATGTACATGCGTACCGACACCTCAGACTCAGACATGCCCATCGCGGAAGCGATGATAGCAAACAAGCTATGTTAGACAAAGCAACATGTGCTGAGATTGCACCATTCAACAGCTTGCAAGGCTGATGAATTGACCACCACTAATTTTAGCCTGGTCGACACCACACGGCTGATTGAAGAGTCGATTTCCAATCGTACACGCCTACAAGCACATGCACACAATCTCACGCACTCGTATGTGCATGCACGCTAACAGTGAAAATCCCCTGGCGTCAAGTGTCTGTTGCATCCAGATACTACGCAATCCGCTCTGCCTGCAAGACTAAGTGCACATCTCAAGTGAATCAGAAATGACACGGAGAACCCAAATTTGGCACCCACAAACAACATTTCTGTTGGGCAGGTCACGCCTCAGTATTCTGTACTCAGGAATGTTAGACATAAATGCTACATTTCACCAGCCCTAAAATGTATCAATATGTGAATACAAAATGACGGCTTTGAGCAGCAAAGCCAAGTTAGCCCACGCATGCACGTGTTTTGTCACGGTTCGTCACGCGGCACATGAATAAAAAATATTTTTTTCCGAAAATGGTGGATGAAAAAATAAATCTTGCGTGGCCGCTTTGCCCTGCCTCGTGTCCAGGTGTCAGCAAAGCAACTTCCTTGTCAACAATTTCTGTCATCCAGTTAGCCAAAGTGACTCAAGGTTGTGTTTTCTCCGTTTTCTCCTTTGTCTCTCCGCCAAGCTGTACAAGAGTATTAGTTGTGCTAGTCTGCGTAGACAAGCGCTGACTCGTGTGAGCTGGAAGCGCTTGAAAATTCACAACTTCAAACAGCGATCGATCGCGCTTGGTTGAAATATTTATTTGTTGCGTGGGCAGATAGAGTAGTGAATTTCCTGAAGTTCATGAGGCCAAGCAAGAACTACTCGAAGCAGAGGACCAGTTATTTAGGCCTCGACATGGCGAGTGGCGTTGACGCCAACTCAGAAATGGCTGTGATTACCTGTCAAAAAATCTAGCCAAAGAAGTAGACAAGGAGCAGAGGCATTTACATGGACAACGGACGATGGTGGTTTGCAACATGCTACTACTGCTGGAGCGACGTTGAGTGCAGGGACGATCGTTGATCATCTACGTATCAGGTGTGGTTGTCAAACGCTTGTGGCCTTTGATGTGGATATGAAGATTTTATGCCCACTGTGCGTTCGTTATGCACCACATCTGCTGTGCACGTGGCATTACCCTATCTCAGGGAGAAATCATCAACCCAGTCATTCTGGGTAAAACTATTCCTGATAGCTGTGCAGGCCAGCACAAGAACCAGTACGCTGCACTTAACAAGGTGCTTATGTTCGTGTGCTTGATGGTCAATGGAATGAGTTCAACTGAAAGCAACGGTTTCGCAGGTCTTCGACAACCTCAGCAAGGTGGTCGGCCAGCAACAGTGGTGACGGTACTTGGCATAGAAGTCGACAGCGAGGACCAGGTGATGCGGCTACCTGACAAGAAGTTATTTGCCTTTCTAGCGGCTTTGAGTGAGTAGTCCACGCGCACTAGCTACACAACGCGGAAACTGCTGTCGCTGATCGGAACCTTGTCCTTGCCGCAAAGGTGGTTCCTCCTGGCAGGACCTTCATCTGGCGGCAACTCCTGGATCTTAGCTGGACAACTCTCTCAGTCTCTTCAGTCAGTAGTCAACATCAACACAAAAGCTCACTTGGACATCGAATGGTCGCGCTCCTTTGTCGCAAACTGGAATGGCCAATCCTTCTTCTACGATGTCGAGTTTTCAAAGTCCCCTGACCTTGAGCTATTCACGGATGCCTCTGATGTTGGCTTCTGCGGTTTCTATCAAGGACAATCGTTTTTGGGGCAACGGGCCGCTGAGATGCAGCAGGAACCTATTGTGATTACTCGCTTCCGAGAACTGGCTTCCACAGCCAACCAGTGCCTGGTGCCAACTCCTCCGCTGAACTCGCCGCTCTGATTGCTGCCAGCAATGATCTCATGAGCGACTCAGACCTTTAAGCCCGGTATTTGCGCACACATAATCTGATGTACCCAGTTTCGGCTATGGCCGAGTTCCGGTCCCTGACCGCTACTGCCGGCAGCTCACGGCCAGTGTTTGTGTTCGTCGACGGCGGCTACTTCTCCCGAGTTTTCTCGACTAGGATCCTCAACTGCAACCGGGTGAGCTCCCATTCTGTGCGCATTGGCGGGGCCACACTCATGGCTCACCGGAGTACAAGTGTCTGTGAAGCAGCCATATGCCGTGCAGACTGCTGGCGAAGTGCAGCATCCGATCACTATGTCAGGCGTGCAGCCGGTATACCCTCTGTGCAATGGCTAGCAGCAAAGACTGGAACAGCCCACGCCCATGTGGTGTTGAGAACAGAAGTGAGGTACATTTGTAGTGTTGTACAGTGTTGTGCCTTCCGCTTGTTGTGCAGTCCTTGTGCCGGTGTGGCTCTGTGGGTATCAATTAGGGGTTTGCCATGGTTACTTGCAGGAAGTTATGCTAATGAGCGATGCCGTGAGAAATGCTTGGTCGTAAACACTGGTTTTTGGGAGGGTCAAATGCATTTGCCTCTCAGTGTTGTGCTGTACTGTCTCAGTGTTGTGACACCTGTATGTTGTTGTGTGGTTGACCCGCCGGTTTGAGGCATGGGTGGTCAACTGTGTATGTTGTATCGGTGTGTTCCCGTTTGAAGTTGCCGGGCCACCATGTGGTTGACCCGCCGAAAATGGAGGCATGGGTGGTCAACTGTGTCTATTGTATCGGTGTGTTCCCGTTTGAAGTTGCCGGGCCACCATGTGGTTGACCCGCCGAAAATGGAGGCATGGGTGGTCAACTGTGTCTATTGTATCGGTGTGTTCCCGTTTGAAGTTGCCGGGCCACCATGTGGTTGACCCGCCGAAAATGGAGGCATGGGTGGTCAACTGTGTATGTTGTATCGGTGTGTTCCCGTTTGAAGTTGCCGGGCCACCATGTGGTTGACCCGCCGAAAATGGAGGCATGGGTGGTCAACCGTGTATGTGTATCATTGAAGTTGCAATACGTACATTGCTGTGACTCGCCCGATTGCTGTTGCCGGGCACCTACGCATTTATTTGCCTACTTGTGAAGAGATATCTCTTCTGGTTTATTGCATAATTCTTGGCTCAATGTTATCCACGGTGTCGCTCGATGCAAAGTCTCGTAAATATTTATCAGACAAAATTGAAGAAAAAAACTATGGCAAACCCCACTTCCTTGTATTCTATCTGTTTTGGTGTACATGTGTCCACGTTTTGTACGTTTGGCACGCACATGCGTGCGTGTGTATGTGAGAGTGTGTCTGGATAAATGTGCATATTGATGTTTTGGTTGTTTTAAGTTTTATTGTGTGTATGCGTGCATGCATGTGGGTTAAATGACGGCTTTGAGCAGCAAAGCCAAGTTAGCCCACGCATGCACGTGTTTTGTCACGGTTCGTCACGCGGCACATGAATAAAAAATATTTTTTTCCGAAAATGGTGGATGAAAAAATAAATCTTGCGTGGCCGCTTTGCCCTGCCTCGTGTCCAGGTGTCAGCAAAGCAACTTCCTTGTCAACAATTTCTGTCATCCAGTTAGCCAAAGTGACTCAAGGTTGTGTTTTCTCCCCTCCCTCCCTCCCTTTAGACATGACACGTCGGTATCTTGTGCCACATGACGAGGCCCCAAGGAGGGTCAAATGCATTTGCCTCTCAGTGTTGTGCTGTACTGTCTCAGTGTTGTGACACCTGTATGTTATTGTGTGGTTGACCCGCCGGTTTGAGGCATGGGTGGTCAACTGTGTATGTTGTATCGGTGTGTTCCCGTTTGAAGTTGCCGGGCCACCATGTGGTTGACCCGCCGAAAATGGAGGCATGGGTGGTCAACTGTGTCTATTGTATCAGTGTGTTCCCGTTTGAAGTTGCCGGGCCACCATGTGGTTGACCCGCCGAAAATGGAGGCATGGGTGGTCAACTGTGTCTATTGTATCGGTGTGTTCCCGTTTGAAGTTGCCGGGCCACCATGTGGTTGACCCGCCGAAAATGGAGGCATGGGTGGTCAACTGTGTATGTTGTATCGGTGTGTTCCCGTTTGAAGTTGCCGGGCCACCATGTGGTTGACCCGCCGAAAATGGAGGCATGGGTGGTCAACCGTGTATGTGTATCATTGAAGCTGCAATACGTACATTGCTGTGACTCGCCCGATTGCTGTTGCCGGGCACCTACGCATTTATTTGCCTACTTGTGAAGAGATATCTCTTCTGGTTTATTGCATAATTCTTGGCTCAATGTTATCCACGGTGTCGCTCGATGCAAAGTCTCGTAAATATTTATCAGACAAAATTGAAGAAAAAAACTATGGCAAACCCCACTTCCTTGTATTCTATCTGTTTTGGTGTACATGTGTCCACGTTTTGTACGTTTGGCACGCACATGCGTGCGTGTGTATGTGAGAGTGTGTCTGGATAAATGTGCATATTGATGTTTTGGTTGTTTTAAGTTTTATTGTGTGTATGCGTGCATGCATGTGGGTTAATAGAGGTTTGGCAAACTGACGGGAAAGTGTTCAATGCACGGAGAGTATTCACATAAGAAAGAGACAGAGGTTCGATCAGAATTCGTCGTAGCTTAACGTCTCATCGACTTTCATGCTTGTACGCAATCATCAGACAACAAGTGAATCCATAGTTTTCCTGAACAACCAAGATTGCTCTTACCTGCGGAAGGTTAGGATGTGAACGTGAGCTCCACAAGTTGACTGCCGTCTAGTATGTCGGTCAGCGGCGATGACAGCTCCTCTTCGCCAAGCTCTATGTCTTCGCCGTCCACAGACAGGGCAGTGCAGGTATGACCAGGTCTCAGATGTTCCGTTGCCAATCCAATCAGGTCGGAGAACACGGCCGTCATAGAAATTTGAAGCTGAACAATGCTAGCTGCATCACCAAGCAACTGCACTTTCACACTCAGCGTATTAGTGGTACTGCCAGCCGCGAGAGTAGTCGGGGCGATGATTTCAAATGTCTCTTCAGAAAGTGACAGAGTGTTGCTGGGCAGTCGAATGAAAGATGCCTCGGCAGGTTGCAAGCGGTGCACACTAGAAAGAGCTGGCGCTTCGATGTAGAAATTAGACGTGTAGCCACTTGTCAACAGGCTGCTGATCATGGTGTCTTCATTTCCCTCTCCGTCATCTCCATCGTCATCGCTCTCTATCTCAATGTGCTCCGGTTGCTCGGAATCCAGGGACTGAGCGTAAAGTGAGTGCTGCTCAGATGGGTTCAGACCCAGGCTCTCGCAGAGACTGCTGTAGAACTTAGAGATGGAGGTTTGCGCAGGCACATGCACTTCCTGTACAGTGTCCGGGTCATGCAACAGAGCTATCCTCACTGGGATTGTGTCATCTGTCTGTCCGACACTAGCATCGGCCATAGCTAGCTGCAGGCCATCAGACATTGCCATACCAGTCGCAGCAGCATTTTGCGGCACAGATAGCGACACATCGCATTCCAATGGATGAGACGATGTGCCCAATGTCTCAACGCCAGGCAAGTCGTGATCCTGCTTGAGTTGCGTTAAAAACTCGAGCATGCTCATGGCAGTTGTTGCTGTTGTCTGGGTGTTTATTAAGCTCTTCTGCTCCACCAGCAGAGAACATAGGGAACTTTCGGAAGAAGCAATTTGAGCTGCTAGCTTCAACAGTTCACCAGTTGCCACTGCCATGGGCACTGCAAACAAACCAAACTGCTCACTTGGGAACTTCAGCCGAACAACACAACAATCGGCATAGTCGAGCACGCCAATTCTTACAACAGTCCCGTCATCCTCTCGTGGCAGGCGTGCAAGAGGCATGGCACCTGGAAGCCATATTCCACTGTCTGAAGCGACTCCAACAGGTCTCGATTGCTGGAAGTAGTGTGTGAGTTCCAGCAAATGTGACGCCTTACCAAGCAGATGCTGCGCAGTGATGCTGTCCGCAGCTACCAATGTCAGGGCCTTGCTATCAGCTTGTTGCTCATGATCCTGTGCACGGATAGTCACAGTAAACATGTCCCGTCTTGTCTGTAAGGCTAGGTGAAGTGCAGGCTGAGGCAGCAGTGGGAGACTGGGTTCCAGTAGGGAGCTCTCTAGTAGCTCACACATAGTAGACGTGTCAATCAGAGAGGCCAACGCTTCCACTTCGGCAGTCAGTCTCAGCTGGCGAGACAGTTCCTTGACCAGATCTTTAACCGTGCGTTGGTGGACATCCACGGTTATGCTTGTCCTCAGCATTTGAAAGACACTCACATCAACGACAACATTGTGCGGTGGCGCTGTTGCAACAAGCAGTGACATGCGGCACTCGTGGTTAGCAGGGGAGATACTCTGGGTAGTCGTGTACTGGTGTAAGATGGACATATCGGGTACCACCTGCTCAATCCCATCGCTAGGCGTCCAGGTCAGCATACTGTGAGGATCGCCCACAGAAAACCAGTCGTGCAGCTCTCGATGAAGCAGCTCAACACGTGTACACTTCACAAGCTCCAGAGTGACCTGACGCTGTCCGCACACCACTGTCGTGTCGCACATTGCACCAGCATCAAGGACAAACATGACCTGAGCTTCAGTGCAGTCTGCAGGCAAGCTAGACAGAGGTGGGTAGAAAGCAGAGTTGGCACGATCCATCAGACTGCTGGCAAGGTAATCCTCTACTGCAGAGTGGAGCACACTTGATAGTGGCGCGCTGATACCAACCACATCGGAGAAAACAGCTACTAACTGACTACTTCCAGTGTGTAAGTGGAGTGCAGTCTCCTTGTGCGACTGGAGTAGACCTTGAAGTGACTCGTCAGTAAACACGACACCGTCACTGCTACATAGAATTGCACGGATGGGCGAGGTGAAGCCGAATAGACGCAGTGCGGTCGTGCACAGCAGGGATAGAGAAGCGATATTCTCAAACTGTGCTTGCATGGTGCGCACCTGTGCGCTGCTGTCCGCAGCAGCTCCATGCAGGTGGAAGGTGACCTCGATGGTGTTCTCCGCCTTGACCACATAGTAGACACACAGATTGGTGGTGACGTGCTTGGCAGGATCCTCAGTGTCCTTCAGCACATACCCATTACAGTCGGCAATCAGGACCGTGCTTTCTTCTACCTCAAACGTCTTGCAGGCTTTCTGCAGAACCTTGCCACGAACACCGCCGTACTTGACGGGCTCCTGTTCCGAAGTGGAGTCACCACGGAGCACCAGCTGGCGGCGTGAGATTCCACGCGGGGCGTTGGTGATGGCAGAACACGGCATGGTTAGCGGTAGCTCTTGTGTTGAAAGTGAGAGTCGGGGCGTGTCAGACTGGGCCAGTGCCTGAACGTTCAGCTTCTTGCTCAGCTCCTGGTTGACTACTGTTGACTGTGGTTCTAGCTGCTCTTGTGTGTCACTCACATTGCCCCTGCTTGGCTGTAACACAACAATGCTCTCATCAAAGTCGTCGTCATCAGAGTTTGGCAGAATGTAAATGCTGCTTGTGTTACTTTCACCGGTGCCTTCTGCAGTAGGATCAAGACCATCACGGTGCAATGCTACATTCTCTTCAAGGGCAGGCATTCTTGCGCTGGGCACTGACGGTGCTCTTCTTACTTCCGACTGCGGGGCAGGTCCTGGCGATGTAGAGTGCGTCGGCGAGTAAGGACGTACTGTTGATCTCTCCACTTGACTATCTTGCCCAGTTTGCCTCGAGTGGTCTTGCTCAATTGCAGTAGAGACAACAGCAGTGCCACCGCTGCCAACATCTGTACTGGGTGCACCGCTAGTGCTGGTGACTTGTCCTGGAGGTAACTTTCTTTGCCTAGCTCGTGGCACGGGGACTGGGCGCTGCGAGGCAGCGGATGCTGCTTGTCCGCTGTCGGCAAAGCTTGCGTACATCATGTCTGAAGATTGCTGCTGATGCTGACGCTGCTGTTGCTGGACTGGCAGCGCACTGTCATGTGATTGTGAGAGCACGTCTATGCTGCTTTGCCACATGGGCTGCTGCCGCTGCTGTACACCGCCGGGAACATGCTCCTGTGATTCATGACCGATATTATGTGGCAACTGACGTGCAGTCGGTGGCTGCCGAGGTGGTGGCTGTTGCAATGCCGGTGATGGCTGCCTCTGTGCAATGGTCGGTGGAGGTGATTGCGTCCGCGGCGATAAGCTGGCCGAACGGAATCCATCACCACTACCAGAAGACGACAGACGTCCCGCCGGTGGGGCATTTCTCAATGACGGAGGTCGGGGTCGTCGCTGCGGCTGCTGTTGTGGGTGTACATTCTCTGGATACTGGTCAAGCGGCTGTTGTGTGTTTTCAACTGGATGAGGCCCTTCTAATTCATTGTTCACCATTACAAATCCTTCATCCTCATGATCATCATCACTACTACTATCAATACCTATTATCGGATCAGCAGCATCATCCTCTCTTGCATTGCCAGCACCCGGGGGGAGTTCTTCATCACCTTGTCTGTCCAAGAAATTCCTAGCCTCTGGCAATGAGTCAAAGTCTTCATACTGATCGTGTGACGGGGACTCCATGCCTTCCTGTTCTTGGCTGGATATGCTCAAACCCTCCAGCTCATCAAATTCATTCCACGAGTAGTCAACCTGAGCCTCGACTTGGAGCCACCCGGGAGCTTTGGGCACTTCTCCGTCCCATTCCAGCCACACTGCGCGTTCTTGTCGTCTCTCAACTTGCTTCTCTCGTGCCGTGCAGCCGTGCCTCACCAGCTTTGCCATCACTTCCTTCAGGTGCTGTCCACGAACATCGTCCGGCAGCCGAGAGAGAACATCTCCCGCATCCAGGACACCAAGCACATCCAGTGTTTCCTTCAGGGAATTGCCCGGGTAGTTCTGCACATGGGGCACAGAGTCCTGAAGAACACTAAGAGCTTCATCAGCAATATCAATGATGCTCAGCAGAGCTAGCTCGCCCAACTGCTCGTAGAAGTAGTCGTCCAGTGCCTTTTCTACCTTCTCATCAAGGCTACTCTCCATTTTCTCCTTGAGCAAGTGTGGAATGCGCATGTAGAGATACTCATGCCCCGTAAGGTGCTCTTTGACAGCTGTGTACAGATCAACAATGTGGCACATCCGCACACTGTCTTGATTCGAGATGGCAGAGAGTGACTGCTTCATCGCTGGCATTTGCTGCTGTTCAAGGAAGTCGTCCAGCCTCATCTGCCCGATTCTCTCCATTTCTGCATGCACGCCTTCGCGCGACTCCGACGTGGGCTTCAGCATCACGACTTCAGTGGACACTGTCACCAAGTGTTGCAGGACCTTGAGCGACTCTTGATAGTGCTGCCGCTTGAGTTCCTGGCTGATGGCATCACGGCTATGATGGTCCAGCTCTTGATGGAAGATCCTTGTTGGCAGGTCTGCGGCCAGTGGCTCCAAGTACAGTACGCTCTGCTCGGACTGATCTTCACGGAAGCGGAACTGAACACGGAAGTTTGCTAGGTCAACGATGCGCGCACTGTTGACATACTGCTGCACCAGCGACTGCTCGATAGCAGCCAGGTTGAACTTAGACTGCCACACACCATCAGCATCCTGCACCAGTTGACTATGCATCAGGCAAGTCTGTTCCATGTCGTCGCTGGACACGCGCAGAAGACCGGCACCATAGCTGGCCACCTGCAGCATTGAGATTTTATCTTCAAACTGGCCGGCTTGGAGACTGTAGCGCAATGCCTCGTTGCTGCCTTGGACTTTCACCTCCTGGCACTTAACCAAGAACAGGTCTTGGTGGCGGAGAATCTCCTGCATCACCCTGAAGAGAATGTCGCCTTCATCTTCAGCCTGCGTGCTGATCATGTAGTGAATAGGGTTGTCGTCATCCAGAGCCTCATACCTTACGCGCGTGCTACAAGCGCCAGGCTGCAGCGTGCCACCGATTCTGTTGTGGAATTTGTTGAAGCTCTCGAGTGCTTTCTTGAAGAACTTGCGGAGTCGGTCTTGATGCCGCCTGTTCTGGTTCAGCGTGGCAACAGCCTCCGAGAAACTGAATTTCTGTGATTCCGCCTCGGAGACATGACAGGCTAGATAGCGATGGAGGAGCATGTAGAAGTTGGCAATGTCCGTGGCGTAGCGCAGCGACTGGAACGCCTCCAGATTGCCAAGCAGACCGTGCAGGACGGGATGAGCCGCGTCCTGGCTTGTGCTGAGTCTCGCAACAGCACCTTGCACATCCGCCATGCTCAGGCTAGGACGGTGTAGCTTTCTGAAAGCGGCCACCTGATCGCCGTCAGATGTACCGCGCTGCAGTCGCACGCATATCAGATGCAGTGTGTGGTCGACGACTTCCTTCTGGAAGAACGCCTCGGACTCCTGACGCAGACCTACTGTTCTCTCATCGGCCGGGTAGAATGGCTTCAGCTGCTGTGCACTGGACGTGCTTTGAAGATGTAGCAGTCTTTCCAGCGACGAGATCACCATGCCCAGGCCACTGTCCGGGTTTAGTCGACTGTCATCGTGGTACAGGTGATAGTGAAGCTGCACGATGCGGTTCAGACAGAACTGGAGCGCCTGCTGCAGAAAGCTGCCGGCCCTGGAACACTCGGTCTGGACGTCACTCTCCGTCAGCACAGCCTCCAGTGTGTCCGCTGCAGTGTTACTCTGTGTAACGCCGTGCAGACAGAGGCCGGTGAATGTCAGCAGTGCGTTGAGATGCGTACCCAGTGGAGTTAGAGCAACAGGTATTGTTTGCGCGGAGCTAGCCAGATACGTTGGTTTACCATCGTGATCAAACTGGCAGCAGCAGTCAATGCGAACGCCAGTCGGATCCGGATCAATGTAGCCACGGTAATTGACAGCACCAAACAGCAGTGTCTTGTGGAAATCACGAGGTGTGTAGACACAAGTCGTGAGATGATTGCCAGGCTGGCCAGTAGCAAGGATGTACGCCAAGCAGTGGACGATGATGTCTCGTGCGTACTGCAGCTCCGGTGTTGGGCACTTGCCCGCCTTGAATATTGCTTTAAGATCTGGAACTGCAACAGTACATCCACGGCACAGCAACCGAAGGCTGTCACGCAGCAACGGAGTCAATGGCAATGCTTGGCCCAAGGTCCTCACCCTATCCATTTCCTCTTCCATGAAGTAATCACGGTACACCTTCAGGAAAATGAACATGGAGGCGCAGTGGCGGGATTCCATGTTAGGGATGAGCTTGGGTGCATTTGGCCTGCTGTGTTGCGTATACCACTCTTTGATGGCTTTGAAGTTGTTATCGGCTGCCACGCTTGCTTCAAACATGCTAGAGAATTCCTGGTACTTGTCATGCGTGCCTGGCAGCTTGTCATCTTCCCTGGCCGCACTGCTGACTTGCATGAAGACAAATGTATTCTGACTGAAACTGACACTGCCGCCAACCATCTGCAAACACTTCGCCACCCAGTCTCCGTCGAACATTTTGAGAAGTCGGATCAAGGTCTGCGCAGGATGCGTGGACAGAAGACGGGACACCAGGAAGGAAAGCCAGGCATCGCATTTCGCATGCTTGCCACACAAGCTGTTCAGTAAAGGTTTCAGCGCGGCTACCTTACCCTCAACATCGTCAGCCGACTCTGGCCCGCCCGGTGCCTCCACCAGTGAAGCGATTTTCGTGGCTGCTGCACTGAACGCAACCCGTGTGAACGCAGCAAAGCGGAGCATCAGACCAGGACTAAAGTTCTGCGCTGTTATTGTGCTGCCAGCTGGATCAGCATCGGTCACGCGATCGTTGAACTCGATGTGTCGCTTCTCCTGCTGCTGGCACATGAATGAGTAGAACACATGGGCGAGTTGCATGCTAAGGATGCCTTTGATCACCTCGGGTCGTGCGGGCAATGCTGCTTCTGGAAAGTCTTTCGGAATATACAGGCCTGGTATGTAGATGCCGGCACTGAACTCCTGCTCAAGGCATCTCGGCGCCGCATCACGGAGCAGTTCCTTGCTGACTTGATCCTCTAGGAAGATGCACAGTACGTCATCCCGAGCACCCAACTGTTTCTGCTGAGTGGTGATCATCATGAAGAGCTGTGTGGCTGTTTCAAACGTCATCTTCACCTTCTCCTCAGCTGTCTGGTTGATTGCCTGAAGCACGTAAGTTAGCACTTTGCTACTCTCACACTTCAGCAGAGAGTGCAATATCCACTTCAGATATTCCAGATACAGGCTAGTTCGGTCTGCTTCATCACATTTGCCGGATAGGGTGCTGACAATTTGCTTGACAACGTCCAATGGTGTGGTCAGACCTTCTGATTTGAGCCGCGAAATGGTCTCCAAAAGCGCCCGCACTGCATCATCGGTCTTGCATAGCGTGTGCGAGCCAAAGAAGATGTCTGCCGCGACCATCAAGCGTAGCAAGGGGGCTTGAGTGGAGTATACTCTCTGCACCGCATTGAAAAAGTCTTCCTGGACTCCAGCGTGTTCATCTCGTTCATTGGACAGCAGTGCTGTGTCGGTTGGCTTGAAGAATTCGGTAATGAATCGATAGCTCTGCCGCCACCTTGTCATGTAGCTCCACCATTCATCAGTGCCCAGGCGTTGCTTCAGGCTGGTCAAGTGGCTCCACAAATTCCGGAACAGACACTCCGCAAACTGGTCCAAGTAGCTGTCAGTTGTAGTCTTTTGACTCAGGACATACTGATCGGCATCAAAGTCTCCGGGTTCTAGAAGGTGCTCAAGAGCTCCGGAACCGTGCAGAACTAGCAGCACGTCCGAGCGTTCATCCATGTGCAGCACATAGTGCATGTGCGAAAGTCGATCGCAGTCCTCCGGCGCACTCTCCTTGTGCTCCTTGAACTTCAGTGTCAAGTAAATCTTGGCGGTTTTCACAGCCTTCATGCTACCAGTCCAGTTGCACACAGTGGCTATCAGGTCTGTCATGTATTTGTCCATCAGGTCTTCACACTCAATCAGCTGACCCAGACACTCATCGTTCTTCACACGTTTGTGCAGCAGATCACAAGCCGTCGGCTCTTCCATATCAATGTTCCTGATGAACGACTCGACACGGTGCTTCCACTGAGCGAACAGCGGCGTTTCCACCACCCGACCAGCGCAGGAGATGGAGCAGAGGTGCTGGTTGTAGCTCCGCTCATCCTGCACCGTCATGCGCGGGATCAGACCCAGCAGTGTCCCGAGCGTCGCCTCTGGCACCTGGCTGCGGATCAGCGTTGCCAATCCGAAATCCTTGCACAGGGTGACCATCACCTTCTGGAAGATATTCTCCAGCTCCGGTCGCATATGCATCTCCACCAGATCGGCAAAGCTAAAGAAGGACTTTCGCTGAGCAACATGCTTTGCCAGTCTGTCCAGAAGCTGGAACGAGCGCTGAGGCGTGAATCGATGGAAGAGACGTCGGCCAATGTGCTTGAGAATGGACGGATACTGGGTCAGGATGAACGTGACTGTTCTTGACCGCTCAGACAGGCTGGATGCGGTTAGGCCAGAGCCCGGAGAAAGTCTTCCGCTTGGTGTGTAAAGCGGAATGAGGTCACGTGGTTCCAATGATGACACAATGTCTGCTGGAGTGTTGATATTGCCTAATCGGCTACAGAAGACGCGAGACAGCTCCTCCTTGATGTTCATTAGCCCGTGCTCCAAGGAGGCAGCTAGGTGCTCAGATTCTCTGGCTTCATCAACATCATCAGAATGCTGTTCATTTCCCTCGGGCGATCTAGCTAAGCCATGCAGGGCACACGACTTGGCCAGAGCTTTGACATTCATCAGAGGCACGTTGACACCACCCGGCAAGTCCATGAAACAGCAGTCCCAGCCGTCTAGAAGAGGACACGGGTACGCCCGCTTGGAGCTGGGAATGTACAGCGGAGAGTGCAGCAGCAGGACAAAGCTTTTCGCAGGCACATTTACAGACGTGCGCAGGGATACCGCGGCTTCGTTGATGAGATGCTTGAATAGGGCTATGGACATAGCTGACGAAACACCGTTTGATGTGTCCACCAAGAGAATGGCACACGTTTTCTGCGACTTGACAAATTTCTCCAGGAAGACCTCAGCCTCACTGCATTTTCGGAACGTACTCGTATCTGCAATCTCTAGCTTGGTTGCCGTTTCATTGCCAAAGTACTCACTCGGCTGGCCAGCCAGTCGAGATACAGCCAGCGATGAGCGTGTATAGATCATGAACTTGTTGACACTGACAATCCCGCTGGCTACCGCTGACATACTATGCGATTGATGCAGGGCGCGCTTGTTGATCACCGAGATGATGTGCTGCAAACTGAAGTGCTCCAAAATGTCGAAATAGATGGTCAAATACGCGGCCGGGTCGTTCAGCGTCTTCAGACCAAGAACAAAGTGCTCCGTAGGTAACAGCTGCAGAAGACGTGCACACAGAGATCGCACGGAGAGCTGTGCGTCGTCGACCACCGACGCCTTGAACTGCTCGCGTACCTCCGCAGTGCATGACGTGACAGGCACAAAGGTGAATCGATCGTTGACCGTGCTGTGCAAGTGAGAGATCATTAGCGCGTTCGGAGTCAGCTCCATGTTGCAGCCGTAGAAGTTGCGTGACCCCATTTGCTCCATGAACCCTTTGCAGCGATCGCGGATGTCGGCAATGGTGCTAAGTTCGCTGGGATCCACGTTGTTGAGTGCGTACTGCATGGCGTCCATTGGTCGCAGCACAAACTTGGAAAATCGACTCAGGAACGGCGTGGGCGAGTCTTCCATTTCGGTGTGCTTGAGTATGACCACGCATTGGAAGTGCGGGTTGACACGGCACGGGTAAGTTGTGGCACCGACGGCAATGTTAGCGTAGATGTGCCGGCCACCATCGTTGTGAATGACTCGGAACGTCTGGTTCAGCAGCTCGTACAGACTGCCATGAACACGACGCGTTTCAACGAGCACGATGGTGCAGTCCATTTCCAAGAAGCGGCGGATTCTGGCCAGGATCTCTGCACTGTGCAGCTCATCTTCATCCCCAGACAGGTTGCTCATGTGTATGACATGCGTCTTGTGGCTATCCACCAGGTTCATCTTCCGCATGATGTCCAGCGCTGTGTAGTCATCCGTTGGGTCGATGATCATGCGGAAGCGCGGGGCCAGCGGGTGACCGGTTCTGAGGAACTCCTGCTCGTCAACATGCCGATTGGCCACGTTGATATCTCTCAGTATCTTCACAGTGTTGCGAAGACTGAACCTTCCATCGCTGATGTTAGTGGGATAGTTATCCACATGCCTGGCAACAGCGCTGAAGAACATATCCGCCAGCCGACAGAAGTCATCCGGATTCACCATTCCACCAAAGTTCTCCTCCAGAGCTTCGAGCAAGATATTCGGATTTCGCGGGATCTGCCTTTTGTTGTGGAGGAGCTGATTGCGGTAGTGATGCCGAAGCAAGTAGATCAGGTCTCGGTGATGGAAGAGCTTGGCGAAGGCTGTGTCTCGGGTCACGTCCTGATATCCCTCGCACAGGCCAGTGATGTACAGCTGCTCGTCATTACTGGCGCTAGCCTCGCCAGCCTGTGGGCCTCCTCGCTTGATGCAGCCAAGTGCCAGCGCCACCAGGTCCTTCAGGTCGGCCTGTGAGCGATACAGCGTTACCATCCGATTGGCATTGGCTGCATCAAACCAGTGATTAGACAGAGCAACAAAGGCCACTTTGCGGTCATCCAGATACGGGTGAAGAACTTTGAGCACCATCTTGCTCTTCTCCTCTGTGGGTAGTCCAGCCTCATCAAGGAAGACTACACAGTGGGTGGACACCTTGGACTGCTGTGCTCCAGCTTCACTGACAACTTCCTTCACCACAGGTTCGTTGTTGACGAACTTCACATGGCTCCGGCGCACATTCTCCCGCTCCTGGCTCGCCTGCTGGTTGTAGAAGTTCTGTCTCTCGATTGCATTGTCAAATACACTGGCCACCTGCTCTGAAGTGGACTGCTCCGAGCATTGGTAGAAGAAAGAGTCAATCGCCACAAACTGCTTACAGAAAGGCCGAACCGAGTGCTCACCGCGGAGGTTGTCTCTGACAATGTGGAAACTCAGCGTCTTGGACGAGCCTGGCTGACCGACTATTCCAAGAGGGATGCGCGTCTGGATGCACGCCACTGTGCAGAAGATGTTCTCCTTCAGAGCTTCGGTAAGGGCAACGCCTTCCGGCAAGCTGAAGTGCTCGCGTGTCACAAAGTCATTGATCATCTCGTCGATGTTCGCTCGCAACGCGTACACGCCCTCGTACTGTGGATCAGAGCACTTAGGGCACACTGCAAGCAGATCAGCGAGCTCGTACATGTGTGCCTGTGCTATGCCTGTTTGGTCGCTGTGCAGATAGTGCTGGAAACCGGAACGGCAGACACCATGAGATATGCTGCTGCGGTCATTGATTGGCTCGCGTGGCAGCCGGAAGTAGTAGACCACAGCGATAGCCAGGGAAATGCTCTTCTTCAGCACTGTATTGACATTCGTGATGGCAGCATAGCTCTGTTGCTTCTGTCGTTCTTTCATCAAGTTCTCTTCGACGTGCCAGAAGAACGGAATCAGAAGGAACACTCGCTGAATATCACGCTGGCTGACTGAACTGTTGCCAAGGAACAATATACAGTACTGGTGGGCACGGAGCAGAATGGACGCAAATGCCTTCTTCAAGTCCAGACTGAACTCGACGATAGTACTGTCCGTCTTCACAATGAGGTTCTTTTGAACGTCGATCTTAGCCGCAATGTATTCCTTCAGCTCCTGCTCCGTGCTCAAACTGCCATAGACCCACTTCAGCTGGTTCATGACTTCCGGCAGATCATGGACGAAGTACACCTGGCGAAATGCGTCGATGAGATCTGCGTTCGCATCAGGCTGTTGCCCAGCTGCAGAGGGCAGTGCTGGTGTTGATGAAGCAACTGCCCGGGCGGCAGGTTTGGCAAGGCTTGGATTGATAGCCGAGATGAAGAAGATGTTGTCTTCAATGGGCTTGCCATCTAGCATTCTGTCAATGAGCATCTCCTTGAAGACACCGAGACAGCTGGAAGTGTTCACCTCATCAAAGAACACCACAACCTCTTGGTCAGGACATCGCGCTGCTAGAACCCTCGGCGCCTCCATGAACGCCACCAGAGCCTGTTTGGAGATACCTGGATGGATGAGAAGCTTGAAGAAGAGGTTTTCAATGGGACTGGAGACATAGGACGATAGTAGCTCTGCACTTTCCACGGTTGAAAGGCTGCTCTTCCCACGCAACTCATTCACAGTTGCGACTGGCTTGAGGATGGGAAACCTCTTCAACCACACCTCCACTTGATTGGACAGGCCATCGATTGCAGTTTTGCGTGTCTCATCGTCCAAATGGTCTTCCAAAAGCTCTCTCCAAAAGGTGCCCAGCTGTTCTGGGGTGTGAAAAAATTCGTGATTCAGGCGCTCCTCTTGTTCTGCAGCAAGATGCTTCTGCTGTGGATAGGTTTCATTTTCATTACCAGCGAACCACATACGTGACTCCTTCTTCATTGTTTTCCAGAGGCCACCGAGCACGAGCTTACAAATCCAACCACAGCAACGGGAGATGGGTCTCGGTGCACTCTCCCGCTCTGCGCTGTACGCCGCTTCATAGTTCATGAACTTGGTGTACATCTCAAGAAGAAACGTCTTTCCAACTCCCGTTTCTCCTTCTATGATCAGAGGAAGACGAGCCTTCTTACGCTCATTGATCAACAGTAGCTTGTACATAAAGTCTCTGGTCAAGACGAACTGCTTCTGATCGAGTAGGTATTTGATTCTGTCCATAGATAGACCAAATGCCCAGCTCAGGTAGCCAGCCGGTTCCGACTCCAGTTCGATTGCCAGCAGTGCCTTCTCCTTTCCGTCACGCTGCAGCAGCATTGTACTGCTCACTGGGAGCTGTGCACGCTCAGGCGGCTCCAAGGTAGCAAAGCTTCCACCAGTGGGATCAGCAATCAGGAAGTACTGCTTGCACTTCTGCCACATGCACTCAAGACCACGTGTGCCAAGATAGTGCGATTCTCTCATGAAGTGCAGCAGTGCTTTGGTGGCCAAGTTCCAATACATGAACGACACACTGGAAATGAATACAACTCTGTTAAAGAGCTCCAGCCGATCATATAGGTAGCGCAAGAACGCCATCTGATGCATCTTGGTAGAGTTGGTCAACTTCATGTCCGAGAATAGACGCTGCAATTGAACTCGGCACTCATTGTCGTCCAGCACTTCTCCCTTGGCAATCTGCCACATCTCGTCGCCTTGATCAGCTTGGCCCACAGGTGGATCGAGTCGTCCTTGGTAGTAGCATGTCAGTATGGCAGCCATGCGCCGCTCTTGCTGACCGATGTGAATGGGGTTGTTCATTTCCGTGACAGTGTGGAACTCAGACAGCAGGCTGATCATAGGGTAGTCTCTCTTAGCCAGAGATTCGCAGGTTGCGTTGGGATCGTCTTTGTCCTCACAGTGAGGTATCTCCACGAACCATTTCCAGGAGGAAGTCTGCGGTAGGGTGAACAGTGCTGAGAACTCTGGGTCACCCAGTGTGCCGCATACAATCAGTTCAAAGAAGACACGATTGATATAGTCCATGTCGACATGACTCGAAAGATTGAAGAACACTGCGGATTTATTGTCCAGTGCAGACAGCTTTCTGATCACATTGGACGTGTCTCCTGAGCCAGAAACAGCCACAGTGGCAGCCATAGCGCCAGGGTCGCTCCGAAGCTGGGTGACAATGTAGTGCGATTTGCCACTGCCTGACCTCCCTACCACAGCAGTCAGCTCTGGCCGCGATTGACCGTGTCCGAGCAGAGACTTCAGACAGTCGGAGAGCGCACGAATGGGCTGAGAGGCCAGCTGAAGACTAGTCACGTACGACTGAGGCCACCAGGAGCAGATAGTCGGATCCAGGCAGATGTAGTAGACCACGCTGTTGAAGGTGGGATCAGTGTCGAACTGATGCTGCTGCTCGAGCAGTAGACTACGTTCATTGTAGCCCAGTAGCTCCACTCCCACCATGGCGAATATCAGCTGCGGGAACGCCGCAATCCGAGTGAAGAAAGCCTGCAGCTCGCTGTTGCTTGTGCGCTCCGAGCAAAATAGGACCTGTCCAGTGCACGGCAGACACTTGTGCTTGTACAGGAAGATGGTGCAGAGCAGCATAAGAGTGTTGCTCAGATTGCCTTTGCTGGCGTCCGTCCGCTCAGCAGCACAGATATACTGCTTGCCCTGCTGGCTGGGTAGCCTGGTCTCACGGAGTACCAGTTCCGTCTCCAAGAGACGTCGGAACATTTGCATAATGCGGTCGTAGTCGGTGCTTCTCTCTTCCATGGACTTGCTGATGCAGTCAGCCAAATCACAGCCTTCCTTGATCTGTGCAATGTTTGACAAAGATCGGACATAGTTGCTCACCAGCTTAGCTGCTATATTGACAATGTCCTCGCGTGGTGCGTCTTGCTCCAAGTTAATGTCGGCTAATTTGAAGATGGCAGTCTCGCGCATGCTCCGTCCAGTGCAAAGTTGTTGTGCTGCTTGGCGCCCAGTCTCAGGCGTGTACAGTGCAAGAATGGTGGCGATGTCCTTGTTTGTAAACAGGCGGAGCAAGCGGCATTGTCTGCGCACTTCCGCCAGCTTCTTCGACCAATCGGATAGTTGATCCTGCAGCTCTGCAGCCTTCCTCTGCAATCCCTCCTTGTCCAATGAAAAGGTTACCAAGCAATTCTGGTACTCAGGGTGACCTTCCTCCTCATGGTGAAAAAGCAGCTCAATGACTTTGTCCACCACGGCTAGCACGTCGGCAAAGTCGTTGGCCATGCGTCCGATGGTCTGGCTCTGTCCCGGCGCCGTGATGTCGTTCTCTCCCTGCATGGAGCGCAGGTACTGCAGGTTGCTGCGGAAATCCTTCACTTCTCGCTCCTTCATGACACCGCTGTGTCCGTGACGCTGCTGTTCACCGTTGGCCGGCTGCTGAGTCATCTCGCTTGAGTACTGATACGAGAAGGAGAAAACAGAGGAGCTGCATGACATGGCGCCAAGCTCCACCGTTAGATTGCCTCCAGAGGAGAGCTTGGTGAGCTGATCGATGGTGGTCTCAGTGGCACTGGCAATAGCCTTCTTGAACAGTTCGATGATGCAATCCGTCTGCTCATTGCAGGTCTTCACATTGTGCAGGTTGACACGGATGTTGGCCACAGCCTGCAAAATAGCCCTCAGCGGTTTCTTCTGGCTCAGCGGGAAGAATGGACTCATGATCTTGTGCGTGTCGAGCAGCGACGACAATAGATTGTTGTTGAACGAGTCACGCTGCATGCGCATGTTCAGGTGGTCTACCTTCGCCTGGAATTCTCGTCGGCCATCGTCCGAGTGGTAGTCAGTCGCAAAGAAGTTGCGGATATTATCACAGTTGCCCGACGCCATTTCCTTGAAGAGCTTGAAATGGTCGGCTTGTAGCCCGTCAAACAGCTGATACAGTGTCTCGTACTCCTGCGCAAAGCTTGCCAGCGTGCTCTCGTCGGAGATGGAAGTGCCAAGACGTTCCAGGTATAGCATGTCGGAATCACCGTCGTCTACGATCCCCATGTCGCTCAGCACATTCTTGATGTCGTTGACGTGTCCATTGCGCAGGTGCTCAATGATGGCAACGGCCACAGTGATGTGTCCGGCACTGCTGCCGTGCCGTTGGAAGCGCTGGTATGGCGGGTACGCCTGGATCAAGGCCAGCTCTTCCGTCAAGTTGACGTCTTGCAAGTTCTCCAGGATGCGTCGGATGATGCGATACTCGGATATGCCGTTCAGCAGGTTTGTGAACGTGCCGTGGGCTTGCTTGATTGCATTGCGAATACGCCTGACCCAGGCTCTATCTTGCATGGAAGAGCTGCTGTCGTACTCTGTATGGCTCTTGTCATCGAAGATCTTGCTGTTGCTGCTGAAGTAGAGGATGAAGTGCACCAGCGATTCGGGGCAGTCGCTTGCCACCTGGTCACGCAGCGGTTCGCCAAAGCGTTTCCACACTTCGTCAACACGCTTCTCCATGACGCAGAGTGTTGCGGTGCTGCTGGTCGAGAGTACGTCGAGGTCATGCGCAGCATCACCTGCATTCGGAACAGATCGGCTATGAAGCCAGTCCGCCAGTTTCTGATTCTTCTTCATGCGCTGGATGACGTCATCCGGATTGGGCAGGCGCGGAACGCGCTCTGATCCGCACGCAGCGAACATAGTGTTGAGGGCAGAAAGTGACTCCGATAGACGATTGTACTCTGCTTTGGTGTAGCTGCGGTCTATCATGCTAATCTGAAGACGGTCAAGCTCTGAGACAGCGCTAACATAGCCGGACATTCGGTTCCTTGCCCAAGACGTGGCCTGGCTTTGTCGCGAGTAGACGTGCGAGCACTTCAGGATGATGCTGTCCACTCCAGTGACCGCCCAGATAGGGCCGTAAACCTGCAGAACATCCAGCACCGTTGAATAGAAGATGGCTTCCAGGGTAGCTGGCTCACTGCGGCTCTGCCGGACCTTCTTTGGCATGGAGACGATCTCAGCGTATCCAGCAGCGATGGAAACTCCATCCTGGAGAAGACTAGCCAGGTGATTGCGGGCAGAATAGCAGTAACCCATCCACAGGAGAGTTGAGGCGCTGTCCGGTGAAACGCGTATACGCCGGTCGGTTGTCAGGTTAAGCACATCCACTGCCTCCTGGAGGAATTCCTTCACAGAATATTTCTCTGAGAATCTCATATTGGCGAGGACGCTGGCTGCTGAAGATGGCACATCGGTTGAAAATCCTCCAAACTGACTCAGCAAAGGAGATGAATCGATGATTCCCACTGTGTTCCGAATGTCACTTCCAAATTTGGCATGCAGGTTGAGAATGACCTCTGGGTACTCCTTGATCAGTGTGTTCTTCGACTGTTTCGCTACTGCATTCAGCAAGTCCATTACCTGCAAGCGTCTCTTGTATTCCTGACGAGACTCGTTCACTTTCAGGCGAGCGTCTCCTTTCAGGAAGGTGATCGAGAGAATGATACCAGCGCTCAGTGCACTGCGATTGGCTGTGCTCGAAGTGATCGTCCTCAGCAGCTGATCAACTGTTGGCTTCACACCATTCTGGAAGCAGTAGTCAACTAAGCCTTTGTTGATGGTCAGAAAACCGTCGATGTTATCAGCCTGGCTCAGATTCGTAACAGCCTGGTTGGCCGCTCTTGCCGCCATGTCGAAATCAAGACCGAGTTGCATGGCGTTGAAGAATTCCAGGGCGATCTCAGGACCAATGCTGGTGGATGCGTGGGCAAGAACGAAGGGCAGTACTTTGCGCCTGGCTGTGCTGTGGCGACTGATGTGATGAAGAAACGCCTTCACGTTCTCTCTCGACTCGTGCAGCTTGAGAACCACCAGTTTGGTCCAGATGAGAACGGCGGTGCTCTCGTCCATGTTGTGAGAGTTGTACAACTGTCCAACACACGCCAGCAGGGCTTCTGCGTCTAACGGAATGGAGAAGAAGTGGTCGAGTTCCTTTGCGGCAAGAACGGAGAGGAAGGCATTGCCGGGCACCCCCGTTGATTTCCAGACCAACGCCTCCATGTAGCGCAGCCACCTTCCTTCCAGTCTCCAGTCAAACACGGAGCCCATCCAGAAGTCCAAAGCAATCAGCGAGACAATGAGATAGACGTTCGTCTCCCGGCAGTGACCCATCAGGCTGGTGATGACCCGTGAGATCAGGTCGCGGCGTTGGCCGAAGCACTGTTGAAAGTCACGTCCACACGCTGTCAAGTCCCCAGCTGCTGGTCCCAAGATGTCACGGTCAAAACCTTCCTGAAGGCCTTTGGACACTTCGTCACACTGTTCCACAAAGGACTTGTACTCCTGAGAGGCTAGGACACCGTGAACAGTTGCGCGCTGGCCGATCTCCATCAGGATGATCGTGACGAGCTTGAAGCACTGGTGAAGGTCGTCGGTTTGCTTAATGAACATGCTACTCATCGTGCAGATTTGACGAATGTCGGCGGCCTCTTGCAGGTTGTGAGCCTTGAAGACGTTGTGCACATCCAGCACACACACGTCTCCATTCTGGTAGAAATTCTGCAGTAGAGCGTTGTATTTGCTGCAGATGGCACTGCTGCGGCTCGAACCTCCTCGGATTCCAAAGAAATTCAGTAAGGCATTGGTACCCTACAGCAGAGGACATGCAGAAGAAAGAATGACTTTTGAGCGTGTCATTGTCTCTTAGAGAATAGCACACACGCATGCACGCACACACAACGCACACACGCATCCATGCATTCATGCACACACATACACACACACACACACACACACACACACACACACACACACACACACGCATGCACGCACGCACACACAAACACACACACACACATGCGATAGCACATACGCATCCATGCATTCATGTGCACACACACACACACACACACACACACACATACACACACACACACATCCACGTGCACACACACACATCCACGTGCACACACACACACGTACACGTACACGTACACACATACATACATGTACAGTGTGTATCGGTTATAGCGTGGTCGTGTAAAAGAATATACTGCCTACAAGAATGAACTCTAATGTTTTCATAATCAGAACATGGGTTTCAAGTGCACTTTTATTCTTACAAGCAATTTTATCGCATAGTAGAGTATACCAGTCCTAAGAATGGACTTTGTGTCGCGAAACATGCCAGATTAGTACAAAGTGTATCGCCTGTAGTAATAACATCTGTCCAATGCAGTTCTGATCTGACTCGTGTTGCGTCGTAGTGCTGTAGGTTCAACTGTTTTGGTCATGTAACTCATGTTGCATAGCCACATGGTGAGCCTATGTGACTATGACCAGCCGCATGCACAGTCAGTAGCACTACATTGCATGTACGATGATCTTCCTGCCCCTGTGCGCATGCACATATGTCACAGTTGATTTATCGTGTGTAAGAAATATCCGAAATAAGAATAGAAAGTCGTTTTTCAAACACCCACGCTATAACCGATACCTTCTGTACATGTCAACTGGGAGAGAAGGGAAGTTGTGGAAGACATGCCAAATGTGGAGGGGGTAGGCTATCCCGCGTAGAATGGCTGCAATGCCGACACCACCTTATCCCACACTTGTGTATTTTCATTCGGCTCAATGGTACCCAGTTCCACATGGCCTAGATTAGGTTCTGACAATTTCACCTTACAACTCACCTCACGTCCTTGACTGAAATCCACAGATTGCCCGCGATCTACAAAAGCAAAAGCAAAACACATCACAGTCAGCTGCGGCGACTTCCTTGAACCCCCTGCAATGCATTGTTCATTCTCGACTCCAATCCAAACGCGACCCTATTTCATTATTCACTATGCATCTGGTGTTCACCTACAATGCTTGTAACGGAATCTCAGCCATTCCGTTCCCCGGGACGCAGGACACAAAGGACAAGACTGGTTTGTATTACATTATTTCTATTGACAAGACGGAAAAGTAGACTACTCTGACAGAGACGAACAAGAAGACTGACAAAAAGACTCTCGACTACAAAATCGCGCATGCTCATATCACACATGCACGCGACTAGACGAGACAGTTTGGGGAATACCATTACACAGGAAAACAACACATCATTTTACAACATGCTTTTAACTGCATACAGCGGCAGTAATAGGAGTTATGAAGCCGAGACCTCTGGTCGGCTGAGCTTAATGGGCCCCACCACCACACTCCATTATTCGCCCCAGTGTCTGGAGATAATGTGGATTTTGTAGAGAAAAAAATAGCCAGTATGAAACGTTTTTTTTCTTCTCAATAATTATTGATTTCATGCATGTGACTGCACTGGATAGGTCGCTCGTACATCAATCAGTGGTCCGTAATGGTCCTTCATGCTTCTAAAAATAGTCACATGACCAGGTTAGATTTGAAGTGAGGCTGAAGGATGAACTGCAGCCCTCTCGAACAAACACCATTCAATTCAGAAAACACAGGTTTGGACAGTTTCATTTTCTTCCGTGCCTCTACAAGAACGAACCGACGGTTAATGTGAACGTTTCTGTACAAAGCCCTATCTAGAAGGGCATACTTTTCCCATTTTGGCGGAAGCTAGCAAATCGGGAACACGGCACAGAGTGTCGCAGCTTCCTCCGACCAATACTACTCCACTCAGCGCCAAAACGACCACCAAGTAGTGAAATATTCATTTTTGGTGGTCCTTTCCCTGAGCCTGCAACCTAGTGATTCTCAATCATGGTCTTAATTAAAAGTTAAAACCCTCACAACCATGCATGCTTGCATTCACACAGGTTCATCCTGATTATGATCAGAACACAGGTTCAGCCTGATTATTTTCAGAACACCTGATACTGTAAAGTGACATTAGAATAGCAGGGCTTGAAGAAGAATAGCCCGAGTACAAATGCGAGACTTGAAACAGAAACAGGACGTATAAACAGACCGCAATGAATATTGAGAGAGGCATGCAGCAAAGAACCACTCTCACCTTGTGTTTGACGAGACGCATACGGCAGGTCAACAGCGGACGCAGGTACAGTACCAATTTCACCATATGCGGACTGTGCACGATAGACACCATATCCGGCAGGACCCGTGACAGTCACCATATCTCCACGATACGCATTGAGATAACCTGCGTGTGCATCATCGCTATACACATTATCAATAATGCGGCACTGGACTGGAAATTGGACTTGATCTGGACACAATGAAGGACAGAGAACACAGAGAAGTTATTAAAGAAATGATACATTTGCTGTCAATACCCCCGCTTAGGATTACCTTTCAGTCACCCTGTTGTACGTGCGGCTGCGATGTCACAATTATTTGGTGCCCAACGTAGGGCTCAAGCCCACGGCCCTGAGATTAAGAGTCTCGTGTTCTACGGATGATCTAATGTACGCTCTCACGGACCATGCCAATAGCAAGCAAACAGCTAAGAACGAGAGAGGACATTCTGAAGTGTGTCTCACAAGACCACATGACGAATGACGGAGTTTGCGCTTCCTGACTCTGAGTGATTAACAATTGAATGAATCAACGACTGCTGTCAGGAGCACACAACGGGAATGCCGGATCTTCTACTCAGCAAATTTGAAACAAAATGCCACTTCCTTCTCAACGCACATTGTTTCGGGGAATTCACCACTGACTGCTTGAGTTTGAGTAGGTTAATAAGGTTTGCGCTCCGAGAGCACTGTATTATGTTCTTCAGGCAAAACCATCACTAGGGTTACGAAATCACAACAACGCTCTGTATCCAGCACAACAAACACCTCGCGAGCACCAGGCAGTGGCGTGAGTCAGGGTCGCACATGGAGTTCTGAAGACAGATGCTGAGGGTCGTAGACAATTCGCAAAACTGTCACTTCCGATTATCTAGTCCCGCGTCCACGGGAGAGACAACAGTACGAACTGTGCTCCACTGCAGTATTGAGTTTGTCGAGTGTTAGTTAGTCGGAAGGAAGCGCACGCGTTTACGTTAGGAGCAGCCCGAGACCTTCTTCTAAATTATTGCAAAAGTTGCAACATCTCAGTTCGTATTGTTGTCCCTCGCCCGGGCGTGTGCCTAGATGATTGGAAGTGACAGCTTTGCGAATGGTCAACGACTCTCAGCATTTGTCTTCAGAACTCCATGTGCGACCCTGACTCACACTGCTGCTTGGTGCTCGCAAGGTGTTTGTTGCCCTGGAAACAGAGCATCGCTATAACTTGTTGTCTGTAGTGATATATTGGCTCAAAGAAAACAAAATTCATTGGCCTACTCATGCTCAACTCATGAGGGGTGTATTCCCGGAAACACTGTGTATTCCGCAGGGAGTGGTGCTTTATTGCAGTTTTGCCGAGTGGAAGGTCCAGCATTCTTCTCCTGTGCTCCTGAAGGCAATCGTTATTTCATTCAAGTGTCAGTCAGTCGGCAGAAAGCGCGAGCTCCAACATTAGAAGCAGTCACCATCTGGAACTATACCTAGAGGCAGGATTAGTCCTTGCCTACTCTGGGGTATACACTAATAATAAGCCTGGAACATACCAGTTCTCGGCTGAGCGAGTTGTTGTCCATCCAATACGCGTTGGAGCTGAGCAGGCTGCAGTATTTTCAAAGCATTGGCAAAAACCTTTGTTTCTGCACCGCTTTCATTCATCACCTTGTACAAGTGGTCGTGACAGTCTCCGATCAACATGAGAATTTCTCCTTGTCGAGCGAATGGCTTCAAGTAGTCTTCGAAGAATGCCACGTCTCTGAGGAGCCTGGCCTGCTTCACATCTGGATTCACCTCCACTGTTCCTGTGCAAGACAGAACACGTTGGCAATAATATGGCTCCAGCTAAGACAAACCCACATACTTCACGTGCTCCTGCATGCCCAAGTCACCTGGTCACCGCGCCAGCAAGCGACAACTTTCACACCAAGGTTCAACTCGAGTTCAACTCGAGTGACAGGAGTGCACCCAAAAATGGTCAAAACAGGCTGTATGTTGTACCCTGCAAGGGCCAGGCTGGCACGGTGACCAGGTGACTGGGGTACGCAGGAGCACGTGACCGCTTGTTCAACCATGTTCGATTGGGAATACAGGAGGAACGCTGCATCGCAGCCTTTTCGGACCAAAACCAGTTGACTCAGCGTCCAAAAGACTACAACATATGGGCTAATCGCGGTCATCCGAGCTTTTATAAGAACTAAATGGCGCTTTTAGTGACATTTTGCATACAAATCCCCATCTAGTAGGGCGCAGTCACCCAGTCTCGGTGGAAGGGCGCGAGTTCGATCGGGAATAAAGGAGTAATGGAGCATCTCAGCTTCCCCGGACCAAGACCATTCGACTCAGGACCCCGAAGACTACGACTGGTGAAAATTTGATTTTAGGGTTAACTTCCCCTTTAAAAATACGAAGTAGTGGTTGCGACTTCGGCGATGATTTGTAAGAAAGGGTTTGCTCCCCACACCGGAGTCAAGTGTCAAGTAAAGTCGGCGGAATAGCGCGAGCTCCGGTGTGGGGAGCAAACCCTTTCCCCTTTAAAGGGGAAGTTAAGGCAAAAATTAAAATTTCACCAGTTGTAGTCTTCGGGGTGCTGAGTCGAATGGTCTTGGTCCGAGAAAGCTGAGACGCTCCCTTCCTACTTGAATCCCAATCGAACTCGCGCACTTCCACCGAAACTAGGTGACTGCGCCCTACTAGATGGGGATTTGTATGCAAAAATGTCACTAAAAGCGCCATTTCGTTCTTATAAAAGCACGGATGACCGCGATTGGCCCATATGTTGTAGTCTTTTGGACGCTGAGTCGACTGGTTTTGGTCCGAAAAGGCTGCGATGCAGCGTTCCTCCTTTATTCCCAATCGAACATGGTTGAACAAGGGGTCACGTGCTCCTGGGTGCCCAAATCACCTGGTCACCACGCCAGCAGGCAACAACTTTCACACCAAGGTTCAACTCGAGTTCAACTCGAGTGACAGGACTGCACCCAAAAAAGGTCAAACAGGCTAGTAAGTTGTACGCTGCAGGCACGGTGACCAGCTGACTGGCGTACGCAGGAGCACGTGACCACTTGTTCAACCATGTTCGATTGGGAATAAAGGAGGAACGCTGCATCGCAGCCTTTTCGGACCAAAACCAGTCGACTCAGCGTCCAAAAGACTACAACATATGGGCCAATCGCGGTCATCCGTGCTTTTATAAGAACGAAATGGCGCTTTTAGTGACATTTTGCATACAAATCCCCATCTAGTAGGGCGCAGTCACCCAGTTTCGGTGGAAGTGCGCGAGTTCGATTGGGATTCAAGTAGGAAGGGAGCATCTCAGCTTTCTCGGACCAAGACCATTCGACTCAGCACCCCGAAGACTACAACTGGTGAAATTTTAATTTTGCCTTAACTTCCCCTTTAAGAAAATGGACAATCGTCAAAGAAGTGCTTCGCTTGGCATTGAAAATGGCCACCGGAAACTCAAACCCTGGACGATCAGCACAAGTAGTTTCGACATGGATGTGGCAACAAAGTCTACGAGAACTGGATGAGCCAGACAATTTGAAGGCAGACTCGTACCAAGTCAATTTACTTTGTGGATGGTACAAACTAGGAACATTAGAGTGACTACACCACCACCACCACCACAATAAGCCCATTGCGCAATGACGTAATTTGTACCATAAACACCCCACACAGCCATCTGGGCATGGTCGTCTGGGGTGTTGAACAGTGCATTGCTGATCCCAGTGTACTCATATGCATTACTCATACCTTCCATATTTGGCAATGCGCAATGCGCTTATAGCTGATGCCGTGATGGTATGTGTAGCAGACAAATGCAATGTTTACACGCTACTCAACTTTCCCGTTTCTGAACTTCTTCTCAAGTACGGGGAAAGCAGAGTTGAGCAACCAAGGCAACACCTAGACAGGTCCCTCCCTCCCTGAATGTCCCATCCACACAAGCCCTGCAGTTGACGCCACATAGATATGTGGCCTGGATGACTCTCAAAAGGGTCCTCCTCTGTAAAATCGTTCATTTTAGCCATGTTACGAAGCAACCTACTGTAAAAGCCATATATATAACGAAGTGCTAACTCTAACGAGTTAACGAGGAGCAATCTGTCGTTAAAATAGAAAACGTTATACAGAAATCGATACATAATTATACTGTCCTATTGAGCGTTGAGAATGAGTGAGAAGCGTTACCTTTGCTACACGTAAGCCAGTCAATTTTGGGAAATCGTTATATATGCGCCTCGTTGAATAATGGCTTTTACAGTAATCTCTCTTTTAGCCAGAGATCACCTTTACTCACCTCCATGCCTCGGTGAAGGCTTCTGCGGTTCCGTAAATGTGATGTAGTCAGAGTACACATGGCCAATTTCACCTGTCTCCTCAACACGCACACGATACCAGTTGTTAGTCGGACCTCGGATAATCCCGACCTTCTGACCTGCATACAACTCCACTGGATCCCTGACGGATGAGTCGGGATACACGTTGGCGTTTGCCCAGGCAAATTCACGGACATGCTCCGTAGCACCTTGCTGTTGGTTTCGGTGCTGCTGCTGCTCTGGCTGCTGTGTGCCTGCAAGAAGCAGTACCACGCCAGAAACAAACATCTTCCATATCAGATGGTTAACGCATTTCAAGCATGAAATGCCCCCTATCCTAAAACAAGACTAGCTAGAAAACCGCAATCAACCACACAAACTGTGACAGCAATCAACCACACAAACTGCGACAGCAATCAATCACACAGACTGTGGCAGCATCGAAAAGGCTGACCTAGTGTCTCACCAACCCAACTAAACACAATCAGCTGCAGGGACATCAGTAAGATTGAACCCTTCCGCACTTGTCATGAAGTGTACACAAGTGATGGTGGATATCAGGCTAGTAGCTACCACCACCTCACCATCTCTGACAGACAATCTAATAACACACTGCTTTTCTTCATAGGTTCCAACGAGCAGTACTTTTGTATACTGCAGCTGGCAGCTAAATCCAACTTTAACCCCTTTAGTGCGAGCGTCGTACTAGTACGACGCACATGAGTTGCATGCCCCACGGCCGTCGTACTAGTACGACGCGCGCTGTACACTGTACAATGAACCTGCATCTCACAGTCGTGGGGTCCGTGTTTAGTCCATAGTGACTTTTTCAAACTATCGTCACTCACTCCATACTTGGTCGATTCTCACAATCGAAACATGTATCTGCAAGAGAAAACTCTCAGCTGGCGATAGAAACAATTGCCGAAGGGATGCGACTACCGGTTGTTGAGATATGCGACTCGACACGGCAAATTTCAACTCAATTTTTGCGCAGTCTGCAGAACGCGTATTTCCATCATGGATCATTTTTGCGCTACCTGCTGCCATGGAAACAAGATCAAATGATGGTAGTGGATCCCGTGAGTCCTCACAACGAATTTGAGCTCGATATGAGCAAGGAGACCAGAATGGCAGCTGAATATTTGAGCTCGGTTAGTCTTGGCCGTACTCAAGTCTGTCGAGCGCATGGATGAAGTTTGCCAGACTGTAGCACGGGGTTTTGGTTTCGCTCCAAGCTGGGTTAGACAACAGTTTGTCCCTCGTCTCAAGACCTTTCCAAGAAGCTCAAGATCGTGGAATTCGTCCAAGGGATGGTAAAGTTATCGATCCTTGAGCAGCTAGTACTTGCATGGGAAAATGCGACTTTTGCAGGTGTTGACGTGGGGCGCGCTCAGGTAGCGTCAAGCTTAAGAGGTTAATTACTTTATCCTAACCAGATGGGAAGGGGGGGGGGGAGATAAATTTAGAGAAGAATCGATTAATAGAGAGAACTTACGTGATCTAGTATCGTATCCATGACCACGAGCAGCACTGCCTGCACTACTGCCTGCACCACTGCCTGCACCACCGCCTACACCACCGCCTGCAACGCTACCTGCACCACTGCCTGCACCACTGCCTGCATCACTAGGAGTAGTGGGTGTCCGCGGAAGCTGTGACTGGATGATGAGGTATTTCTCCGGAAAGTAACCGGCGCTGCCGTCCCTTTGTAGCTTGATGTAGCAGAACCCTTCCCTGGACTCGCCAATGACAGTGACGTTTTCGTCACGGAAAGCACCCACTTTCGGCTGAAGGTGTGGATGCGTGTTTAGATGATCAGCCGAAGCAGTTTGACCAACTCGGGCTCTCCTTCTGGACGTAGACACAGTAGACGATGGAACGGCGGCAGGATTTACCCCACCAGGATTTACCCCACCAGGATGTAACCCACCAGAATTCGATGCTTGCTGTGCCTCAGGGATCCTATCATGGCGACCTGCTATTCCAGACAACACCCGGAGCCACAGCACACACAATCACAGATACACACATGTGCACGCGACACATGCACACGCACGCACGCACACACACACACACACACACACACACGAGACACATGCACATGCACACACACACACACACACACGCACACACACACACACACACACACACACACACACATGCACACACAAACAACCCCAAACATTGTTTAGACCAAGAACACACCAATGCATGGAGACTAAACAGCACCTGCAGGAGTAGTAACATATCAACAGCATGGTCAGCAATATCACTACAACCGTTTCAACAGTTCCAGCAGTTGCTACAGCCAATCGCAGACTTGCAGAAGGATTATGTCAACCAAGCATTGCAGGTATAAACGATCACCAGATACTGAAGATCAGCAGAGTAAGCAGTGCTGATCACTTCACCCTGACAATGTGGCTATCCCCCCCCCCCCCCCCCCCCCCCCAGAGGCCCAGTACTAGACCCTTCATAGAACCATCATAGACTAATATTGGGCTTTAATGCCCGTTTGGTTTGCGATGTAAAATAAAACTTCAAACAAACAAACCCGTCATCGAGCCAGCACGAGATCCTTCATAGAGCCCGCAGCTACAACACAGGAGGTGAGTGGGGCTAAAAACTGCTGTCCTAACATGCATGTCTCTACCACCACACTTTCTACAGTGATGGCCAGAAAAATCCAACCTCGTGAAAAAGTAGCAGTACGTTTGAGTGCACAGATCAGTAAGTGTAGTGCTAGGGCTGCGTAGCACCCGGTGCTATTATATTAATTAGTGTTGAAACTATCTCACCGGGTACTCGTTAGCTCGCTCGCCAGAAACTCGGCTCGTTTGTGCAGCCAGCTCGTTTGCACTAACGAATACCGTACACCGTAATCCGTACACATGGCAGTACATGTCGAGCGGGGAGTTGGAATTTTTTTTACGACTCCCTGGTCGATCAAGAGTCCAGTCCCGCGCAAAGTGAAAATCACTCGCAGTTACAGTGACTGCATGCCGCCTGCACGACACTGAGTTGTTTCAGTTGTCGTTGCAGCTTTGGTGGACTGCACTGATGTCTTGTTCCGCATCTGCTGACCTGCTGCAGCACAAAGTTCTGTCAACTTTCGATTCGAGTGAAAGTTACGATCAGTCGTTTGGAAGTTTTCTCCCGCGATGCAGCGAAGAACAGGGCTACAGTCGTTGCAAAACGGTCTATTCTTACAAAGGCTGCTCAATGACGGCGCTGAAAAGACATCTCGACACCAAACAGCAGTCCGAAGTGAAGTAGCAGCAACCCCAAACGCCGGCGGTGATAATTTGGACCGGCTGAATTGAAAAAAATCGAACTTAGGAAACAAAATTAAAAAATCATTATTTGCCACATCAGTGAAACTCGTTAGCTCGCTCGATAGCTTGCTCGTTAGTGGAACTGATCGCTCGTTTGTTATAGATACGCTCGTTTCAACACTAATATTAATGGGGTTGGATTCTTTGGCCCGCACTGTACAATCGGAACTGCTAGCTAACATCAGCAATTGATCCTTTTTACCATCATGGCAATCATGTGCACATACCACTTTGGCCTGCTGTTTGATTCCCTCGTTCCTGGCTCGCACTCTCTTCCACGTATGTTGCTGGAATCCAGCCAACATTGCCTGTCTTGAGCAACTTGATTTGAATATATCCATTACTGTCCGGGGCAGTTCGGGCATAGCATTCATCACCAGCCTGAGCAGAAATATCTCCACCCACCGTACTTGTGTAATCAGCAAGAACTTTCAACAGAGCAGATTGCTGACCTTGACCTCGTTGTTGACCAGAATCCGGGTGAACGCCAGTCTGTGGCTGTTGCTGTTGTGAATGTCGTGGTGGAGGCGGATGCTGGTGCTGCTCCTGTGGCTGGTGATCTCGTCTCTGCTGCTGTTGCGAGTGCAACTGTATGTGTTGCTGCTGCTGTTGCTGCTGTCGCTGCTGTCGTTGCTGCTGTTGCAATTGTACGTCTTGTGCGTGCATGGTTGCACCTTGCACGGCATGTGCTGTGGTAGGAACATGCGTGACGCCGCGGTTACCTAGCTGGTTGTCAGCCACGGCTGCTGCTGCACGCCGTCCAGAGTCTTGACTTGGCCTTGTCGTGCCGGCTGCTAGTCGAGAGTCAGGGTGGCGGTGGCCATGAGGGCCAGCAGAGATACCACGTTGCTGTGACGCTCCGCTCCTCATTTCCTCACTATTTGCAGAAGGGTGCGTCTGCTGCGTTGCCGGGCCAGTGGTAGGGGCGTCCAGCTGCTGCCAGCTGCTGTCGGACATAGCGCGTTGCCTTGGCAATGGCTGTGCAGTCACTACGTCTTGTCGCCAGACTTCATCTGCCTGGGATCGAGGTGTCACATTACCATCTGATCCCTGCAGCATCTGCCAACCGGTACCGCCTTGTGCACCCTCGGGAATTTGACCCATGCGATCATTGCCTGCCCCTGGCGTTGCGGAGTGACCATCCAGGCTACTGGGATTAAAACCTACAAACAGTCCCAAGTTGAAAACAAACAGACATTATAGTTCATCTTCACTCATGTTAACTTCAGTTACAGTCCGTGGTTTGAAATTGCTGCAATTTTCTCATACAGATAGGGTCGATTGAATTGAAGCCAGCACAGCGAACTGTCACCGCCTGTTCATCTTTCGTGCACAGTGTCTGTAGAACAGTGTTGACGTCCACCAGGCAAAGTACAAATTTCACCTATTCGCCAAACTTTCACTAATCCATGCTTCATGTTCTGTACTCATGCCAAATGGGGGGGCAAGGGTATACAGTCAACTTCGCTAATAGCGACTGCGGATCTAACGACAATTCGCGAATAAAGACAGAGAATAGTTTCCATGCCCAGAGCAAAGTCCATTCTACCTGTATACATATAATGAGACTTTGGTTATAACGACACTTCGCAATACGGACACTTTTCTGATGCCCCGCCGAGTGTCGTTATACGCAAAGTTGCCTGTACATGAGGGACTAGAACACTAACACAGCTAATCACACTGAGCAGTACCTTCAGGACATATCTGTCACTGCTGCATTCAAATGGTTCAACATCAGACTTGGTTCTCGCCGAGGGTAGTAGCGTTCCTACGAGGCTGTGAAAACTCGGTCTCACCAAGTCTCACGAAAACCATAATCTTTTTCTTTGTTGGTTCTCCCAGGCATAGAACCGATGGCCATGCATTGCCTTAGCATTGAATTTGGCAAAGATATCCTGGCAACTGTAACATCCGTAGCACAAGAAAACACTTACCAGTTCCAGCTTGAACAACCTTTACATCATCAGTATGACACCAGCCCACAATGTGGTCGGCTAACCGCTCCATCTCAAACCATCCGTCAGTTGTCGCTTCCGAGATGATATGCATTTCATCGCCTTCCTTTGCACCTAAGATACTATTGGCTGGGTCACCTTCGATGTCACGCGCTGCACGAACCAGAAGCCGGGCAGGAGTGGGTTGACCCAAACCACCTGTACACATAAACAAACAAACACACACACATACACACACATACACACACACATGCATACATGTACATACATTTCATAAACACACGCTCGGGTGTATGCAAACATGTGTAGTAACAAGTAAGGACGAAACGGCGTAATGTACGACCATCTCTCCGCCGACTGCGATGCACGTTCCACGTGGTCGTTGTACTGCACTGAATAGCTTTTGCAGGAGCTACGCGAGACTGAGGGGTGCCAGAGGCGCTTACCCAACATAACCGCATGCATCGTAGATGATACAGCCACTGACACAGCTCATTATATTGCTGTCGGGCCTCAAAGAACTGAGCGTTGAAGAATGAACAGGTTGTCACCAAGCACAGCTTACCAATTCCGTACATACACTGTGATTCAACAGCCCAGACTCAAGTAAAAAAATAAACAGTCGACTCAACTTATAACAAACTCGTTTCTTATAGCGAATTTCGTTATAATTATAGCGAACCACTGTCCATGTCCCTGTTTGAACCCACACCGAATTGGCCATTTGTAACGAACTGGTTTCGTTTAGAACGAACCAATTGTTGTGGGGCCGCATGATAACCAAGTGAACTCATACAGCCGTGGGCCACGTGCCAGTCACGATGTATTGTTTGTATGGTGTCAGTGCATTTCTGTTATAACAAACTTCGGCTATAAAGAACTAATTCTCCTGCACAATCGTGTTCGTTCTATCAGGAGTCGACTGTACTAGAACTTAGTAGAAGTAAGAACAGCCTCCACTGCACTGATCATCCACTGCACTGATCAAGCAATGATAAATTAAAATTTTGTTAGTGAAGCATGCACTCAACTCAAGTGAACACCGTACCACACTGGCACTGCCCTCACCTGCAGACGGACCTGGGGCTGGGTGCGTGGTGTGCATGTCACGTGCGCGCGACTCAGCCTGATCACGATCACCTGCACCGCCAGCAGCAGTAGCAGCGGATGAGTCACGGGGCTGCGAACCGGCTCCAGGGTAATCACCCGATTCCTGAAATCCTCTTCCACTCGCTCCAGCAGTACCTCCAGCATTCGCAGCACCACCATCAAAGCTTCCAGACAACGCACCCTCATGGCTTCCATCTGGGCTCATCGAGGCAGTCGGGTTGCTCCCACTCCCAGGCACCGAACGCTGCACAAGCTCACAATTATTCGCTGCCACGAAACGATTACCAGCTTTCGAGCGCACTCCTTGCACATTCACCTTCCACCAACCTGGTCCAAGGCCGAGTTTCTGTCCCTGCTCCGACCTGGCTGTGTACTTCTTGAACACAACCATTTCTCCCTGGCGCACACCTAAATAGTTCTGCCCTCTGGGTGGGTCGGTGGTCCTTTTAATCCTGAACACATCGCCAGGGTTGGGATTGTAGGCCATGGTGGTCCACGACACCAATCAGGAAACGAAATCTCCCACACTCACAGGCACAGGTACTATGAAACAAACTCTGCACGTTAGTGCAGTCGCTGAGTTCAGGACATGGTCAGCGTCCAACGCTGCTCAGCTGAGCAGCGCCGCCACACCGGAGGTGATTTGCTATGAACAGGGCACTAGTCTCAGGATATGGGGGACGAACCTGTGTCCACTTGAAGTCTGGAAGACGAAGATCACTAAAAAAGATTCTTTCCACAAAACGTGCGAGAAAACTTTCAACAGTAGTTGGAAAGGCCAGCAGGAAATGCAGCAAATACATGTATACGTGCCTACATCATATCCCCTCGCCGCCTCGGAGTCATGATGTAGAGCTCTACGCCTAGCCTACGCAGGCTACGGTCTACCAATCCATGCAGGATAACTGACCGTGCTGACTCTGGGGGAGTCTGGTCTGGCTGGTCTGGGCAGCGCAGGTGTACTCTCGCCTCGGCAGAGCGGGAGCGCACATCGCGCAACACGTGCAGTTGACAGTCATATTCATAATGAATGTACATAATTATGACTGTACGAGGTCATAAAATTATATTATCGAGAATCGAGAAAGCCAAAAGTGCGGCTGTCAGCTCGTACTCGTAGATCTATGAGTCGTAGTCGCTGGCCGCTGGAGACGTTTTCGTTTCTTTGACTGGTACATGGTAGATCTACAATCATGTGCTATTACAGATAAGCCTTGTTTCGTGTTTCCGAACACAGTGCGTCCTCCGCCTTGTAACATGCTGTCAACCAACACTATCATTCTACATAATAATAACTCCGCCAGAATGCAGTCTTCTATCAACAGTACAACCTGTATGATGTGTATCCTAGTCTGACTCTATGATCTAAACTAAAGTCTAAGTCTAGCACACGTACAAGGACATGCCCTGCAATCCGATCTAATACAATCTATAATGACTCAATCATGTACTAAGGCCACCCTTTGTTAATTCATTGTTTAACGTCCTTTTTTTCGCGAAAAGGTACGCGGGAGGGCGGAAAAAAAACAAAAGCCCATTCCAAAAACTGGAAACCCCAATCAAACATATTGACCAGTAAAGCATGTGATATATACAATATTTCTGGGTCTAACGGCACTTGCAGGCATAGAACAACACTCTTTGATGGTACATTGGAGTACATGCCTGATGAATCCAACAAAACAGGTACATAGCATGGAGTTAGCATGTCATGAATTCATTACATCTGGATTTTTACTAGGACACACACCGTACGATATTTAAAAACCAACAAAAAAAGAAAAAGAACACAAGACAAAGGCATGCCCGGGAGGCAAGATTATAAGTTTAAGGTCATGATCGGCACACTGTGAAACTACACAATCATGTATTTACAACTTCGCATATTATTGGTACTACTACTTTCTTGTTTTTTTTAGTAATAGATTAGAGGTATGCAGGGGATAGGGAGTGTACTTTGACCTGCTTCATGCTTGATGTGTCGTGCGTGTGTCATAAATCCTGTCATCATATTCATAGCTATAATTACTAGGCCCTTACGCCTCACTACCTTGTGAATACCTTACCATGACTGAGCAGATCTACCAATATCATGACATTGATTGTATAACATTTGCGGTATGTGAAATAATTAATTCGACTCGCTGATATGCAAGTAACTGGCATCCTGGACCAGTAGTAACTGGCATCCTGGACCAGTTTCCATTAGATCTACATGACTGTACAATCATAGCAGATCATGTACATGTACATCACAACATAAATTTGGTGCGGCTTGCGTACTCCGAAGTACATCCAGCCGCATCCAAGGCTTACATACCTCTTCCAGGGCGTGGAGCCGGGCCATGCAGGTCAGGACAAAATACAATGTACATTGTGCATGTATGTACTTTGTCCAGTGTGGGTCAAATTTCACCAAGTATTAGTTAGTACAACTGGTATCGGTTATGTTTTCCATATTGTAGTTCACCTAGTCCTTAGGTACACATGACATGGTACATGTACAGGCATTGCTACCGTCTTCTTGCTGTGGATCATGAATGATGCAACAGCTCCTAGACTATGCACGATGAACTGTACTTCCACACATAATTATATTATTCACACACACACACACACACGCACACCCACACTTGTAATTGTACTTCGACTCTGTGTGGACTTGGAAAACGTGTCCCATAGAGTCATAAGGACTCAAACTACAATAAGGCCAAGGCGCAGAAGCCAATGACATAATGAAGGTGTGCACCATCTGATCATAGGACTTGCTTTACCCCCCCCCCCCCCCCCCCCCGTTACCGTGAGTGAAGGTGGTAACATGACACATGTGTTGGCTACTGGATCAGAGTAAATCTGAAATAGCCCTAACCATCACCATTGATTATACAAGCATTACCCTAGCCAAAAGTGATCAATTTGTCATCAAGGTACAGTCGTCCCTCTCTAATCCGGCACTTTATAATCCAGCACCCTCGATAAACCAGCACAATTTTCAGTAGCCAAAATGTCCTCTTCATGCACATTGCAGCAGTAAATCAGATTTGTTAATCCAGCACCCTCCCTAATCCAGCAGATTGTCATGGCACAAATGGTGCCGGATTATAGAGGGACCACTGTACATCGAAGAGCAAGCACATGTGCAGGACTGCGGCGAAAGGTTTTTGTAGTCATAGTTTATGGCAACGGACCAAGCCAGCCTTAACCTGGCACTTCTTATGCAGCATGCGCATGCATGGACACACACACACACACACACACACACACACACACACACACACATTTCCATCCAAATCTGCTATTGTTTGTTCGGTTGTGTCAAGGTTTGATTTCAATCACGCAAAAACAAAAAATGCAACGAGTCAACGGGCAGCAGGTGATGCCGGTAGTGCCATAACTGCACTAGTATCAAGTTCCTCAAAAGTGTGGCATTATCCAACATTCTATAATCTCATCAAAGCACGTGAGCAGTCACTGTGGTTTACTCTCAGCTAGTTGCCGATACTCCACTATAAGAAATTACACTCAACTTAAATTGGTATTATTTACCATGATAAAAACTACAAAGTAGGAGGTCCTGATAATATCTATTAAAATCTCAAGAATTTCTATATGTCGAGTCATTGATTTCCTTGGAGGAGCAGTGTTTCTGTGTACCAGTCATACCTCACACACGCTATCAGCTCCTGGCATACACAGACTGAACACTACAAGCACGCAGTTCTAGCCACACACACACACACACACACACACACACACACACACACACACACACACACACACAACGGCAGCGGTGCCCGTAGCGTGGAGCCAGTTCTTGCACAGGATCAAAGAACATTGTCATCTGACCTCATCTGTTCATTGTTTAACGACAGGTCCAGCATACAGGTCGACCAACTCCTTCTCCAAGCGTGCTGAACTTGATATGAAGCGGGCACTGACGCTTGCATTACCACAGGTTCCAGCATAGAGGCACGCTTGACAACACGCCAGGAATAATGCTGCAGGCTTGGCTCGACCACCGCAGAACTTTTGAAGCTCAGTTGCGAACATGTGACTCACAGCGTATGATGGTCTGCGCTGGCTATGATGCAGTAGTTCTGGCAGCCGACGGTGTAGCAGGCGTGTTCTTGCTGGAGCTTATCGTTTCCAGGTACGTACCATACTCCAGCAGTGCCTAGACGAACAGAACAGCAACGGAAATACAAGATAAGACTTACATTCGTCCCACCACTGGCATCAGAGAAGCTGTTAGCCACTATTGGCGCACAGGGTGCACTTTGGCAACAACTACTTGTATGCACATCCGAAGGCAAGAGGAGCTGCATGGTGAGTCAATATGATACATTGGAAGGGAGGGGGCCCGGGGGGGGGGGGGGGGGACGTCCAGCAGATTGAGATTACTGAGAGTCCTGGACTATTTTTTTTTGAAATGTCATACATTGCACCTCCGATGCAGTGGATACGCCCACACACCTTGTACAGTGAGAATGGGCCTTGTTAGCGTGCACAGCACTGATAGTTCCATTTGTATCTCTTCCACACAAGAGCGGACATGCAGTTGTTCTTCTAACTCTCACGATGCATCTCAATTTCATGCGTTGAGCCAGCATACAAAAATTGAAATGCACGCAATATCTTCTGGGTTTTACGTGATGCTGAGCTTTTCTTTCCTTCCCGTTCCATTCTTGCCATTCTTTCTCTCTTTTCTTTTTGTACATTTTCCATGGCTGGGTATCAGCCTCATCTCTGGGGCTGCTCCCCATGTCAGTGCTGCTATGCATATGTTATGAGAGTGAGTTATATGAATAAATAAAATGCAGTTGACCTACCTGGTAGACAAATCGGTATTGGTCTTTCGTCTGGACCATGCCACCTCGATCCTGACGAAGCATGGCAAATGTGTTCAGTATGTCTACATGACGATCTCTCTCCAGCTGCTGCATGCCAACATCCAGGGCAATTACAGTGCCCGTTCTTCCAATGCCGGCGCTGTAGTAGGCACAGAGAGCACAGGAAAATCACACAAATACATGCAGATGTAAGCACAGAGAATACAGGGAACGGACTCGGATGGAGAGCCAAGGATAAATTTATAGTAAAGAAAAAAGGACCAAGAAACTACAAGTTACGCTACGCGATTGTTTAGTAACTGGTGGTGTTAGTGGCATTATAGCGTAACTTGTAGCTTCTTGGTCCTTTTTTCTTTACTACAAATACAGGGAATATCAGACAATACATGTGTGTTGGCACAGAGAACACAGGAAATATGACAATACATGCATTTAAGTACAGGGAATACAGGGAATATCACATAATGCATGTGTGTTGGCACGCAGGTCCACAGCATACGTCAGTATTCGATAGCCTGATTGCAGGCGAGTAGCAAATACAGACAAGAACATACTCAAAGTGAGTTGCAGTGCTTGCTCAGCTCATTGTAAATTTCATGTCACGGCTCTGTATATCATTATGATAAACCTCTACTAAGGTCTTGGTTATGTGAAGTGCATACTATAAATCAACAACTATTCGGCGTATATTTATTTTCGGCTATTTTTGGCTTGGGCATTATTAGCCTAAAACATTTTGTGGCCTTAATTTTGTTTTGCAAGGTTCAGTGTGATAGTACAGGCTGAAATTTTAATGGGGTCGAAATGTGTTTTAGCCCTGGGAGGCCGAAATTTTAATACACCGAAAATGTGCATACTTACATTATTGACGGTCACGGACATGGTAGCCTCCTACCCACTTGCACACCCCCTTGCCGAGGATTAGTCATGTCATGCACAAAGACATCACCCCTAACCCCCACTGCACAGACAGTGTACACACAATGCCCTGCCTGCCTGCCTGCCCGCATTGCATACCTGCAGTGGACGAGAAGCGGGCCCTCGCTGAGACGCATTAGTGACTTGAGCTTCGTCAGGTACACCAGAAGACTTTTCGGCGTACTAGGAACGCCAAAGTCAGGCCAGGAGGTGAACCACCAGTGGTGCACTTCTCGTGTTTCGCTTTGCTACAAAGACACGCACACAAAGGACAATATCAAACACAACAAGAAACAATTTAAGTCAGTGCACTGGAATGTAGTTATGTGCATTGATCAGGCTTCAGGTTTTTCCCCCTTGTTGGGCACTGGTTGTGAGACTAGCTACCTCACCCTAACCGCTAGGCATTGCATCTGCCACCTTGGTATCGCAGGCATGCTCGTGGCCTTGCACAAGCAAAACTTCCCCAGCCGGTGGTGTTCTGAACACAATTGTATAGCTGATGGTAACGAGGATGAGCAAGCTTGACTTTCCTTTGCATCGCAATATAGGTAAGCACATGACAATAGAACTTGCAGAGTAGGCAGCCGCAATGTTACTCCATCACACACTGGCTGCTGAGGTGTTTCCCATAGGATCACTGTTATTCCATCACACACTGGCTGCTGAGGTGTTTCCCGTAGGATCACTGTTATTCCATCACACACTGGCTGCTGAGGTGTTTCCCGTAGGATCACTGTTATTCCATCACACACTGGCTGCTGAGGTGTTTCCCGTAGGATCACTGTTATTCCATCATACACTGGCTGCTGAGGTGTTTCCCGTAGGATCACTGTTATTCCATCACACACTGGCTGCTGAGGTGTTTCCCGTAGGATCACTGTTATTCCATCACACACTGGCTGCTGAGGTGTTTCCCGTAGGATCACTGTTATTCCATCACACACTGGCTGCTGAGGTGTTTCCCGTAGGATCACTCAGTGTGCAAGCATTGTACATGTAGTTTCATTTGAGGGGCGAATGCTGCCGTTGCCCTGTCAACATGTCGCACTATCCAGACCACCTTCAGTTGACTGGAGTGTTTGGGGAATTACAGCGCGCCAGCACTGGGTGCGAACCATGGAGCAATACTAGCACACCAATGGCTGCCATCATCGATAGAAACAGCACATCAACGGCTGCTGCTCTCATCCAAAGGAAAGCGTTCCACGGCCAAACTAGCGATTATAGTGCATCAAAAAACGCCCCATCACGAGAGAGCTCTTAACTGGTGCATCTCCCCCCCCCCCCCCACACACACACACCTCCCCTTCAACAACTACAACAACACGAATCAATGCCAAGAGGAAGCCTCTCTTATTGGCGATGGTGCCATCGTGAGAATAAAGAATTCCAAAGCCTGGTCCAATAGTATTACCTGGATATTAGTCACCCATAGTATTACCTGGATATTGGTCACCCATAGTTTGGTTATGGTGTAGTCAGGCTTCTTAGATCTCTCCTTCAGCATGACCTCCATGTCTCCGTAGATACCTAGTTCACTGCTGTCCTCTGATGGCCAGTACTGGGCGCACTTTATCTGCCGGCAAACACAGGCAAAGCAATGCAAGTCCAATCATAACCGGGCGTAAAACATTCTGACATACTGGGTCAGTCACCCATCATCATCTTGCTCAGTGGTTAAACTTGAGCAACTTGAATGAAACATGACACCATCATAATATTATTATACTGGAAGTACCAAAATACAGTCGACCTACCCTTATAACGATATTTCCGTCACACCAAGAAATATTGTTATAAGGGTAATATTGTTATAGGGGTAACTGGGTCATTTCATACACATACGTCATAATGCATGAGTTTTTTCCATTTTTTACACTCTTCATAGCATAAAAAACTGACATACATCATTTTACATGCACATTATGTACACAGCAAGGTGCCCACTGGTGCCCCTGTTGCATTTCGTCATGTCCCAACGACTTATCAAGTGAAGCTTGCCCTACCTGGACAGTGGGCTCTACATGTTGCTTGCTAGATATTGTTATAAAATGGAAAATGTCGATTGGTCAGCCCATTTTATATCGTTATAGGGGTAATATCGTTATAACAATATTGTTATAGAGGTAAGGCACTGTATACACAAGTCAATGGAGTGATTTGGTTTGGCAGAAAAATATCGTTATAAGGGTAATATCGTTATAGAGGTTATCGTTATAAGGGTAGGTCGACTGTAGCTCCATCACATGTATGGCGAACACTAGCCAAGCTTGCTTGGTGACGTCAACGCGGACAAGTGTATAATGAGCGTATACAGTAAACTTTGCTTATAACGACACTCGGCGGGGCATCAAAAAAGTGTCCTTATTCGCGAAGTGTCGTTATACCCGAAGTCTCATTATATGTATTACAGTTGGAAGGGACTTTGCTCTGGGCAGGTAAATGCTGTCGTTATTCGCGAATTGTCGTTATATCCGCAGTCGTTATTAGCGAAGTTGACTGTACGTGTACATGTATTATCAATTGCTGCTTGGCAATGAACTTCAAGCTTAGATCGTGATCCAGTTAACTCCAGTGGTTCCGGGTCCATGAGCACTATGTTCTGCACCACTGTTTGTACTGTTCACTGTGCTGCTAGTGGGTGGGGTCAAACGGTGCGTAAGGCCATTGGAGTGTGAGTGTGTGTGTACGTGAGTATACGGGAGTGAGAACCTAACACTAATGTAAGTTGTGCGCATCTAAGTGTCGGAGGATGGGGGGGGGGGGGGGCAGAGAACAGGTAAGAGATGGAGGCAGTGAGTGCAGAAACAGAAGAGCAATGCAGGCAGACCATGGGTCTCAGGGACAGCGGTGCACCACACACCGCAGAAACATCACACCAGTGACACCGCTCCTTACCACTCCTCTCTCCTCTAACCCAGTCAGCATGATGATCACGGACACTTTCTGCTCCCAAGCCATTCGCCAGAAGTCGTGCACAGTGGAATACAGTGGTCCCTGTGCTGCGATGTATTTGCGTGGTGCTCCATCGAAGCCCTAGTTCACCAGAGGACAGACACAGAGAAAGAGGGTGAGATCCGTTTGTCAATAGCAAATCTTTATTCAAAAGCAATCTACGGTAAGCCATGCGAATAATATTATAATGAATCGCAGAATTAACAAGTGTACAAAATTCATAGGTTAGCGAAATTATACGTTAACGATCTTGAAGTCTTCAGGCATACCTGCACATAACACATAATATTACAGCCTCAACAGAAAATTGTCAATAGCGAAAATGATAGATTTGCTCCATCGTTGTATTATGACATGCCAATGGCACTATGGTGACACAATGGTTGATGCGTATAAATGTATAACCTAAAATAGCTAACTGCACACCCTCCCTTGATGTTTATCCTTGCTATATCCATGCCCTAATACTGGACTTACCCGTATGAAGTTGGCATTGATGTAGTCGGAGTTGGGCTCACCGAACTTCAACTTCAGACCAACACGAGTGCGTGGGTCTGCCAGAACGCATGTCATGTACGCACGCACGCACGCACGCGCACACACACACACACACACACACACACACACACATACAGAGAGAGAGAGAACGGCATTCATACACAAAATTTCATGATGCACAACTCGTGCCGCACAACGGCATGGGCGGTGAAGGCGAAGTGACCCAGAGCCAAGTATTCCCACTTGATCTGCCTCATGCTGGATCGCCATAGTCATGAACATACCCTGCGTGTAAGTGTGCGCTCATGCACATACCCTGTCTTGCGCGTGCATGCAAACCTGTTCTGCACACTGCATGGATGTTTCCTGGTCTGTTGATGGCATGTCCAAATAGCATTAACAAACACCTTCCCTATGCCCCGGCTAATGATTCACCCCACCGCTCAACTCAACTTGCATAGAAAGAAGATAATCCCTGACAGTGAAAGCTCAAGGGGTTTGCCCACTTGCCATGAGGAAGGACAAAGACCGTTTGGTCAGGAAGTGCTTCGCTTACTTTGCCCATGGAATAACCAGACAATTCTGCAATTTAGCTGCTAAACAGTGCTTCACTACTGGGGGTCTGGACCAGGCAAGTACATGTCCGATTGTGGCTAGCCAAAAGACCATTTGAATGATGTGGTGGCTATGCCTCTGTGACTACGGGCTCTTCATGATTTTCACGGCACTGGCAGAAACAAACGTGACTGTATAAACACCGTCACTTGATGTATGATAATGGTACCAAGGCACGGTTACTCATAAACACTGTCAGTGATGAATGACAATGGTCTCAAGAAGCGGTTACTCTTGTCAACAGGTCTTACTGGGAAGGACGTTGGTGTATCTATTCTTCGTCTCCGTGCCCGGCGGAATGTTGTCGGCTGTTGTGAGATTGGTCGGAACAGACTGTAGTACAGCACATCAAACAACACGGAAGCACACAGCAGATATACCATGGCACTCAGATATACCATTACACACCAGTGCATACAAAGTGCAAGGTGCATCCAGATATTTCAGTTTACTTGAAGTACAACTCTACTGATCAACACCACCCACTTGGTCACCACACTCCCATTGCACGATACACTACAGCACAGATAATTCGGTGAATTCTATATCGCCTGATCCTCCTGATAACTGCTCTCAGTGAAGGCAACTGAACAGGGATGACAAGCTATCCCCGGTGGATGTGTGGGATGGTAAGGATGGTAAGGAAGGTAAGGATGGTCCTTTTTCTTTTTACCAAGGGCTAGCCACAATTTCCTGTTTTTCAGAATTTCGAGCCAATTTCCAAATCCAATATGTCCTGCTAGAATCTATCTGAGCTTCACATCAATCTTATGTAGCCTAATACACCAGAATGTTGTGTAGCCAGCCTGACAGCAGTGATACTGTGTTCACCATGACATCCGGCGTTCAGTTCTCTCTCGACACCACTGTTCATATTCCGCGCCTTGCTTGTTTCGGTGTTCTTCCTGTAATACACAACTGACCTGCTTCTCAGTGTAAGAAATGAGTGTGCTGAGTGTGAGCATGTCACAAAGACATACCACTGTGCTGATTACCCGGGGCGTAGCTCGTACATCTGTGGTGTGGTGACCATGTACCAGAGCATATGAAACTCCCTTCAATTTAGACTACGTCTTTGGGAAATCCTCAAATATATATAATAATAAATAATAACATTGAGCACTTTTTTGCCGACGCAAGAAATACTTCTATTGTTCTATAATAAATACTCAACAAACGGCGAGGAGACAACAATTTGATAACCGCAATCAGTAATACAAGCTGGATCGACATTTGTGTACACTGTATTCATGTATTGTAAAACTGTGGAGACAATGTGCAATAAAACGATGAAAAAATGTGAAGAAATTGTGTAGAGAAAGAAAGGGATTCAAACAAGTTTTCGTACAACACTCATCAGGAATCATCGTTGTACTAAAGGACACTGAAACAAAAATTGAACTATTATAGAAAATCTAAGTTAGAGAAATAACACTAAGAGCAACAACAGTGAAATTTACAAGTGTGAATTTTAACAATCAAAGCGAGAAATGAACAAAGGAGAAAGGAAGGAAAGACAACGTGATAACACATAACAGCAGTACATTACACCTAGAACATTAACGGCCAAGCTTGGCCGCACTAAACACGACACGTTACTTGAACAATTTCAACCCAATTATACTATCTTTCTGTACACACAAATTAGGCTTGTACAGACGCTGATAGATAGCTTCCAACACTTTTAACTGTAGTCCATAACCATGACGACCACGGCACAATACAGTGAACGAAGAGTCAGAATACGCACCGCAACAATCAGGACTAGCCAGCAGATGATTGTACACTGAAGACTTGCTACCACGAAACCTACGCACAACACTAACACTCTCACCGGCACTCTCACCATCACTCCCATCACTGCTCTCCGACTCACTGCTCCCTCCGCCGTCCGTTCCATCCTCCGCTTCCCCTGCACTCTCTCTGTCTCGTCCATCCCGCCTGACCGGGTCCATTGAAGTTGTTGAAAGTCGAACAAACTACTAAGGCTCCTTTGTTTGGTCCTGCTCGTTGTCCCGTCTATTTATGTTTGCCTTGGAAAGGACAGGAGTCGACTAAAGTTTGTAGTGCAGTCAAGTCCGTTGTTCGTCGAACATACTATGCAGTACACTTTGTGCCAGTTTTTACGACGATGCGTGCGTTTACGGTGCGGAAGGATGTCCTACCAGCCCTTCACCTTAGTCATCTTATTTACAACTTTGAATGCCGACAATGCGCTAGTCGGTATGTTGGTAGGACTGTTCAGCACCTGAACGCACGCATCAAACAACACACACCACGTCACATACTTCCACCTTGCGCACAACAACAAAGACCGAAGCGAGGGCGACCTAGAAAACAACCATTAACCACACAGCCGTTGCCTACACAACCCGCGGATCCTGGCTCTCAGACTGTGCTTGCTCCGCCGTCGTTGGTGGCGGTGGTGGAGGAGAATGGGCGTGGTTGCTCATCGGGTCGGCTTGTGTCGCCGCCTTTGCTCCGGCCGTCGGTGGTTCCCTCGTCAGTGCCCCCGGCGGCTTTGGCTGAGGCGGTGCCGCTTGCGGTCCCGGTCCCACTGCCTCCTCCTGATCCTCCGCCATCGGTTCTTGCGGCGGTGGAGCTTGCCAGTGGCAGACCGCGAGCAACACTGACAGCTGCATTAACACTACAAATGCCGACTCAAAAAGACCCACCCTGCATATCAGTAACTCCCACACCAACACCAACAACGCAATCTACAGCAACCACAACTAATCCACCATCCAAGCCCATAATTGAAAGACCAAGACGATCAACAGCCAACTACAACAGAAGCTACGCACTCAGCGGACGAGGGCGAAAGGAGGGACGTGATAGCAGGGGGACGGCCGAGTTGGGTTCAATGGACCCGGTCAGGCGGGATGGACGAGACAGAGAGAGTGCAGGGGAAGCGGAGGATGGAACGGACGGCGGAGGGAGCAGTGAGTCGGAGAGCAGTGATGGGAGTGATGGTGAGAGTGCCGGTGAGAGTGTTAGTGTTGTGCGTAGGTTTCGTGGTAGCAAGTCTTCAGTGTACAATCATCTGCTGGCTAGTCCTGATTGTTGCGGTGCGTATTCTGACTCTTCGTTCACTGTATTGTGCCGTGGTCGTCATGGTTATGGACTACAGTTAAAAGTGTTGGAAGCTATCTATCAGCGTCTGTACAAGCCTAATTTGTGTGTACAGAAAGATAGTATAATTGGGTTGAAATTGTTCAAGTAACGTGTCGTGTTTAGTGCGGCCAAGCTTGGCCGTTAATGTTCTAGGTGTAATGTACTGCTGTTATGTGTTATCACGTTGTCTTTCCTTCCTTTCTCCTTTGTTCATTTCTCGCTTTGATTGTTAAAATTCACACTTGTAAATTTCACTGTTGTTGCTCTTAGTGTTATTTCTCTAACTTAGATTTTCTATAATAGTTCAATTTTTGTTTCAGTGTCCTTTAGTACAACGATGATTCCTGATGAGTGTTGTACGAAAACTTGTTTGAATCCCTTTCTTTCTCTACACAATTTCTTCACATTTTTTCATCGTTTTATTGCACATTGTCTCCACAGTTTTACAATACATGAATACAGTGTACACAAATGTCGATCCAGCTTGTATTACTGATTGCGGTTATCAAATTGTTGTCTCCTCGCCGTTTGTTCAAATATTTTAAATCGAGATACACCCAGCCTCAGATAGATATTCTGAATCTAACGCTGAAAGCACGTTTTCATTACCGTAGTGTCGCCCTTAACGTAGGTTTTCTTAGACGATGTTTAGACAATGGCGTATGTCCTAGCGGTGTAGAAAAGCGTGTTCACCGAGCCAAGGCATACCACACGTTGAACATTGAGCGCGTTTTCATGAAGGATGAGATTGCCAGGTCCGGTGACACGGTGTGCAAGTCTCGTTCCCAGTTTAGGTCTTTGTATGATCGTGCACGTACATTTTTGTCATCTCATGACTTCCTCCGTTTCTCAATGCTCCTTTCTGAGAACGACCAGAAACAACGAATAAAACTTATTACCAAACATGACAAGACATATAACTGGCTCAGAAGGAAACGTTACGGCCAAGTTAACATCGATCCCGACACAACAATAATCAACTTAACCCCATTGGAATTGACTACTGTACAGAAGTAGCTCCTTTGCCGTGGCACTGATTTTGGCGTTCCCCCATCATCAAAGAAAAAGGAAGTTATCATGACCGAGTTCGAATTGTTTTATCGAAAGTTATTACGCTTTACGCCAATATCAGAGGCCCAACAATCAATATGCGCTGCAAAGATCCGAGCTGAGGCTGAGGAGCATGCGGACAAACTTCCAGACAAGCGATCGTTTTCCTTAGGCCAGGAACACATGAAAGCCCTGCGTGACTTCCGCAAAAACACTGAAATTATCGTCACGCGCCCGGACAAAGGGCGGGCTACAGTTCTGATGCTCAGAACTGATTACATCGACAAGATGTCTGTCATCCTAAATGACACATCAAAGTTCCAGACCATCGGCCCGGTTGAAAGTTTTGATCGAACAGAGAAAGTAGAAAAAGAACTAGTAGCTTACCTAAAGAAACTGAAAGCCGACGGAGAAATATTCTCCAATGATTTCGATCGCATAAAACCGACAGGCACGCTCCGGCCTAGGCTATATGGCTTACCAAAAATACACAAGCCCACATGTCCAGTACGTCCCATCCTTTCTATGACGGCCTCGCCGCAGTATTCTATTTCCAAGTGGCTGTGTATTTACTTACAACCAGTGCAGGACCACTATTGCAAGCGCACTGTAAAAGACAGTTTTGATTTCGTCGAAAAGCTCCGCAACAAGCCTGTACCACCCAACGCACACATGTGTTCGTTTGACGTCGTCAGTTTATTTACTAATGTGCCGATTGAAGAAACTGTTGACATCTGCATGGATGTTTTGTACCGTAATGATGACATTGACACTCCTTGGATATCTGAAAGTGCGTTTAGACGATTGTTGTTGCTGGTCACAACTGGAGTTGAGTTTTCGTTCAACAATGTCATGTACAAACAAGTCGATGGTGTCGCGATGGGTTCGCCCCTTGGTCCAGTATTGGCAAACGTGTTTGTCGGTTACTGTGAGTCGAAGATTGATGATTCATTGTGGCCTGACCTTTATGTACGTTTCGTGGACGACTCATTCACATATTTTAATAATGAGGAGCGTAGTAACGAGTTTCTGGACGTGTTAAATGGTATTCACCCTGCCCTTCGTTTCACATGCGAGCATGAACAGTCCAACAAGTTGTCATTTCTCGATGTGCTGGTGGAAAAAACGAGTAGTGACGTTTTGACAACCGTTTATCGTAAGCCGACGTTTACTGGTCAGTACATTGTATATGACTCTTATTGTTCGTCTCAATATAAAGTAAACTTAGTGCGTAACCTTGTAGACCGTGCGAAGCGTATTTGTTCGTCCTGTAAGCTGCAGGAAGAGCTTGACTTTCTCCGGTCAGTTTTCGTTAAGAACGGTTACCCTGAGTTTTTGTTGCAGAAGTTGTTGAAAGTCGAACAAACTACTAAGGCTCCTTTGTTTGGTCCTGCTCGTTGTCCCGTCTATTTATGTTTGCCTTGGAAAGGACAGGAGTCGACTAAAGTTTGTAGTGCAGTCAAGTCCGTTGTTCGTCGAACATACTATGCAGTACACTTTGTGCCAGTTTTTACGACGATGCGTGCGTTTACGGTGCGGAAGGATGTCCTACCAGCCCTTCACCTTAGTCATCTTATTTACAACTTTGAATGCCGACAATGCGCTAGTCGGTATGTTGGTAGGACTGTTCAGCACCTGAACGCACGCATCAAACAACACACACCACGTCACATACTTCCACCTTGCGCACAACAACAAAGACCGAAGCGAGGGCGACCTAGAAAACAACCATTAACCACACAGCCGTTGCCTACACAACCCGCGGATCCTGGCTCTCAGACTGTGCTTGCTCCGCCGTCGTTGGTGGCGGTGGTGGAGGAGAATGGGCGTGGTTGCTCATCGGGTCGGCTTGTGTCGCCGCCTTTGCTCCGGCCGTCGGTGGTTCCCTCGTCAGTGCCCCCGGCGGCTTTGGCTGAGGCGGTGCCGCTTGCGGTCCCGGTCCCACTGCCTCCTCCTGATCCTCCGCCATCGGTTCTTGCGGCGGTGGAGCTTGCCAGTGGCAGACCGCGAGCAACACTGACAGCTGCATTAACACTACAAATGCCGACTCAAAAAGACCCACCCTGCATATCAGTAACTCCCACACCAACACCAACAACGCAATCTACAGCAACCACAACTAATCCACCATCCAAGCCCATAATTGAAAGACCAAGACGATCAACAGCCAACTACAACAGAAGCTACGCACTCAGCGGACGAGGGCGAAAGGAGGGACGTGATAGCAGGGGGACGGCCGAGTTGGGTTCAATGGACCCGGTCAGGCGGGATGGACGAGACAGAGAGAGTGCAGGGGAAGCGGAGGATGGAACGGACGGCGGAGGGAGCAGTGAGTCGGAGAGCAGTGATGGGAGTGATGGTGAGAGTGCCGGTGAGAGTGTTAGTGTTGTGCGTAGGTTTCGTGGTAGCAAGTCTTCAGTGTACAATCATCTGCTGGCTAGTCCTGATTGTTGCGGTGCGTATTCTGACTCTTCGTTCACTGTATTGTGCCGTGGTCGTCATGGTTATGGACTACAGTTAAAAGTGTTGGAAGCTATCTATCAGCGTCTGTACAAGCCTAATTTGTGTGTACAGAAAGATAGTATAATTGGGTTGAAATTGTTCAAGTAACGTGTCGTGTTTAGTGCGGCCAAGCTTGGCCGTTAATGTTCTAGGTGTAATGTACTGCTGTTATGTGTTATCACGTTGTCTTTCCTTCCTTTCTCCTTTGTTCATTTCTCGCTTTGATTGTTAAAATTCACACTTGTAAATTTCACTGTTGTTGCTCTTAGTGTTATTTCTCTAACTTAGATTTTCTATAATAGTTCAATTTTTGTTTCAGTGTCCTTTAGTACAACGATGATTCCTGATGAGTGTTGTACGAAAACTTGTTTGAATCCCTTTCTTTCTCTACACAATTTCTTCACATTTTTTCATCGTTTTATTGCACATTGTCTCCACAGTTTTACAATACATGAATACAGTGTACACAAATGTCGATCCAGCTTGTATTACTGATTGCGGTTATCAATAAATACTCAAGTAATAAATATCTGTGGTGTGGTGACCAAGTATCACCCGCAACCTCATAGGCGCCATTTTGCCTATGTAGCACCAGTGACAGTCATTTGCTGGTGCGGTCACCGAACTACGCTGACTACACACGAGCTATTTGCCTGTTGGAAACATGGCCGCGTGTGCAGTGTGTTTAAGGCTGTACACGGCACAAGATCTGTGCAGGTCGTCGGTTCAGGAGACACGCTTACCTTGAACTGTTGAACAATCTGATCTGGTTCCTTGAGCACATGAGCTAATCCTGCCAAGTCCAGCCATAGCGATGGCAACTGCAGGTGCAACACACAGGGCAACATGATTCTCTCAAAGAAGTGCTTGATTGAGATATTATAATTTTGCAGCAAAGAGACCACTTGATTTGGGGATGGTTTGTGTAGGGATCTTCATGTAATGAGGTGGCTGCAGTGGAGCCTGCGCACATAAAGAGAAGTGGTTCAGGGTAGGAAAATCCAGGAAGGGGTTGCCATGCCCACATGTGGGCAGTCAGTGGCCGGATTTTGCCAGCATTCAATCGCACACTGATTACACGTATGATGCAAGGTGCACATTACAACACTGGGGATGGCATTGGGATGCAGGCATTCAGAAGAAACTAGACAATTCCTCACATACTTGCCGGGTGTGCGTTTACGAGATCCATCATGGCTACGGCACCCAAAATAGACAGCACAGGCCAACATACTGCAGATACGAGTATACTTACTGAGCTATCTTTCTGCTTTCCTTCTTCCTCAGCTGCCAATTGATTAGCTGCAGCATTGATAACAACTGTGGAGTGCTCTTCGTGCCCACCCAGCTTGCTTCCAGAGGAGACCTTGGACTTACTGCCGACTAGAGAATTCTTGCTCGTTGAGATTAGCGAGTTCTTGCTGCTGCTGGAGTGAATGCGATGCTTGCTTCCCTTCACGGACGTCTTGCTGCCCGCCTGGCTGGCAATGGAGGTTTTGCTTTCTCTGTGTGTTATGTTTGCCTGGCTGTTGTCCGTGCTCTGCTGGTCAACAGGACTGTCCTCGGTGGTGGACCCGCGCCGGAAGAAGCCGAGACCGCGGAACATGGGTGCTTTGCGCTTTGCCTGTACCTGCTGCTTATCATTCCAGACCTCCATGTGTCCTGATATACTCTGCACCGGATGATGGTGATGAGGATGAGGATGATGACAACCAGCAACATAAGAAACGACACACACATGTACGCACACACACACACACACACACCCACACACACGCACACAATCACACGCACACACACACACGGACAAAAGGCACGCATGCGTACACCCATACAATTAATGCAAGCATCCTTGATCCTGCAGCTATCAAGTGCCCAATTGATTAAGTAATCCCATTCAAAGTGTGATCCAATGCGGAGCATGATAACTGCCTGTAGGAATCTATAACTTGCCGAAGTCTTGCACAATAGTCGAGTGGAGAGAGAGAGGGGAAGACAGGATGAGAAGAAGTGCCTCAAATCCAACATCCAACATCCAACAACCTACATGTCACATATGCAAGTGTCCAGTAAACCACACATCTTCAACCGTCTGCATTTATCAATGGTTGGGGATTTAAGCTTTCTAGTCCTGTAGTGGATGCCTTACATCTGTATACTTGAAATTGATATCACAGAAAATTCAGAAATATGCACCATGCAGCTGACGTCTGTACGCATCCTGGCACAAAAAGCAGCGGTTTGGACCATTTTTCAAATTTCACAGTACTGCTACATACAATAAAATCACGAAAAACGCCAAAATTTAATACGAGAACTCGCCAGAGCCAGGGCCCATCTCTTTTTTATGAATGGACTGTAGTCATAACCCTGTGTTAGCAAGACCTATGACTGCATTGTGTAACCCTGTGGTAGGGTGACCTATGACTGCATTGTGTAACCCTGTGGTAGGGTGACCTATGTGTACCCCTGTGCTGATATGTGTTACCATGGTGATCTATGACTCACCTCTTCACTGGTCATTGTGGCTATGCTATCCATACTGACGGCAGCATGCAGATGTTCCGCACTCTCACCGGCCGCCGCAAACCAGTTATGCCCCGTGGCACTGGCAGCGCTGGCACGACCAGGTGTCCTGCCTTTACTGCGAGACTGTGAAGCAAAAAGAACAACAAACAACAGCACCGCAATAACAATCTGGTTGAAGCACATTGTAGCAAGCGAGCTTTTGCAAAGCATTTCATTCTTCTTGCTCAGCGTGTAGCAAGCACAACTATAATGTAAGCCACTACATGTCCATTGTCAACACTGCCAACACTGGAGGGACTAGCTTCACACCAGAATAAACACGTACTAGCCATCACTGACTGATGTGCTACACGCACACTGTAACCAACACCATTATCAGTGGCGTCGCACATGGCACGGTCACTATGGTATTGACGGTACCACTATTTGCCCCAAGTACCCTGTGAATCAATAAAATGCACTGACTTGGGCTCTAAATTTCCTAAATTTCGTGCGCCGGTGCCCTTGAAGGAAGGGGGGGTTCCGGCCCCTCCCCGGGAAAATTTTTAAAAAATGAAGCAAAATCCTGCATTTTGAGCGAAGGGGGGGGGGGGTTCCGGGCACCCAGGAAGCCATACGGGGCACGCGCCTGCCTTCCGACGCCCCTGATTATCGTATCACCCTCCATCTGTCCATTACAAGTTGCAAGTAAAGTGAAATCCTGCACAAATGCTTTCACACCTACACCAGGCGCCACACTTCCATATCTCGCCTGAAAGAAAGAGATGAGAGTATAGTCTGCTGTACGTTTCAGGCACTGGCAGTCTTCAGATCTTCAAGTACTGTGGCACTCTGCTGTTTAGACTGTGACTCCATACAGCGTAATAACATTCTGGTCACGCTGCTACAATATACTGCAAGGCTAAGGAGACACAGGATGTGGTACTCAACAGTTTAGATCTCACCTTTCTCCATTGGTAGACATTGAAGACCAGAAGGATCAACAAAGGAACGCCGAAAGCTGGCACTACCCATATAGGGAAAGATGATGATGCAGCGGGTAGACCCGGTAAGGCTTCAGTTGATGTTGTAACCGGTGGCTGAGATCCACCACCACCACCGCCGCCACTTTGTAACCTGGCGTATATTTGCTGTGACACGCACTCGTTACCGATAATTTCGGATGCACATGTGCAGCTTCCGGACACGCACTGCGTGCCCACGGGACACGCGTGCTGCGCATTGCACGCACACGACTTGCCCTCGCCGATTTCACACTCGCACGCATAACTGCCCGGCGTGTTGGTGCACTTGCTGTCGGCCTGGCAACCATGGCCGCCACTGTCCACGCACTCGTTCACATCTGAGCAGCTCAGGCCGTCCCCGGTGTAGCCCACTGCACACTGGCACTGTGCAGAGCCGGCTGTGTTGACACAGTGAGAGTACACCGGACACTGCACTAGGCCAGCACTACACTCATTGACATCAACGCAAACGCCCAGACCCGTTCCGCCGCCACCACCCTGCTGCTGCTGCCGCTCGTAGCCAGCCTGGCACGCACAGCGGTAGCTTCCAGCGACGTTTGAGCAGCTCTCCAGCGCGCCGGTGCAGAGCGTCGAGCATTCGTTCCGATCGTCGCACTGGCGCGTGGTGGAGTTCCAGGCATAGCCAGTATGACAGGTGCATGTGTAACTGCCGGTGGTGTCTGTGCATTGTGAGTTTGCACCGCACGGTGATACAGGTACACATTCATCGGTATTACTGCAGACTATGATGGTATTGCTTGGATGAGAATATCCGGCCTTGCACTGACAGTAATAGCTTCCAGCGCTGTTAACACACGATGACATCATCAGGTTACAATTGCTACGTCCGGTTCTGCACTCATCAATGTCCGAGCACTGAGCTCCGAATACCTGATAGCCCTGCGGACAGCTCGTTATCGTTCCCGCCGCCGACGAACTGCAGGAGAAAGACCCCGCGGTGTTGGTACATTGTCCCGTGCCACAGGCGCCCGTAGTGGCACATTCATTGATATCCAGACACTGCCTGCCACGGCTAGTAAAGTATCCCGTCCAGCCGTTGCGACACGGACACAGGAAAGACCCGATGGTGTTCACACAGTAGGAGTTACGGTTGCACTGCGACGCCACACTGCCGCTAGTACATTCGTCAATGTCGTCGCAAAACACTCCGTTTCCAGTGTACCCGGAGCCGCACGCACACGTGTACGTCCCCGGCGGCGTGTTGCTGCATGTGGCCTGGGCGTGGCAGTTGTGCACACGATTAGTGCACTCATCGAAATCGACCGGGCAGCTGAGCGCATCCGTAGCGCTGTGGTTGTACCCGGGCGTGCAGTCACAGCGGAAACTACCCATCGTATTCACACACACCGTGTTCACGCCACACGAGCCAGGTCGCATGCACTCGTCATCGTCCTGGCAACAGTAACCGTTGCCAACATAGCCAGCCAGGCACCGGCACGTGTAGCTTCCCGGCGCGTCGGTGCACGCTGCGTTGGCGTGGCAACCGTGCGTGCCGTCCAAACACTCGTCGATCTGCGTGCACGTTTTGCCGTCCCCACGGTAACCAATCTTGCACGCACACTGATAGGAGCCGTACGAATTCGCACATGTCGCCATGGTAGCACACGTCGACAGTGAGCTACATTCGTCTATATCATCACAGTAGACGCCGTCACCGGAGAATCCACTCAAACACCCGCACGTGTACGAGCCGTTCGTGTTCGCGCATGCCGCGTTGCTACGACGGTGGCATTCGTCCGTGGTCATGTGACATTCGTCGATGTCATGGCAACGTGTCCCGTTTCCGGACCAGCCCAGCTGACATGTGCACAGGTACGTGGCAGGTAGATTAGCACATGCAGCGTGCACACTACACGTGTGCGTGTTGCCTGCGCATTCGTCTATGTCACTGCACACAAACCCGTCTCCGGCATAGCCAGCCGCACAGGAGCAGTTGTACCCGCCGGCGTAGTTCGTGCACCTGGCATGAACGTGGCAGGCGCGCGGTGCGGGCACGCTGCACTGCCCCAGCTTCGTGCAGTCCCACGATGACATCATCATGGCACATTCGTCGACATCATCACAGCGGTGTGCCGACGTCATCGAGTCGTGGTAGCCGAAGTCACACTCGCACTGGATGCCGTCACCGCTCTGTTCACAGTGACTGTTAGCTGGGCAGTTGGAGCAGTTTGCCAGGCAGAACGACGTGTTGGTGTACACCGCCGGAGAGCACATTGAGCTCACTGCAACAGCACAGAGAATGAGAGCACACAGATATACTAGTACGTAGTAGAGCTCACCGCAACAACACACAGAGGATGCATAGTGTATGTGATGGACGGCATACGCATACCGTACATGCATAGTTTCCGACATGGGTCCAAATATAAAGGTAAGCTGACAAGTTAGTTCAGTCATCTCTCATAGCAATGCTTGCACAGTCTTATGATGTGCCGCCTCCCCCGCCTACTCCGTGCGCTAGTTCACGCACACCACTGGAAGACTCCCTCCTTGGTCAATCATATGTTCATTGTGCAAGACATTATGGCAGTCCCATATCACTTTGACATTGCCCATCAATATACTCCCATCGCGAAACGTAGATTTAACCAGACACTGAGATATATCTATAGGCTAACAGCATACTGCACAGTGCACACCCAGCTGTTATGTCACTAACTACAGGGTACAGCATTGTGCAAGGTTCCACTAAGTGGGTCAGGACTACTGCAATGCTGCTCATTGGTATCCGATCATGTAAGGCTCCTTAGTGCCCTGCACCCTGAGTCCACAGTCCACAGTCCAGTGTGCACCCTAGACAGAAACCATCCTCTTATTAGACGCCATCATTCCATTTGAACAGCTGGAATGCAAAGCCCACTGGATGCATTGCACCACTTTTCGGAGGATGGTCAAATGTTTCAAAAATTGTGCTTGCAGGTACACTAGACCTTGTATTTGCATCGAGCTGCTTCACAAGACGGCATTTCTTATTGTATGAATATAGAGCCATTGTGAAACAATAGAAATCAAATGCACTTTCGAACACTGCACAGTTCCTTGTACAGAATGTGCCTTGGATCAGCCATCCCATGGAGGTTGACCATCCCATGGAGGTTGACCATCCCATGGAGGTTGACCATCCCATGGAGGTTGACCATCCCATGGAGGTTGACCATCCCATGGAGGTTGACCATCCCATGGAGGTTGACCATCCCATGGAGGTTGACCATCCCATGGAGCATCAAACATCCCACCTTATTCATCTACTGCAAAGTGAGAAACTTTCGCTAGAGATCAAATTTCGCTATTTTCGCGACCATCACACATTCGCGAATATAAATCGCCGCAAACCTCTCCGTACATTGATTGTAGCCAGTACAAGATCCAACTGAAGAGATAGAATCGCAAACGTTTCCCATCGTGAACCAGCCCGATTTATGAAAACGCTAAATTTGCACGTCGCGGAAATCTGTCTCGATGGCATGGTATTTTTCGCTTCTGCGACGTTGCTTCAGCGTATCCGCTACTTTCGAGTGCATGTGTGACCAGGCCCTTACAGTATCATCTAGTGTAAAATGTGACTCACCGTATTGGCAGTGATAGCCAGTGAATGCCGGTGGACAATCACACGTGTAGTTGCTCAGCCCGTCTCTACACACACCCTGGTTGTAGCAGACATTGCCGGTCCCCGGCGCGCAGTCGTCCGGATTGACGTCACAGTGCACGCCAGTGAGACCGACGGGACACGCACACGCGTAGCCGTTGACCATGTCAACGCACGTTGAGCCGTTGCTGCACGGAGACGACCGACACTCGTTGAGCTCGGTTTGACAGTGCACACCGGAGAACCCGGCCACACAGTCACACACGTATCCGTTGTGACGATCATGGCATGTTGCGTTGTTACGACATGGTGAAGACAAGCACTCGTCAATCGGCAGTCCGCAGTCGGTACCGTTGAAGCCGGGCTCGCATACACACACGTAGCCGGCCACACGGTCGATGCACGTGCCGTGAACGCACGGTTGCGGCACACAATCGTCCACGTTTCTCTCACACATGTAGCCGGTGAACCCAGAGACACAGGAGCAAGCGAACTGGTCTACTCCGTCGTGACACGTGCCGTTGTTTCGACATGGCCAGCTGGCACACTCATTGATATTCGTTGAACAGTTCCGACCAGTGAAACCTGCCTGGCACAAGCAGGCATAGGCAGCAATTCCGTCCACGCACGTTGCATTGTTACTGCACGGCTGTGCAGCACAGTCATCTATATTGCTGGAGCAAGTTCTGTCGGTGAAACCGGTGGCACACGTGCATGAGTAGTTTGCAATGTGATCATTACAGGTGGCATTGTTACGACATGGACTCGTCAGGCAATCATCGATATTTGTCTCACAATTCCTACCCATGAAGCCAGTAGCACAGGAGCAGTGATAGTTATTGATCTGATCCGAGCACGTCGCACCATTCAGGCATGGTGAGCTTGCACAATCGTCAATGTTGTGCGAGCAGTTTGTGCCGTTGAACCCGGCGCTGCACCGGCACGCGTACGCAGCGATTCCGTCCATGCATGTGGCGTTGTTCAAGCATGGACTCGGCACACATTCATTGACATCATTGGAGCAGTTCTTGCCGTCGTACCCCGCCGCACACTCACACCTATACGAGGCTACACTGTCGATACACGTTGCACCGTTCCGGCAAGGCTGAACAGCACATTCGTCGATATTCTCCGAGCAATTCTTGCCCCGAAAACCGAGCGCACACTGGCAAGAGTAGGCGGCAACCTCATCAACACACGTAGCATTGTTCTGACATGGATCTGGTATGCAATCATTGATATTCACCATGCAGGTTGAACCAGTGAAGCCAGCACTGCAGGTGCATGCGTACGCGGAAATGCCATCGCTGCACGTAGCATTGTTATGACACGGTAGCGAGGCGCATTCATCAATGTCAGTTTCACATTTCCGTCCTGTGTACCCTGCCGCACACTGACACGTGTACGCGTTGACACGATCCGTGCACGTAGCCGAATTCAAGCAGGGTGAAGAGCCGCACTCGTCAATGTCAGCTGAGCATGTCTTACCCGTGTACCCAGGTGTACATAGACAAGAGTAGCCGAGTATCTGGTCGACACAGCTCGCACCGTTCCGACAAGGACTGGCCGCACAGTGATCGATATCCGTCTGACAGAGACGACCTGTGTAGCCTGCATCGCAAGTGCAGGAGAACTGAGCAATGCCGTCCACGCATGTAGCATTGTTACTGCAAGGACCTGACAGGCATTCGTCTGTCTCCAGTTCACATCGACTTCCAAAAAACCCAATAGGACATGTACAGTTGTATGTAGCAACACCGTCAGAGCACGTGCCATTGTTACGACACGGTGAAGAGCCACACTCGTTGATATTTGTACCACAGTCCATACCGGTAAACCCAGGCAGGCATACGCACAGGTAACGGCCGATCAGATCACGGCACGTGGCTCCGTTCTTGCACGGCTGTGGTAGACATTCGTCCACTTCGGTTTGACAGTTGTGACCAGTGTAGGCGGGCGGACACGAACACACGTAGCTGTTGACCATCTCTCCGCACGTACCGTTATGCTGACACGGGCTGGACATACACTCCTTCAGCTCCGTATCGCACAGGCCTCCAGTGTACCCGGCATTACACTGACACAGGAAACTGCCGTTAATGTTCATACATGTACTGTCGTTCGCACACGGCGAGCTCTGACATTCGTCAATATCCTGCTGGCACAGTCCACCAGTGTAGCCCGTGGTACATGTGCAGTTGAAGCTGCCAGCATGGTTTGTACAGCTAGCGCCATTCCGACACGGTGACTGCAGACACTCATCCACATCATTCTCACAGAGTGATCCGTTATACCCCGATGTGCACGCACAGCTGAACCCGCCGTCGTTGTTAGTGCAGTTGGCACCGTGACGACATGGTTTCTGCAGACATTCATCAATATCATATTCACAGCGTGACCCGTTGTACCCAGACGCACACGTGCAGTTGAATCCGCCGTCAAAGTTTGTACAGGTAGCGGAATTCCGGCACGGCGACTGTAGACACTCGTCCAGGTCGTGTTGACAGCGCGATCCGCTATACCCTGATGTGCATGTGCAGTTGAATCCACCCACTAGATTTCTGCACACAGCAGCATGTTCACACTGCAGTGTGCTGTTGCTGCTACATTCGTCAATATCCGACTCACACAGCTGCCCGGTGAAACCACCGGCGCACGAGCACGAGAAACTTCCGTTAGTGTTGTAACAGGTTGCAGCATTTCTACACGGCACGGTGGCACATTCGTCGATATCGCTCTCACACTGCCTGCCAGTGTACCCTGACACACAGCTACAGTTGTAACCACCTGCATAGTTCAGGCAAGTGCCGCCATTTTGACAGGCGTTGCTATGGTTACATTCGTTGACATCGTCGGCACAGAGAAGACCGGCGTAGGCCTGGGGACAAGAGCAGTTGAACGAGTAGCCGCTGTTGGAACAGGTGGCGTTGTGCTGGCACGGAGAGCTGCGACATGCGTTCAAATCCGACTGGCACTGTGCGCCAGTGTACTGAGCAGCACATGCACACGTGTATGCTGCAATGCCATCCACACACGTTGCACCGTTTCTACACGGGTCACCAGTGCAGTCGTCCCTGTTGACTGAGCAATTGTGCCCTTCGAAACCGCCGGCACAGTCACAACGATAGGCACTCAGCAGGTCTACGCACGTAGCTCCGTTAGCACAGGGTGAGCTCTGGCAATCATCTATATTCACAGCACAGTTATGATCCGTCCAGCCCAGTGCACAGTTGCACGTATATCCACTATAGATGTCATTCACACAAGTGCTGTTGTTGGAGCATGGCGATGGCGAGCAGTAATCCGGAGCCGTCTCGCAGTTCTTGCCCGAGAAACGTGACAGGCAGTCACAGCGGTAGTCGATGGCGTCCTCGACGCAGGTTCCGTTGTGCCGACACGGCTGGCCCGTGCAGTAGAGCACTCGCGACTCACAGCGCCGACCGGTGTAGTCGGCCGTACAGGAGCATGTGTAAACACCACCATCGCTGGAGCATGTTCCACCCTGCATGCACGGCGCGCTGTCGCACGGGTCCAGCTCCGTCTCGCAGTCCACGCCGCTGAAGCCGGCGGGACAGACGCAAGCGTAGCCCGCACCCACGCTCGCCTCCACGCACGTGGCATTGTACATGCATGGCTGGCTGGCACATTCCAGTGTATCCACATCGCACAGTGCTCCGGTTGTCCCGACAGGACACGCGCAGCTGAACGAGTTCACACCGTCCACGCATGTTGCGTTGTCGGCACACGGAGTGTCAGCACAATCGTCAACGTTCGTCTGACAATGATCACCCGTATATCCAACTGGGCACAGGCAGTCGTAAGCAATGTGCTTGTCCACACAGGTAGCATTGTGTGCACACCGCGTGGAAGCACAGTCATCCACTGAGACGTTGCATCGTTGGCCCGTCCATCCACCTCTACACGTACAGTTGAACTGTGCGGCGGCTGTGCGGTCGACGACGTTGGGAGTTTCCGTGCATGTCGCATTGTTAGAGCACGTTGCATTCGTGCAGATGACTGTCTCATTGCACAGCCTGCCACGGTGCGTCGGTGGACACGCGCATAGGTACCCCGTGGCAACGCCGGAGCACGTACTGTTGCCATGGCACGGGTTCGAAATGCACGGGTCCACCGCTGTAATACAGTGGATGCCCGTGTGTGACGGTGGACATTGGCAGCGGTACGCGTTAATGTCCTCGACGCACGTAGCGTTGTTAGCACACGGACTGGATGCGCACTCCAGTACCTCCATCTGACAGCGTGCTCCAGTAAAGCCAGCATGACACGCACAGTGGTAGCCGTCCAGGGCATCTGTACAGTTGCCGTGATCCCCGCATGGCTGTGGCAGACAATCATCAATGTTATGAGCACACCTCACACCCGTATATCCACTAACACACACGCACCGATACCCGTTGACCTGGTCGATGCAAGTAGCATTGCTGAGGCATGGCTGAGAGGCGCATTCATCAACAGGGATATTGCACAGTACTCCTGTGTAACCTGCGGCGCATACACATCGATAGCTGTCGATCTCGTCCACACAAATGCTGGCGTTGTGGCATGGCTGAGACACACATTCGTCAGTGGCACTCTCGCAATACAAGCCGGTATATCCTGCAGCACATAAACATCTGTAGCCGTTGATACCATCCACACAAGTACTGGCATTGTGACATGGACTGGATGCACATTCGTCAATATCGCTCTCACAATTCAAGCCGGTATATCCTCCGGCACATACACACCGGTAGCTATTGATATCGTCAATACAGGTGCTGCCATTGCGACATGGACTGGATGCACATTCGGCAATGTTGCTCTCACAGTTCAAGCCAGTATATCCTCCAGCACATATGCATCCGTAGCCATCGATGCCATCCCTGCAGGTGCTCCCATTGCGACACAGGCTGGACGCACATTCGTCAATGTCGCTCTCACAGTGCAAGCCAGTATATCCTCCAGCACATATGCATCCGTAGCCATCGATGCCATCCCTGCAGGTGCTCCCATTGCGACACGGGCTGGACGCACATTCGTCAATGTCGCTCTCACAGTGCAAGCCGGTATATCCTCCAGCACATGCACAACGGTAGCCATCGATACTGTCAATGCAGGTGCTGCCATTGAGGCACTGGTTGGACGCACATTCGTCAATATCGCTCTCACAGTGCACCCCAGTGTACCCAGCCGAGCAATTACACACGTACCCATTGACTAGGTCTGTGCAGTTACCGTGCATTGAGCATGGACTACTGGAGCATTCATCAATGCTCACATCGCATACACTACCGGTAAATCCTGCCGAGCAGTTGCATGAGTAGCCTGTAACGTTGTTCACACACAGCCCGTTGCTGCCACACACGCTGGAGTTGTTGCAGTGGTCGATGACCGTGGAGCAGTTTCTGCCTGTGTGCCCCGGTGCACATAGACACGTGTAGGTACTGATAGCATCCACGCATGTTGCAGTAGCGTGACATGGCTCAGCAGAACAGTCGTCAACATCTGTCAGCAAACCGAGAGAACACAAAGAAACACAGAAGAACAAAAAGGAACACCGTCACTGATTGAGTCCAAGGAAATAATCCCCCCCCCCCCATTCTCTCTCTCTCCCACTCTCTTTCTCTTCCTCTCACCTTCTCTCCCTGCAATAAAGCTTGACCACTAAGCTAAGTTAGTCAGATAAGCTAAACATGCATATCTGATGTTAAGATCTGGGTTAACATTTGTTGAACTGTTTGTTCCTACTGTCTCCAGCCGAGTCTCATGCGAACCGTGATTTTTTTCTACTGAAGAATCAGACACCCAACTCGCAAAGAAGTAAAAAGGACCGGGACAAGAGCAAAGAGGATAGACTGACCTACATGTAAAGGAAAGAAGGTCAAGACAGAGCGAGCAGGGCAGCTACTGCGTGGGCCTGCGCAAAGCAGCTGCAATGATGAGCCGGCATGTACAGGCTCTGCAAACCTATGCACTAGACCTCAATACCAGCAGCGAGCATTGGAGATGGAGTAAGCTCACCAATGGCATGGAGGACTATGTTGTAGTTTATGTGTTTGCCAAACACCCAATTGCTTGAGTCAACTAGCACTGGGTATTGTGCAGTCCCAGACCTATCAATACTGTTCTATGTACTATCGGAGGGTACCCATCTCATAAGATCAGATTTTGGTAAGCACATCTGAATATGATTTTCTTACAACTGTACAATGAGTATCAGTGTGCATAGGGTCGTTGGCATGGTCCCAATTTCTCCATAGATTAACCTCCCACCCAAAGACTACAAGCATACATCGTCCTTTTAAGTTCGTCATGCATCACGCCAGTGTTATAGCGGACACAGTTCTTGTGTGTTACGGATCTTACCTGTTTCACAGCGATGTCCAGTGAACCCCGGTCGACATAGGCAGGTGAACATGTCCACACCATCAACACATGTGCTGTTGTTCGAGCAATTAGCCGCTGCACAATCGTCAATATTCGTAGCACAAAGCTGCCCTGTGTACCCACTCTCACACTGACAGCTGCTTGTGTGGTTTGCAATGATGCAAACACCACGATTGCAGTCGACGCCGGCACAGTAGTCGATCGACACATTGCAATGCCGCCCGGTGAAACCAGCGGAGCACAGGCACGCATAGCCGTTCACCGCATCCACACACGATCCATTGTGGCAGTTGACACTGCTACAATCATCCACATCAGTCTCACACACACTACCCGTATAACCTGCCGCACAGCTGCAGCTGAAGGAGTCAATACGCTCGTGGCATGTCCCCCCGTTTCTGCACGTCACGGAGCTGCAGTAATCTATATCCGTTTGGCAGAGCTGGCCAGTAAACCCCGACGGGCACGTACATGTGAAGTTGATCGTACTGGTGTGACACGTGGCGCCATTCAAGCAGCTCGCATTCGCACAGTGATCAATTGCAGTTGCACACATTCCGCCGGTATAGCCCGCATTGCATTCGCACATGTAACCGGTACTCCCAGCAATGCAGCTGCCATGGCTGCATGGCGATGACAAACATGGATCTAGATAGGTCTCGCACAGCCTGCCAGTCCAGCTAACAGGACACGTGCAAACATATCCCGCACTGGATGAATTACACACGCCGTTGACGCATGGCTTTGACTTGCAATAGTCGACTGACTCGGTACAGTTCTTGCCCGTGAAGTCTGAAGTGCAGTTGCATACGTAGTCGCCGATCAGTGAGCTGCAGTTGCCATGCAGACAAGGATCGTCCTTGCACATGTCGACGACGTCCGTACAGTTATCCCCCTGATAACCCGCGGTGCACAAACAGTCGTAGTCGGCAGCATCGCCTGTAGCTGTGGTGCCGGTGCTGCTGCCGGTGTCAATAGCAACACACGTTGAGTCATTATCGCACGGATTCGGAGTGCATGCGTCTCCAGCAGCACATGCTAATGCAAAAAGGAAAAACAAACCAGACATGCGAGCTCTGATACAGGTGACCACCAATGCCATTGGGATACCCAGCATGCCTACTGACATGATTTTCTTCGTGGAGAAATGTCACGTTGCACGCCCGCAGGGTATGAATGCCATTCCAAGTCTGAACGACTGTATAGCTCAAAATGACATAGCACAGAGGAAGTGGTGTGTTTGAGCCCTGACATGGAAAGTGTGTGTGTCTGTGTGCATGCATGTGTCTTGTTGTTGTTGTTGTTGTGTGTGTGTGTGTGTGTGTGTGTGTGTGTGTGTGTGTGTGTGTGTGTGTGTGTGTGTGTGTGTGTGTGTGTGTGTGCATGCATGCATGTGTTTATGTGTGTACTGTACATGTGCTGTCGTGGACCTGGAAATCCGGTCATACATCTAGCGGCCCCAGGGCGCTGGCCATGCAGCCGTGGATAAGCAGTACACACAAGCATTTATGCGCTGCTGGTTGCGTCGGATCGATATGTGCACTGCACGCAGCGTTCTGTATGAGCGGAGACAATGAGGGCACCGGCCCTGGTCAATCGACTGGATTTTCATGTCCACGCCAGTACATGTCTGTTGGTTGACAGCATGTAACAAGGACGTGGACACCGTGTTCAAAACAGTGACCTTACTACAAGCATCCATGTTGTAGAAAGGTCACTGTTTCCAAACACGGTGTCCACGTCCTTGTTTAATACATGTTGTCAACCAACATGTTTGAACAAAAACAAAGTTTATCTAATATGTACCGGTACCTGCATGTATATGCGTATGTATTTGTGTGTATTTCAGTGTCAAATTTAGATCCGCTATTGTTGTTATAAGAGAAAGTCTGTGGGTGCACATGCAGTGGATTTTCAGATTCGCACGCTTGTCTTGCGACGGACGTATACATGGTGCAAGGTACATGGATGCGTGTTTGTGTGTGTGTCTGTCACTGGATGTGTGTGTGTGTTTTTAGTGTGTTTGAGTGTACACATGGATGAGTCGTATGTGTCGGTACCCCCCCCCCCCCTCTCCCTCCCTGCACACACACACACACACACACACACACACACACACACACACAATTGAAAATACCAATAAAGTCAAGTTCGCTAATAACGACTGCGGATCTAAGTCCCACCTAGCTGTTACTGTAATGCATTATAAGGAGACTTCGGGTAAGGACACTTTTCTGATGCCCCGCCGAGTGTCGGCGTTATACGCAAAGTAACAGTTGACTGTACAGTCATGCACAAGCTTTTGCTCGGGCACAAACCTACTATACTTACTATGCAGTTGTCACTTGTACAGTGCTGGCAACTGAAATCCGACCCCCTTGCCGGCGCGGCGCGTCGGCAGGGGGGTCGGATTTCAGTTGCCAGCGCTGTAGTATGTTCCCCAAGTTCTTTGACTGAGAATCTGACAGTTTGGGTTCAAATCCCACCATTTGGCTTCAGATTTTTTCTTCAATGTATATGTAACACAAAGGGGCCACAGGACAATACCTTGGATGATTGCCGGGTTGGATGAAAATACTATGTTCTTCTACGTTTCCTTCCTGCAGCGCTCAAATGCTAGGAGTCTAAACAAGTGATTAGCAGTGGTAACCAGCTAGCTGCTTCGGTATGCTATGACTTGTATCTGTGATTTCCATCAGAGCGTCTGCGAAACCTCCGGCAGGAAGGAAGGCCTTGCATCAATAGGGCCCTAGGCTAGGGAGTGATGACTGGCCCATCGCTGCACCACCATGCTCGGATCTTTCAATGGGTGGTGAAGGTCTATCGTCAATACGTGGGTGGTACATGTATGTACATCGGCCCTGCACTGGCTGCAGTCGAATATTGAGGGCACTGCATCGATTATGGGATCTGATTGAGTAATGGGATTGTGAATCGGAATGACCCCTGCCCCTGGCCTGGCCATTGACATTGTGACTTACCAGTAAACCAAAGCGCTACACCCACCACGCTTGCGAACAAAACGAAGCACTGCTGGTCGCTCCGGCAGCTCGCCATTGCAGATTCCGAAGGCCAGGACGAACTATTCTGTCACCCCTCCACTCTTTGGTTGCTAAGTCCTCAGGCTTCTCAGCAAGGTCAGCCATGGGCTGTACCTGGTGGCAACGAGTTTTCCTTGAGCATTCCCTTTCTCTCTCCACAAAGAGATTGGAAGGATTGACGGGTTAGGGTTGGAGGAGCAAGCCAAGAAATGTGTCAAGAAAACAGCAATGTATTTTGTACGTAGATGTCAGACTGTGAGCGCAGAAACACTTTTTGTTCGAGGACAAGGGTGTGCGCTATTTTGCCTTGTCGATGAATGACTCTGCGGCTGCGCTCTCACTCCGCCGGACTTCTCGGTACAGTACACCATGGTCACTCAGCCCCGACTTTTTTCTGCTGGGAGGTGCGAAAATTCGCTGTCAGCCAAGTCCCGAAAGACTCGGAGGCGTCTCCTTGATTTCCTAGTCATAACGGGCATGAAATGATGTAGCATGTCTTGCTGCGGTTGTCACCATCAGGGGACTGCTGATAAGACCTGTCCACACTTCCACAGCTGGACTGACAGACTGTGCAGTGGAAGGCCGCTCTCTGTATTGTACGCGGCGGATGCAAGCAGAAACTAAACAACTATCCATAAACACTAAACAGTATAATCACACACATGCGTAATTCTAGTTTGCATTTAGTCTCCGAGAAAGCTATTTAGAGCTACTAAAATGTATAGCTGAAAACAAAACCCACCCAAGACACTACCTTTGCCAACATGGGCATCCACGGTCTCCTAGGTCAAGCACAGGTATGAGAACATGGAAAAGCCGGCAGACTAAATTAAACGTTGTAGTACTGTGATAACAAAATTAATATTTCATTAAACTTCCTGGTCAAAACAGGTATTTTGATTAAAGTGTGAAGTAGTTTAGAAGCAAATCACAGAAATCTTTCAGCATATATGTATATGGCACACAAAAAACCGGATGCAAGCAGTACTGAGATATATATTCAGGAAATACACAATGATACAATGATACGACCGTCTAGTCAGACACGATAAGCAATCTTTACAGCTGCTTGAACAAATCATATCATGCAAAGAAAAGTGCCTTAGCAAATATACCAGGGCTGTTCTCAATGGGCGAAGAAAGTAGACATAAGCTCAACTCGTTGATGTGGCATTCCCAGACTACGGCCTCAGTGATAAACCAAAGTAGCATGCGTGATGGTAATGTGTTATAGCAGTTAAAATGTGGAGAAGTCCTTTGAATATGGCCCGTACAGTATTGGGATTATTCAAGCGAAGCAAAATGTCAGCTGCAATATGCCGGCAGAATCTGTTTTAAAATACATGTCTGCGAGTTCTTAAAAAAACGAATTATGGTACTTCAATAAGGCAGAACACTTCTCTCCGTGCCCTACCCAGCTTTCTACTTGGATTCCAATGCCTTAGTATCCCTCATCGACAGTGTCAGGACATGGGACGAACGGGGAACGAGGACCGGCGCTGTTCATCTGCAACATGAAAAATGCAAGCATGTAAAGCCCATGACACAGACATGCACACACACACATATACCCACCCCATGGCATATTATGTGCGCATGAAGACACGCAGTCATCCACAAGCAAACATACGTACACGCAGACGCACACACACACACACACACACACACGCACGTGCGCGCACAGACAAAACAGGATAACAGCTTCATACAATGGAAGAAAACAGAAATAGAGACCAGATTTACAAGCAACAACCAATCACAAGCCTATTATACAATGCATCAATGAAAGACAGACCTATTCAACAGGATCACTATGAGTCAAAGGAAATGCAGAACTAGCTACACAAAATCTTGTCAAAGACATGAGGCTGGCAGATAGGGGTCATATACAAATCTCATCATTTGAGATGCTTCGTATGACGTGGCAAAGCTGATCATACCCACAACTTGACTCACATGCCCCGTCGACAAAGCGCAGTACTGAAAACCAACAGACTGAGGTACGTGTACTGTCGTGGACATGGAAAACCGGTCGCACGTCTAGCGGCCCCAGGGCGCTGGCCAAGCAGCCGTGGGTAAGCAGTACACACACATAATTATTATGCGCCGCAGCGCGCTGGTCACATCAGATCAACATGACTGTGCACTGTTCTGTACGGGCTGAGGGCGCTGGTCCCGGTCAATCGACTGGATTTCCACGTCCACGACAGTACATGCAAGGTTCTGACCAGGTCAAAATAGTAAGGGGAGGAGGGGGGGGGGGGGCAGCAGGGGAAACAGTTACCCCGTAATCAATTTGTCCATTTCCAAAATTGTCTTGCCATGCAAAATACGGGTGTGTGTGTGTGAACCCCCGACTTCACCTCACACCCTTTATGGCCCCCTGTTAGTGACTACTGACTGCATTTTCATTGAATCGCCTGAAAAACACAAATCAACAAATGAGTAGGGGGGGGGCACATTTTCACAGGAGGCGCTCAATCAGATCAGGAGGGGGGGAGCACACCCCTCCCCCTCCCCCCCCCCCCTCCTTTGGCTAGAACCCTAACATGTGCACATGAAAGGAACAGGCAGACATTCCGAATGCTTACCGTCATCCTTGAGCGAACCCAGCACGTATGTATCAGGTGTAACAGTTCCCACCAATCCAACGGAGCTGGAGTTGGAGGAGCCATAGCGTGACATCACCACGGACGGATTGGAATCATGCTTCTGATAGCACTCCACTGCTGACCGGCTGTTGGAAGCTGAGCTTGGTGATGAACTCCGCTCCGGGTAACTAGGATAGTCTGGATACAAAGAAAACACGCAGATCAAAGCCACGCGCACGGCCACAGCCACAACGAAGATCACCGTCACCACCAATGTCACGACCACGTTCAACGACAGAACTAGATACTCAAAGTATATATTCGCCTCGGTTTGTATAACTAGTGAATATTGGCCCATATTCACTAATGGCAGTTACTGTCAAACGGGAAACGTTTTCGCCCGTTTTAGTTTGCGATTTGCGAGCGCAGACCAATTTGCACCTGGAGATGTTTCCAATAGGAGTCGATTTCCTTCTGCGATTAAATATCCATCACGAAAAATACGAAGGATTCCGGATCGCAAAGATTTCCGGGTTTCCGGGAAACCCTGTTGTTGTCAGTTGACCAAGCCTTTCTTAATTACACTCTGGTGGAGAGACAATGATCAATTTATAAGAAGAAAAGAGGACCAAAGAGCTACAAGTACGCTATGATGTCCACTAACAGTTCCACTACACCAGTTAGTTGTAGAACATCAGTACCATTGGTCAGTGTCATGCAATGTTATCGCATGAGCTGATTGTAAAGTAACTGGTGGTGTTAGTGGATATTATAGCGTAACTTGTAGCTCTTTGGTCCTCTTTTCTTCTTATAAATTAAGCCTTTCTTAGTTTGGTTATTGCTGAGAGGTCGGTTTATAGCCGGCAAAATACGGGACTGCGTATCTGTGTAGCAGAGAGATCAAGAACTATGATTGTCCGATAGCTTGCATTTCCATCATCAGAAGCTAAACTCAGCCCCCACCCCATCTTGCACCGGTTACCCATCTTGCACGATATGCAATGTAACGCACTGAGATGCAAGATCATGCACATGTAAGGAATGCACATAGAGCTGTAAGGAATGCCCGGAGCTGTATGGAATGCACTGAGCTCTAAGGAATGCACGGATCTGTAAGGAATGCACATAGAGCTGTAAGGAATGCACACAGAGCTGTAGGGAATGCACACGGAGATGTAAGGAATGCACGGATCAGTAAGGAATGCACACGGAGCTGTAAGGAATGCACATAGAGCATTGAGCTGACCGTCAGTGTCCCAGTCATTCGATGAGACCTTGATGGCGGTGAGGGACGGAATGGGAAGACCGTGTCGCATGGACTCGATAATGTTATGCCTCTCCTCCTCACTGATAATGCTCTCTCGCCGGACATTGGCTAGGTTTTCCTTCTTCCACTTCTCACTCATCAAGACAATAGCTGTAACAGAGGAAACACAATACATGTACAGTGGTGCCTTCATAATCTGGCATCATATGTGTTTCGGAAATTCTTCTGGATTGGGTAGGAGGCTGGCAATCTGATCTATTGGTGCAGTTGGCACCAATAGGACATTTTTTTGGTTACCGGAAATTATGCTGATTTATTGAGGGTGTTGATTTACAAAGGGCTGGTATTAAAGAGAAACGACTGTAAACGTGTTGAAGAGACCACCTAGCTGCAGCAGCCGCCTGATCTGCAAGACTGCTATTCCCTGGCACCAAACGCACCGTATGTGCAATGGCTGGCCTGGTTTCAGAGACAACCTGCAGGTAAAGATCAGGGTCGCTGCAACCAACTAACTGTTACATTCAGGTGTAATACACCAGCCCAGCGTGGCAATATGTAGGACTACTACTACAGTCAACTTCGCTAATAACGACTGCAGGCACAACAACACTTCGCGAATAAGAACACTTTTCACCGCATATTCCAAGCCACTCAAAAACGGCATAGCTTATGTAGGAAGAATACCACACAAAACAGTCGTAGAGCCCCCGTAGGAGGCAACATTATCTGCAAAACATAACTCTCTCTCTCTCCCTCTAGAGATCTAGAGAGCCAGGCACAAGCACAGTGGAACTATGCCATTGCAGTTTACTGAAAGGGTTGAATCGCAAACGACGCACAACGTTTAATGTTTTAGTGAGAAAAAAATCAACGTTAAATTTACTCGAGAGACATTACTTGCATTCTATTCCTTCTTTCCTCTGTACTAAAGGAATAACAGAGGGATGTGTTATTGCAGGTTTGCTAAACTTTGTGCCCGTTAAGGCCGCGGTCACACATGACAAGTTTCCACTGCTTTTGCGGAGGTGAAAAGCTTAACCACCGCAGCCGCTTTTGCGGAACACACGATGCAGCGGTCACACATGACTGTGTTCCTCAACGCTCCGCTTTGGCGGAGGGAATGAAGATGCACGTGCATGTCCTTTGAAATTGTTTCAGTAGTTTTCGTTGAAGCGACCTTCGTTAGTAGAGCTATACTATCATGGATCCTGATTGCCGACAGGCTGCTGAATGGCTCCTGTCAAGCACCGTCGCGGCCTCATGGATTTGGGCACACTCACTGCAGCCCGGTACAGCTATACATGTATTTGAATCTTAGCTTGTTTTACATCGATATCGAACGGCGGAGTGTATAACAGGGCTTCGTTGCCGCTTCTCCATCATCGACCCTCGCGTCACCGTGGATGCTTGTAGTTGCAGCGAGAGAGCGGTACAGCCCTCTACTACTCCCTGGTCGCAGTCCATATGCTGCATACTCTGGCGGACGTATTGCTGGAGAGAGAAACGACGTCGCTTCTCGTGCGCAATCGGGGCCAAGAAGGCCGTGAGTTGGGCATAGATTTCCTCACCAGCTTCTTCAAGTATCCACTCAAAACGACGCAGTATCGTTTGAGAGATTTCCAGGGCAAACAGGACATTGGCAAAGAAGAACACAATGGAAAAATCCCAAACGGCAACCAAACACCACCAGTAGTGGCACACCAGAGCCATCACCACGCAGATTCTGCAAAATCAGATCCGCCAACGAGGAGGTTCCGCTCGCATCTCTGTGGCGTATCGAAAATCAACAAACTTTCCAGTTACGCTTTGGCGGCGCCGCAGAAAAAGTGCATGTGCGATCGCAGCACGTGCACTTCACTAAAAACCACTAAACAAAGTAAAACAATTAACTCGCCAAACTTTCAACTCTTACTAAGTAAGTTAGTTACTAACAAATCATTTACTTACTTAGAGTGAGTACTGTTTACTTGCTGTTCTCACTTTCTTGTCATGAATGAAAGGCATTTTTATAAAATTCCTGTGAACCGGTGGTACCACTGTACCGGTAGGTACTTTTACAGTGTAGATCTGCCTACTTGAAAGTATGTACATTACCTTTCCTTCTCCGGAATGAACTTTCCAGCTCAGCCATTCGTACGTTCAGCTTCTTGACCAAGTGCGCCTGCACACGCCGTTCCAGCACGGCCTTGCAGAACTGCGTATAGCCAGCTGAACCTCTGCACGCTATTACATCCAGGAACCGCTCGGATTTGCTCTTTCGGGTGCGCTCGGACCGTATATCCTCGCAGTCGCTAGCGTCCAGCACTCGCTTCGAGCGAAGATAGGAGAAGTACTCGGTGGGCTCCAGGTCACGTACCAACGCCTCCCGCTCGAACTCAAGAGCTTCTTTCTGCAGGTCGGCTCTCTCCTCGGGTGTGATTGACGGCAGTTCAATGTCTGCAAATCCAGCACTGCTCGTGTCCATGGCACTCCGATGGCCCAGACCCGGGTACAAATGTACGGGCAACACGACTGGTTGCGCAGGGCAATCCACAAAGGACAATCACTATTCGAAACGAGCGAGACGCGAATCAGTCTGTCCGAAACTGCCAAATCAATTATTTCGTGTGTCTACGAATGTGCCCTGTCTGTGCCGAACAGCAGCGCAAGGAACACAAGGAAGTGGAGAATCAATCAAACGCTGCGATCACGGAGGGCTCTCCGAATGTGCAGACCACTACGAAGCCCGGTGCTTTCACCATGTCCACTGACGGCATCTGTACTGCGGATGCAGCGATACGTGCAGAAGGGCGAGGCTACGAGACTCGAGAGCAAAATGCCTTCAGCATCAGCTCAAGCAAATGAAATCATGTAAAGTAGCACAAGGAACTTAGGAAGTCTGAAATGAATGGGCTACCTCAAATCTTTTCAGATCGAAAGACGAGCAGAAGGTTAGATATGCTGAAGCTGGTGAATAAAAAGATCTTTACCCACCACTGGCACCAGAACTTTCCATTCTGCATTGTAATCGACCAAGCCTGGCCGGCAAGTGTTGGCGCTCGGCGATCGCGAGGCGAGGGAAAGCAAGCAAAATAAAAGTTTAAAACGCCAGAACGGAACAAAGGATTTAGGACGCGCATGTCAAAGTAGGGAAAGACCCTTCGGCGAAGGTGCCTGATTATTGTGATGCTCAGACACTATAGGAGTGAACACGCGCTGCATGAGGCCGGCCTCGAGGGTAGATCTACATGTGCACGTGCGGTGCAACATCTAAAAAAATCGGCGATCGCTTTTGCTCTTGACTTCTTGTGAAGTAGTTGTGTGGCATCGAGCTCCTGGGTTTGAAGGCGTCTTGTGTTTTTGAGATAGATTCTAGTGCATGTTCCAGTAACGGTTATGTAGAATCTGAAGCTTGGGCAATATTCTCTGGCAGTGGCCTAGCTAGATAAGCAATCAGAGCACTGCTTATCACGAGCACTGAACTCGTGGATCTGATTTGTGAAAGACAAACATCGTTTTTCTTTCGGCCTGTCAACGATCTACTTCCCTGCACTTCATTGCTATTGCTAGGTCATCGTCACTGGCCGGATGGCGCTGGTAAACGGCTGGCACGGGATAGCTAGTCATGGTCGTTCGTCGTTGACGACGCCGGTAGCCGTGCATAGTAGTGGAGTGCATGGTTGGAATAGTGTCGATCGCAGAATGCGTGACTCGCCTATTGGAAGGCGAGCAGTTCGTGGAGTGAGCTGGAAATGCTCTGAACGACACGACTTCATCCACTAAACAGTGTCAGAGTATTGGCTAGCGAATGAATTGGTGCTCGTTTAGCCACTACACTACGTATAGCAACGTTCTTGTGGCGCTGTGAGACAGACCTGAAGATCTTTCTCAGGTGGTAGAGTTGTTCGTCACATGTCCTTTCAGTCCAGTGACTTTGTCACAGTGTGTGCTCTGTGGACGGACTATCGACCACCAGCAGAATGCCACACCGTGTTACGCTGCTTATTACGCATCCTGGAGTTGGAGAGATGAACTGAGAGCGTGAAGGAGAAATCCCTGTAAGGACGTGTTCAGAATATGTAAGTAACTGTTGAAGCTGGCTATTGCGTGTATCGATGTTTTCTTGACGGTTCTAAAAACAACGTCCTCAGAAAAACGTTGCATTGTGCTGGGCAGAAAATTAAAATACCGTATTATCTCTAATATAAGCACGGTCCTTTATTTTTTCAATGTACGTCCGCCCCGTGCTATTATTGGAGACGTTCCTTTATTGGAGACTGTTCCATTATTATTTCAACCTCATTTCAGAGGCATGTTGCTATGCCAAATTCATGTCAGACACACACATTTCAGGGTTTTTTCGCCGGTACAGATAATGAATTTACACAGTGTGCTTATAATGGAGACTGAGCACTTTATTTTTTGAATGCCGCCCCGAGGTGTTCTATTATTGGAGACGTGCTATTATTGGAGACTGTGCTTATATTAGAGATAATACGGTATCACTATTTGGAACATAATGTGGCATATGTCACAATAGGGCACTCAGCCAGTCGTGTGCCAAGACCATCTTCTGTTTTGGGATCATGTCATCACTTAAACTCTTTTGTTCGTTAACTCCATCGCGGCCACTCACACATGATTCAACTCCATAAACGTGCGACGTGAAGAGATCGTCATTTCATCTTTTGGGATACATTGTATGAAAGTGACATCATAGGTACCGGTTTGCCACTCAATTAAATGCACACAAGACATGTTATTTGCATACCAACCCCTGATAGTGGTTCCCAAAACAGCAATTGCCCTCCAACAGCACAACTGTACAAATCTTGCTTGTCAAACCCAACATTCAGTACGGTGCTGGAGCACTTTTGCCAAGGACACTGTTGGTGATTGATTGTAAGGTTGTGCGCTAACAGAGAGAGAGAGGGGGGGGGGGGGGGGTGGTGGCATCAGAGTAGGGGGCACTGCACCCCCTACCCCCTTTGGCTAGAGCCCTGTTGACGGTCATTCAAACCGCGGAGTTTCTAACAAAACGTATGTAAATGATGGTGCCTGATGCTACTAGAAGATGTTTTACAACTATGTTAAATCCCTATGCACACCCTAGGGTTTACCGGGTGTTAGTGACCGTCGTGAGTTCCCTTCGGGAACGGACACGATAATTTACTTTATTTCTTCTTTTTTTGTGCACACCCTTGGCGTCCCATGTGTATTTTTATTTTTTGTTTCTTGTGTAATACATAGCAAGCGTAGGTTTCAAATCTTTATTCTCACGATAGGTTGAAGCTATTGCAGATTATTTCAGCTTTGTACACTTTACCCACTCCTCCATCTCCCTCAGACACGACTGCTCTGAAGGTGCTGCAACATCCCCGGCTGTCCACTCCAGCTTGCTTTGCAGAGACTTAGCTTCCTAGAGGATAATTATCATACTTCTGTTTGCCTGATATAACAGGTCGCGCTCAGCATCGAGTAAGCTGAGAGCAGCCGTAAGCCCTACTGCAAGACGAGAGCGACGGCAGAGGAAGAGGGAGCGGAAATATCTTCAGTCACTCGAAGACAAGAAGAAAAGGCAGGAAGAGGCGATCAAGCGATTGAATCATGATGTGGAGGTGGTAAGTACATTCCAATGCTACATCCATGGATGATTTTCACTCCGGGAATGCTCCAATCCCAATAGCCTGTGTTCAAAAGCAGGGGGCATATTAAAGGGGAAGTATACCCTAAAATCAAATTTTCACCAGTTGTAGTCTTCGGGGTGCTGAGTCGAATGGTCTTGGTCCGAGGAAGCTGAGACGCTCCCTTCCTCCTTTATTCCCAATCGAACTCACGCACTTCCACCGAAACTGGGTGACTGCGCACTACTAGATAGGGATTTGTATGGAAAAGTCACTAAAAACGCTGTTTCGCTCTTATAAAAGCACGGATGACCGCGATTGGTTCATATGTTGTAGTCTCTTGGCCGCTGAGTCGACTGGTTTCGGTCCGAAAAGGCTGCGATGCAGCGTTCGGCCCTTGTTCCCAATCGAACACGGTTGAGTAAGCGGTCATGTGCTCATTTACAGCCTGTTTGGGCCCGTTTATGTCACTAGAGTTGAACCTTTGGACCAGGGAGTCGTAAAAGCCTCTTACGACTCCCTGCTTTGAACCTTTGAGTTGAACCTTGATGTGAAAATTGTAGCCTGCAGGCACGGTGACCAGGCGACTGGTGTACGCATGAGCACGTGGCCGCTTACTCAACCGTGTTCGATTGGGAATAAGGGCCGAACGCTGCATCGCAGCCTTTTCGGACCAAAACCGGTCGACTCAGCGGCCAAGAGACTACAACATATGGACCAATCGCGGTCATCCGTGCTTTTATAAGAACGAAACGGCATTTTTAGTGACTTTTTACATACAAATCCCTATCTAGTAGGGCACAGTCACCCAATTTCGGTGGAAGTGCGCGAGTTCGATTGGGAATAAAGGAGGAAGGGAGCGTCTCAGCTTCCTCCGAGTCGGACCAAGACCATTCGACTCAGCACCCCGAAGACTACAACTGGTGAAAATTTGATTTTAGGGTATACTTCCCCTTTAACTGAGACTACGCTGTGCAAGACCTAAACGGCACTATTTGCACTGAGTGCACTGCATGCAGTACAATGAGCTCTTTTGTTGCACAGTGATCTTATATAGTAAACACCAACAATGGGTGTGAATTGAGGAGGGGGGGGGGAGGGTATGTTCACACTCGTGGGAAGGCCGGGATGGTGGTACATGTGCGAGAGCACGCCACATCACAGGCACCCGCCAACCCCAGGAAGTGTAAACTTGGTATTCACACCGGCACCGCGTTTCCGCCAGCAAGTTAGTGGGTCCATCGGTTTTGATTTCCACTATAAATAAAGTATACACACATACATAAACACACACACACATGATGCACACAAGTTCCGGCGTGAAAGGCTCACAGCGGCACAGAGCTTGGAGTGGTACGACCCTCCTAGTAACACTACAGTACTGCCAGTCTCCGAAGAACTGGTGTGTCAGCCTCCTAGCCTAGACCGTTCCTATTTTCATGTTCCACAGTCTATGCACAGTTGAGTCAGTGTGTAAACATTGGTATACTGTGCTTGGTGAAATTCTACCCTGGTCATTCTTCGGCGCTCCGTTGTCCACCACCCGGCAGTAGTGTACAATGAAAGCCCTTTCTTAACTGTCGAGGGAACTGCTACTACAGTATTCACGATCTGCGGACAGACCTGTTTCTTCTTGTGTGGCCTCAGCAGCTTGGCTCAGAGAAAGCGGCTTACACTAATAACAAAAAAATGCCCCAAAGCTAGAATTTTAAAATGGGCAAGTATGGCCTATGATCAGCTTTCACAACTTACACTCTCCTTGATGCTGAGTCCAGCGTTGTTGATCCAAGGAAGGTTTGCGTCACTTTCATTACACATGTAGAAATATTCCCAAAGAGTAAACTTTCAAAATGAAAAATGTCCAATTTGTATTACTCGGTCAACTGTCAGAAACGTATACTAAACGCTTTTGACCCATTCTTATCGGTGAAGTTACGAGAAAGAAATTAAGAAAGTCTTAGCCATCCTTTATAGACTGCAACGGAAAGGCGCGTACTGAGATTTAGCCCTAATGCCTAGCACCAATGACCTATCACCTTCTATACATGTATAATATGCAAGTATTAGAGAGGTTTATACTTTATAGTAAAGAAAAAAGGACCAAGAAACTACAAGTTACGTTATAATGTCACCACCAGTTACTAAACAATCAGCTCATGCGATAACTTTGCACGACACTGACCGACAATACTGACGTTCTACAACTAACTGGCTAACAGCTCTAGCACATCTTGAATGCGCACTCCAACAGCCTTCCAACTTGGAAGGGTTTGGTGGTGTTAGTGGACATTATAGCGTTACTTGTAGTTTCTTGGTCCTTTTTTTCTTTACTATAAATTTATCCCTGGCTCTCCATCCGAGTCCATTTTTAGAGAAGTATGAGAGAGAAATGATACTAGCTCAAACACTACACGGACACAGCTCCAGTCCAGTAGTCACGTCATTTGTCACCTCACGTGAAGAGTTTCAGCGCAATGACTAGCTGCTTGTGAATTCATAGCACTGATTTTTGGCCGCGTATGTACAGCGCCTCCTGAGTACAATATCACCATTTCCCTCTCCTTCATACTTCCTTGTCTGATATAGAAAGTTAAATGGCAACTTTTCCAGTGGGGGTAAGGTTTGCTTGATTTCTCGCAGCCTTGTTGAATCAATAAAAAAAGGTGTTCAACACTATTCAATTCAGTGCCCAGAAGTCGACAGTTTCTGAAAGTCTCACCTTTGCGCGTGATTCTATAAGGAAACGACTCGATGAAGTGATGGTGCTTCCAGTGCGGAAATGTTGCACACAATCTCTGCCTAAGTTAGTAGGGTGCGCTTCTCCCATGTCGGTGGTGGTGGGGAGGATTCACTTGGGATTGTAGAAAGGATGAAGGTTCACAGCTTCCTCTGACCAACACCATCCGACTCAGCACCCAGAAGACTACAAGAAGTGGTATTTTGATTTTAGACCATATTTCCCCTGCAGTGAGGGACTGAGGGTCAAAATCACTTTTACTCTGCTCAGGTTGTTTCTCTTTTGAACGAAAATACTTTTTGAAGGAAGTCAAATTCTTGCACAGTGACCTCCAGGCAGTTGATGGATTCTGTCACTCCTATGCTGATTGTGGCAACTGTGTCAGAGGGACACCAAACTGATTATTTATAATGTACACTTCTTCGACTCGGACATCCAAAGGCATTGTGTGTGTATTCAGAATATTACCACCCCCAACCTTCACCCCCTCTCCTCTATATTGACCGAATCATGGATCTGCTCCAGACGAGGTATGTGAACAGTGAGCAATGACCAGCACTTATTCCCCACAGTTGAAGTGTTCCGTGGACACCTCGTCATTGTAATGTGATCTGTTTTTTTGTTGCTCTCAATGCCTGCAGATCATAGAACTTACTGCACAGAATGTGGAGAGTGTCATGGACAGAGGAGAGAGCTTGGATGCTTTGGAAGGAAAAGCAGGTATGGTTACTTCCTCTTCATAGAGCTTACTAGTCGCTCTTGGCATCCAAGCTAACCAATTTGGCAATGGCAGCGCTCTAAAAGCTGCATTTGTGTATGGTAACTTACTCTTCATAGAACTTACTAGGATTAAAGAAGTCCGTGACTCTTGGCATCCAAGCTAACCAATGGCAGCGCTCTAAAAGCTGCATTTGCGCTTTGCTGCTTCAGGATAACGGTGAAACTTCTTCAGATGCGGGAAACTCAGTCAGACTGAGTCTCACGCAAATCAAAAAAATTATTTCTATTGAATTTTCGATAGAGTGGATTCACATCTGTGCCCTGTGACTGAATGTGTGTGGAAAGTGTGCATGGCATGTGCATGGTGGAGCCAATAATGGTCCACATCATGGCACATTGATTCAGGCCAGGGGGACTTGCTGGAGTTGTAGCCTACATGACTGTGCCGTGTGGCCATGTGGTAGAGTTCAACAGGTGCCTATCTTTACCCAGGATTAACGTCCACTCAGCTCTGCCGATGCACAGTTAGACTTAGGCATGAGCAAAGTCTGCATCAAAGGATTATGCCTTTCTCGATTCTGTCTCATTTCTTATTTCTTCTCATTCCATGTTCATTCAGATCGGCTGGAAGAATCTTCTGAAGAGTTCAAAAGGCAGACAGAGAAGATTCGACGGCGGATGTGTGTGAACAATGTGAAGGTATCAGAGTACTTGCAATACCCCAAAGAATGGCAGTCTTGAAGCTATGTCAATGTGTTAGATACATGTACACCCGGCCTTGCCTTTTGGAGCGGCCCAGGGAAGTTCACTCGTGCAAGACCGTTACCCTTTTTTGGATCTGCATGATTGTGTGCCGAGTTGAGCTATACAACTTTGTGTATTGCTTCCATTTAAAACTCTCTTGATCTGGACTCCTCATTAATCCCTACATGATCACTGACAAGGTTGCATCAGAGTCGAGTGTCTAAGCTGCTTTGCATGTGATATTTGTTGTGAAATGCAATGAACTGAAGTTAACTATAGAATGTCACCACATGTTGCTAGCAGGGTCCGAAGTAGGCTGGATATCGATTTTCAAGTTCCAATTCATGACACCCTGTTGCAATTTATCCGTTTAACATCTGGACTAAACCCGAAGAATGAGCTACACTGCTCTGGGATGAGTTCATACCACAAGACTTTTATACTGTAAACTGAATGCATAGATATAGGCACTTGCTCACAGCTTTCTCTATTGTGTAGCACTGATTGATGTACAGTGCACTGTCTTCTTGTGTGTGTGTGTGTGCGTGCGTGCGTGTGTGTGTGTGTGCGTGCGGGTATGTATACCGCTGTTGCAGGCTTGCTTTGCACTGATCCTGGCGATTATATTCCTGATTGCTGTGCTTATAGGCGTTGGAGGTGAGGAGTGTTATGCTAAACACAGTATAGAATGTACTACAAGTAGTACTTGTTCTCTGGAGTAGCTGTACATGTTAACTATGTTCACCCGAGTATCTTGTGCAACATTCAAGCAAGCAGCCATAGTCAGATCGGATCGCCTACAGTACTGTCGGGCGCCGAAGAACTGAGGGGGGGGGGGGGGGCAGGGTTCTAGCCTAGCCCGTTCTTATCTTTAGCGAACACGGCAGTTTCGTTCCTATTTGATGGTACAGCCTTACGTGTACATTTATACAGAGATATACATCTGAGTGTGCATTATAGTGTATATTACGGTTCCGTTCTTATCTGCAAAAAATCCAGTCTACACCGTTCTTAAAAATCGGTTAAACTCTAGCCTGGCCCGTTCTTCGGCGCCCGGCAGTACTGTATGACCAAAACTAAGATTGTCACCAGCACCACTTACCCAAAGTGTGCACTGTGAAATGGAAATGATCGCGGTTGGCATGAGAGTGCGTCAGTCTAACTTTCCGCATGCACACCACACTCTGGCAAATACGGTGATGCAGTCCAGCAAGACTAGTGCCGCTGGTATGGCAGGCATTGCCATGCCGGCAGTACTAGTTTCTACCAATTCCAGCGTTCACGGAATATTCAGTGTATAATTGATTATGGAGAAGAAATCTGCAATCCGTGTACATCCCTGACTCGAGTCTCTCCCTCTTGAACCGTTCTTCGCATGCGGCGAGGCACACTGTGCTAGCTGTACATCTTTTGTTAGAGGAATGTGTAGCTGAGACAAGCAGATACAGTAAAACCTGTAACTAAAGACCACCGTGACTAGCGACCAGCCTGGTACTACAGTAAAACCTGTAACTAAAGACCACCGTGACTAGCGACCAGCCTGGTACTACAGTAAAACCTGTAACTAAAGACCACCGTGACTAGCGACCAACCTGGTACTACAGTAAAACCTGTAACTAAAGACCACCGTGACTAGCGACCAGCCTGGTACTACAGTAAAACCTGTAACTAAAGACCACCGTGACTAGCGACCAGCCTGGTACTACAGCAAAACCTGTAACTAAAGACCACCGTGACTAGCGACCAGCCTGGTACTATAGTAAAACCTGTAACTAAAGACCACCGTGACTAGCGACCAGCCTGGTACTACAGCAAAACCTGTAACTAAAGACCACCGTGACTAGCGACCAGCCTGGTACTACAGTAAAACCTGTAACTAAAGACCACCGTGACTAGCGACCAGCCTGGTACTACAGTAAAACCTGTAACTAAAGACCACCGTGACTAGCGACCAGCCTGGTACTACAGTAAAACCTGTAACTAAAGACCACCGTGACTAGCGACCAGCCTGGTACTACAGTAAAACCTGTAACTAAAGACCACCGTGACTAGCGACCAGCCTGGTACTACAGTAAAACCTGTAACTAAAGACCACCGTGACTAGCGACCAGCCTGGTACTACAGTAAAACCTGTAACTAAAGACCACCGTGACTAGCGACCAGCCTGGTACTACAGTAAAACCTGTAACTAAAGACCACCGTGACTAGCGACCAGCCTGGTACTACAGTAAAACCTGTAACTAAAGACCACCGTGACTAGCGACCAGCCTGGTACTACAGTAAAACCTGTAACTAAAGACCACCGTGACTAGCGACCAGCCTGGTACTACAGTAAAACCCGTAACTAAAGACCACCGTGACTAGCGACCAGCCTGGTACAACAGTAAAACCTGTAACTAAAGACCACCGTGACTAGCGACCAGCCTGGTACTACAGTAAAACCTGTAACTAAAGACCACCGTGACTAGCGACCAGCCTGGTACTACAGTAAAACCTGTAACTAAAGACCACCGTGACTAGCGACCAGCCTGGTACAACAGTAAAACCTGTAACTAAAGACCACCGTGACTAGCGACCAGCCTGGTACTACAGTAAAACCTGTAACTAAAGACCACCGTGACTAGCGACCAGCCTGGTACTACAGTAAAACCTGTAACTAAAGACCACCGTGACTAGCGACCAGCCTGGTACTACAGTAAAACCTGTAACTAAAGACCACCGTGACTAGCGACCAGCCTGCTACTACAGTAAAACCTGTAACTAAAGACCACCGTGACTAGCGACCAGCCTGGTACTACAGTAAAACCTGTAACTAAAGACCACCGTGACTAGCGACCAGCCTGGTACTACAGACCACACTTCGCCAGGCACGGACGCCGGTCTCACATATGGTTGTGCGGTGCAAACCTCTAACCAAGGACCACCTGCCACTAAAGGCCACTTTCTCTGACCCCAAGGGGTGGTCGTTAGTTACCGGTTTTACTGTAATTTTGATGCACTGATCTAGAGGTGCATCTTCCCACGGTAATGAGACTGAGCATAGGGAGATGATCGACCCTGTAGCAGACCACCTCAGGCCGTACCACTCCTCGGTATAGCCCTGTAGCGGACCACCTCGGGCCGTACCACTCCTCGGTAGCTGGCTCCCGGTCTGTGCCCTGTGCCTCCATCTCGTTTCTGCTGAATCCCGACTCTTTCTTTCTGTCTGTTCATGTAAGTGTCTCTCCTACCCTTGGGATGGACTCGTCTACCGTAAAGTCTTGTATAAAAGCCGCACTTGAATAGAAGCCGCCCTCGAATAGAAGCCGCAATTTTGGGCCCATCAAATCACACATAAGCCTGGTTTTAGTGTTGACATACATAGACATACCTGTCTTGTAAAGAAGCCTGTCTCATATAGAAGCCTGCAAAATTTCACCAAGAAAGTCGTAGAAGCCGTGGCTTTTATACAAGACTACGGTATACTGATCATGTATGATGACTTTGAGGATTGCGATCAACAGGACTGTAATGACCGTTTTTTTTCTATATTTTCGTTTTGCACAGTGTTTCTGTGGAAGAAATCGGAGGTAGTGACTAACCCGTCGGCTGGGAATATTGTTGGTGCTGCCATACCTGGAGTTGACTCCATACTGCCCAACACCAACCTTCCCGGCCTTGGTGGAATTCTGCCCAGCTCTAACCGCCTGAACCTTGGTGATGTTGTGCCCAATGTCAACCTACCCAACCTTGGTGACATTGTGGAGAACGCCAACCTTCCCAACCTTGGTGACATTGTGGAGAACGCCAACCTTCCCATTCTTGGTGACATTGTACCCGACATCAGAGTTCCGAACCTTGATGACGTTCTGTCTGATGTTGGGTCCAGCATTCCTAACCCAACTGAACTGATACCTGCTTTCTGAGACCAAGCATGCTATGCAACTTACATCTTGATAGTGTCTGTGATTTAACTATAGCCTGTGCTAATGCTTATGTAAGATGTCTCTGTATCAACACCGCGTACGTTGCTGGCTCTTGAACTCTGACTCTGAGTCACATATCACAGAGTAGCATTTTAAAAACTTCAAATGACTAACCCACATAATTATTGATATTGAAACGTTCTCCCTCCTAGATCATTCCGTCCCCTAGTCTTTCTCTCATACGCTCTCTCAAATTTTCTTTCTCCAGTGCATGATATCTATCATTCATTGGCTTTGAAAAACTTGAATATGCTTGTAATTTATGCTGATAGTCACAATAATAATATTATGTACATGACCCCGTTGTCGAACAACACGTCGTGGCACAATCCTATAATTATTATGCATTTTCATGGCAATGAGCCAGATCAATATCTTGACATTGTCTGGTGTGTGTGTGTGTGTGTGTGTGTGTGTGTGTGTGTGTATGTGGGTATATGTGTGTGTGTGTGTGTGTGTGTGTGTGTGTGTGTGTGTGTGTGTGTGTGTGTGTGTGTGTATGTATGTGGGTGTGTGGATGGGTGTGTGTGTGAGAGAGAGAGAGAGAGAGAGAGAGAGAGAGAGAGAGAGAGAGAGAGAGAGAGAGAGCGCGCGCATGGCAAGCGACCAATAACGAGGGAGCGTCTTCAGTCCAAGTTTTGCTGTGCTTGCGGCGAGAGATATCGCAAGCAGCAGGATCTGCAGATGCACGAAGCCGGATGTTCTGCCGTGAAGCCATGATGCTATCCCCTTTGTTCGCTCCTAATGAGGGCAGCTTAGTCGTTTAATGTGTGTATGTGTGTGTGTGTGTGTGTGTGTGTGTGTGTGTGTGTGTGTGTGTGTGTGTGTGTGTGTGTGTGTGTGTGTGTGTGTGTATTTCAGTTGTGTGTGCTTGTTCCTTCATGGGACAATCCGTTATGATCTGCATGTCTCTCATGACAGATGAGTCATGAGTCATGTTTGTTGTAGGCTTGGAGGGGGGGGGGGGAAGGGAAATAGGTGATCAGAGATCATCACGGTCTCACAGCCTGGCATTTCTAGGGATAGGAACTGAGCACATAAACGATAGCAAGCCGTGTCTACATCCTGATGAGCAACGCCACTAATAGTTATTATTAATGCCGCGATTGGAACGTTCTCTGTACTGTCCCTGAGTGAGTGGCTCACTCCAAAAATGTGTCGCAGTCATTAAAATTTTGACATTTGCACTGAGTACTATACTGTAGTCTACAGTAGGATTTTGTATTTTGCAGTTCTAGTAAATTATTAATTGAAAGTACTACTATACTACGTATATACTAGTTCTACACTCTGGCACTCTGCCCAGGCATGTCATCTCATGATTGGTCACGCATGAGTAGACAAGGTTTTTTCCCGGATTCGCAACCGAAGCACCACTGGCACTGCTCATGCATCACCGGTGCACCATGCGGCATGCTGCTCAGATCATGCAAGCATGGCGTCACTCGTGCCCGAGTCGTGGTTGATCTACTGTACCGTGTGTGTAGATCTACTCAGTACAGTCATGTAGATCTACCACCATGTACATGTACGTGACAGTGTACATTATGTAGGGCTACCAGCGCGTTGCGACGCGCTGGATTTATGTGGATATGCAACCTACCACTGAGCTGAGCTATTTTTGTATTCTTTGAAACCGTTGAAACTAGCTGTTTAGAGTAGATCTACTGATTAGAAAGTCTGTGGCTTGAGGAGCACGGACTTCTGTCTAAGTAAGTTCTGGTGAACGTAACGTTTCAACACAGATCTGGTACTTCTGTTTATAGCGATAGCATTAATTTTACAGTTTCAGAAGTAACAGTTAGTTGGGAATGGTGCACCACTCAACCACTGTTTGCTCGACCACACTACCAATAGTGCTAACGTTTAGTCACTGCGTCTTACACCCAGCGTCACAACGACCGTTGCGTGTTCATTGCTAGAGGGATTGTACACGGATGCTGGACTCGTGATTTGGCCTTGCTTTCTTTGTCCTGTACCCGGTACGTTCCATGGTGGCTTTATGCTAGAAGGGATGTGCTGCTGCACGTTGTCGTTTCCTTGCCAAACACCCTCCCGCGATCGCTAGCTTTTGGACTCGGCGTGATGTCGTGCAGCCATTCAGAGTAAGTTTGGTGACTAGTTGTCTTTCTGCTTGTACCCCATACTACGTGGGTCGACCATTGTGCAGAGAAAGAAGCCACAGGCCTCCACCTCAGGTAGTACACGTGTACAAAAATGCTGCATTGCCATAATTATGATGGGTTTGCTCACAGTACCCAGGCCATGCCTGAATTATAATGGGGAAAGGGTCCCAGCCACGTTTCAAATGCTAGGTTATCTAGATAGAGCCAGGGCATGATGATATCCAGTGCTCTGGATGTACGTACAGTACATGACTGTACATTTAGGGAGACAACACGAGATCGTAGTACCCAAACCATGTGCATATCGACCCAGATTTGGAAGTAATAGTTCTGCGTGATCCGGGGTCCATTCAACTTGCGATCATGATACCAGCCTTGACTTGCTGACCCCAAACGTGGCCCAGATAAGTCATGCCGTAATACTATGCGAGTGTGTATACATCGGCTCGGCCCCAACGATGACGGTAAATTACTACTAATGTGCAGCCCGGGTTCGAGAGTGGTCTATCTGCTATAAACACAGCGATCTTAGTATGCCACACATCATGTATCACCAATCGCTGCTAATGAAAGTGTGACAAGGCACTGTAACACAATATCATGTATGAGTACAATAGGGTCGGTGCGAATGACGTACCGCAATCTCGTGCCTTTAGGGACATGTTCTTATTTTCGAATATAAGAGCACTCTCGCTTATAACAACATGCACTTATATGTGAATGAAAATCACAAAACCACACGAGGTTCATCGTGGTTACATTGTGCTGGCATTCACCAATAATACGCGTACTTGCACATGTACATGTCGATGCAATGTTTGTCTCTCGCATATAAGACCATGGTCTTATAATCGAACGAAAAATGCACTTGTGAAAGGACCGAAAACAGCGACTTTTCGATTATAAGTAGTGCTGAAACGATTACGTTTTTTCCTTAGTGGCTTAGCTGATACCATAACGATCGGCTTATCGGCTAAACGATTATTATTGTAACTACATCAGTCATGTACATTCTGTGAATTTCAAAATTTTACGAGTCCAACAATTACATCGCCAACGACGGAAAGCGGGTGCATAGATCCGATGTTCCCGCAACAAGTCTGTCAGCTGTTCGGACCAGGGAGTCGTAAAAGCCCGGGATCCCCGGGAGAGGACACGGGATGCGCGCACGCGGACGATGTTTGCCTCGGCCAGAAAGTGAAGCACGCTAGGCCGGCGCGGCCGGATCTGCTCGATCCACGGCGCTGTGCTCGTTTTCAGGGCAGGGAGTCCTAAAATACCAATATTTTACGACTCCTTGTTGACACCATTATCCGAAACTGGTGGTGAAGGAAGCATAAACATGATTTGTCAGACTCAGTACACATGGTACAGGGAGTGGGGAGTTGACAGTGTGTGTGGGTGTGGGGGGGGGGGGCGTGTGTATGTGCACATGTGCTTGTACTTTTGTGTGTGTTTGCACAGTGTTTGTGTGTGTGTGTGTGTGTGTGCGCGTGCGTGCGTGTGTGCGCATTTTTTTGCACAATTCCGTTATGAAAAACAAATGATAGGTTTACCTTTTGTACACTCGCCAAGACTTCGGTTAGATTCACTGAGAACCTTTCTGGCCAACCTGGAGGCTGAGCCTTCCGTTTCCTAAACGGCTAAAGTCACCGCGTACTCAGTATACGAGTAGAAAAGTGTTGTAGATAGATAGGGAACACACATTGATTGTTTTTAAAAGAATCCAGGCAATATCATAAATCATGGAACGAGTGCGTAATAATGCTCTATGATGCGTTTTGACGATGCTGAAGGAAGGGAGCTGTTGCGATTCACTCACAACACACACACTCGACTGCAATTTCAGTGCAATTTCTGACACAAGTTCATAAATCCACGAGTACGAGGAAGCTCAGCGGATCTCCACAAGAACTTTCGCCCATCATCTGCAATGGAATATGGGCTGTATGATATGACCAGCGGCTAACATGGGAAGTGGCGTCATTTTCCACAAATCTCGTTTCATTCACAACCATTTGACTGCAATTCAGTGCAATTTCTGCCACAAATTCAACTCCACGAGTACGAGGAAGCTCAGCGGATCTCAACACGAACGTTCGCCCATCACCTGCAATGGAATATGGGCTGTATGATACGACCAGCGGCTAACACGGGAAGTACGTGGCGTCTCTTTCCACAAATCTCGTTTCATTCACAACCATTTGACTGCAATTCAGTGCAATTTCTGCCACAAATTCAACTCCACGAGTACGAGGAAGCTCAGCGGATCTCAACACGAACGTTCGCCCATCACCTGCAATGGAATATGGGCTGTATGATACGACCAGCGGCTAACACGGGAAGTGGCGTCATTTTCCACAAATCTCATTTCGTTCACCCCAACTCAAATAAAAGTGAAGTACAATTAGGGATTTATCTTGCATTTCCATCGCCTCAGAATAAATTAACTTCGATAAACTGAGAGAGAATGAGTGAGGCAGCTGGAAGAATTGAGGATGAAAATAGAGATTAGAAGACTCGACGGAGAAATCGTCTCCGTGCTCTAAGAGAAATCGGAGAATGTCCCAATTAGTATTTCAAGAAGACATCACAATTTTCGAAAATAATAATTTCCTTGCCTCGCTACACCGTTCCCTGGCGCAGCGTTCCCCGGCAGCGCGAGGCAAAGATGTTTTCTGGGAATGTGTGCCGTGTCCTCTCCCGGGCTTTTACGACTCCCTGGTTCGGACTGACCAGACGAATACAGACCAGACAGAGGCAACTCACTGGTTGCAACCCAAGTGCTAAGCCATAATCCTTGTTTCGCTCTTCTGTGTAGTGTGAAGAGGTCAACGAACATGTAGAGCTCACTTTGATGAAGTAGGCAAGGCTGTGAGCGCTGTGGCTCAAAGCGATAGGCCCTAAATCGTACGAGATATTTCGAGCGCCATTGTTTGTTGCGAGCGCTTCGTCTTCGATGAGTCTTGCCTCTTTCCTGTCAGGTTTCCTCCAACAGGACCAAGCACGAAGTAACTGTACTCATCTGCAGCCGATCAATGTTCTACTGCGCAAGAAGATTGCGTTTTCGCCAAGCCAGTGCCCCGCCAAAGACCATCGCCATGTCACAACGTCGGAACGAGTTCATGATGAGAATCATCATTCGCGCGAGCTTGATGAAGAACTATTTCGAAACACAACATAGTCTCTACCTCCGGGACGACAACTATGCGCCGGTCCTGGAAGGGGAGAATGTCTCCAGCGATAAGAACGAAGACGACGGCGGTATTTCGGCAACGTGGAGTCAGCGGAGTTCGTCAAGCTCTTCCGCCTCCGTGATCCGGTACATGTCGACACGAGCGTGCGGGAACACAGCATACACTGTAGCACTGTTGCGAGAGTTTGCGGAAGGAGTCCAAGTCGGGAAATCCATCAGCTCCAAAAGCTACCTGTAGGTGGGCGATGAGACTCCAGCTTCAGACTACAACAGTCAGGACTTGTAAATAGTTGAACTTTGTGAAGCAGCAGATCGAGAAGTTAGTTGAAATCATAGCTGTTGCAGTATTTTGGCGCTATGTAGCTTGTATTTTTTTACGGAGAGTCGATCGCCACGCGAATGTTTCTCTCCTCACCGAGAGCTAGCTGGCCTCCAAACTCCGTCAGGGTCTGCCTAAGGTACCGAAGGTCCTTTGACTAGCTGCTGGCAGGACTCCATCAAATCCTTTAGCTTCAGCTCGGCGAGCAAAAGTCTCTCTCTCCTCCAACAATCTTTTCGGGATTGGTAAGAAAAGTAGTCAGCTCAAAAGACGACGACGGTGATCACGTCGATGTTTCTCAGATCGCGCTTGTACTTTACACGTACATCGATGTTGCAAGTGGACAGTCATATTCGTGTCGTACTCGCAACACTTTCGATGCATGCACGCTTTGCGCGACCCCAAAAGGGGGGAAATCCCACACCGAGTGTAAGTACATGTACATGTACCATTCTACTCGTTTAGCCGATAAAATCGAAATAACCGTTCGATCTATTTCTTATCGAGTAAGTAACGAGTAATCGATATAATCGTTTCAGCACTAATTATAAGACCATGGTCTTATATGCACGAGAGTACGGTAATCATTTTATCAAATCCGTTGATCCCCGAGCTGCAGAGAGTGCTCAATGTCAGAGACAGAGCTTAGTACATAGCAGACTCAGCGGAGGACGTTCAGGTTGGTTGTAACTCTGAGTTTCATGCCGCTAGGCAATCATCAGACAACTGACTCAGTTGTCTGATAATTGCCAGGCGGCATGAACTCAGTTACAACCAACCTGAACGTCCTCCGCTGAGTCTGCTATGTAATCATTTTATCGATATGCTTTGTACTGAGGAGCAAACCAGTGCTTGCAATGTTACTTCATATGGTATGCAACATCACAATAGGCAACCGTTACTTGCACACTGCTCGATACCCAGAGGCAGAGCTTTCCGACATGGAAATCGAAAAGAGTTGAACTTTAACGGTTCAAAGTTCTAATTATTCTATTTGTCTTCCAGGAAACTGCCTTTAAAACTAAAAAAAGTTTTAAATTGTGGCGGATGTCCTCAAAGAATCCTCCTTCTTTCAGGATTCGGGTTAAAGTTTGATTGAAAATTAGCAAACCCATCCTGGATAATAAGAGTTGTGTTTTGCCACATGTCTGCAATTGTCATAATTATATCTCGTAACCATCAGTTCCTACTGTGCATGCTTCTGGTTTGGTATCCATCGTGCATCAGTGAGCCCGACTGAAGGGAATAGCATGTCATGTTCATTACAGCTGTGGTGTGTTTCCAAGCTACAGATGATTCTGAGATGAGACCATTCTTTAATATGTACCACGGAGGTACCCAAATAAAGAAACTATGTTTTGTTGTTGTTGTTGTTGTTGTTGTTGTTGTTGTTGTTGTTGTTGTTGTTGTTGTTGTTGTTGTTGTTGTTGTTGTTGTTGTTGTTGTTGTTGTTGTTGTTGTTGTTGTTGTTGTTGTTGTTGCTCTTCTTCTTCTTGTTGTGTGTGTATGCGTGTGTGTGTGTGCACGTGTGGTGGGTGCGCGCGTATATGTGTGTATGTGTGTGTGTGTGTGTACACGTGTGTGTGTACACGTGTGTGTGTACACGTGTGGTGTGCGCTCGTGTTTGTGTGTGTGTGTGTGTGTGTGTGTGTGCGCGCGCGCACACTTTTGTACGTGTGCTTGCATGTAAAGAACCTCATCTGAGATGGATGAGCTTGATAACCCCTACGCTAGACAGCCAGTCGCTGCACGTGGTAGAAACAGCAACAGCAGCAGTGGTGCAGAGTCACAACCGCAGACAAGCGCAGCAGCAGCAGCAACGCAGTAAGTGCAGATGAGAAACTGGGTTGATATTGCCCGTTGCAGTTTGTTGCACGCCTCCACAGTGCTGCTCAGTAAACTCCTATTGTGTGAATCAAGTACGCGTCAGGTGCTGTGCACCCCAGGCCTGCAAACATTGGGTTGTGCACTACGGCCGGGGGGCTGGAGGGTGGTGGCGTTCTTGTGGATGCTGAAAACTTAGTCTAACAGAGTCTGACGCGTGGTCAGATTCCACTGAGCACACCTGTGGTGCCTGCATGATAATAGTAGTACTAAGGCCAAACCGAAATAGTTTCTTGCTTCAGGTAATGCGACAGACCGTGTTTTTTGAGCACCGACTGAAACTTAATTTTTATATGCAAGTGGTATTTATTCCCGTAGCTATGCAGAAGACGTTACTTCAGTAACGTCTGGCGCTAGCCAGGGTCCACACAGCTTTAATTTGGTGTTTATTTGTTTGTTTTTTTGTGTCACGCCTGGCGCTATCCCGTATCTGTCCCGTACCGTACCATCAAACACAGCTGGCCACAAACAGCTCGCCACAATATTCGTCGTATTATGTATACGACTCCCTGGTGTATAGGGAGATTTTCTGGAAAGAAATAAGGAGACGAGGAGGAAATGCAATTAGAATGGACGTTAGTTGCCAAATAGGTGATAGGATGCGTCAGCAAAAACATACTTTGGAAGAGAGATCCCGTCGTCTCCAAAATAAGCGTGAACGGGCGAGTCAGCGCCGGTCACAGGAAACGTCGGAAGAGAGATCCCGTCGACTCCAGAACGCCCGTGATCGGCAGAGTCAGCGCCGGTCCCAGGAAACGTCAGGACAGACATCCCGTCGACTACAGAACGCCCGTGATCGGCAGAGTCAGCGCCGGTCCCAGGAAACGTCAGGACAGCCATCCCGTCGACTCCAGAACGCCCGTGATCGGCAGAGTCAGCGCCGGTCTTAGCTAGGCAGAAGACGTTACTTCAGTAACTCATTGAAACGTTTTTGCAATACTTGGTCCGGCTCATCGCAATTGTCGCTTATCTATCGCCACTAAGAACAGGAGTTTTGTTGCCGCTCTGTGAAATTTTCAATAGGCATAGTGAGGAAACATGATACATGAATACTCTCCGCCACAAGAAACAAAATTCAGCCATGGAATCAGGTGAAGCGAGTCATAGAAGGGAAGCAAGGTAAGCAAAATGCACGAAATAAATCAGCGAAGGAGCGCGTTCTTGCACTCACACTCCTACAGGTCCAGACGGTTCATTCAGCTCTCCATCACTCGAGCTGCCGCGGTTACCGTTACTGGTTACATGAGCTGACAATAATATATTTGCTGGTGTCTAGCTGCTGGCGTAGACTGGTACGGTAGAGTATCTCTTGCTTTGTCAGCCTGTCGTATGGCAGCATTGCATCAAAAACACCTTTCTTCTTCAGCATGACGCTCATACTCCTCGGCCTTGCACGCGTGCCTGTCACGCTCTCCAGGATGTCAGTTGCCCCTGCTACAGTTCCGGTCTTCGGGTCGGTAGCTGCGCTTGGCTTTTTTGGCAACACAGACAGTGAATGGCCAGATTTCCACTTCCCAAAAAAGTCGAGCACATCGTGATTCAAAGCGCTAGTCGCGATCATTTCTTCTTTGGTGCCTCATTTGATCTTGCCATCACAACCTCCCAAGCAAAAGTAAGTTAGATATCGTGATTGGACTGGGTTTTACCTGTCAAAAAGTGCGTGGGAGATAAGCGACAATTGCGATGAGCCGGACCAAGTACAATTATGTACCTAATCAAAGGAAAAAACATTTTCATCAGTTCTAACAACATGCACGATGAGCTAGGCAACAAAGCATAGCGTAGGGCCCTGAACTTCCAAGCTCTCTCGTTTGCTTGAATGCACGATCTTTTGGTACCGTTCTCTGAGCAAGGTGTAACATTTATACTTCGAAGTGTTAGTAGGGGTCTAGCATCACGATTGTGAAGGGCTACAACATCATTTTCTACTGTTTGAGCTGGTTGGCTGAGGTCAGCGGATGTCAAGATACAACCAATGTAAACATCATCCAGATACAACCAATGTAAACATCATTCAGGTCTTCTCTGCAGGATCAGATGTACATCCGGTTTTTTTCTCCACTCTCCGTGCTTACAGGGGGCCGTCTAGTTCTGCTCAGCCTGATCATGGAGGCTACGACGCGCACTTTGACCCGCCGCTGGACAAGAAACTGGAGTGTCCGATATGCCTGTACGCGCTGCGAGATCCGATACAGACGACGTGCGGACATCGCTTCTGCAAGTCCTGCATTGAGCGCTCACTCCGGTATGTACATAGGCGATGCCATGTCTAGGACTCCACTGTGTCATAATTGGTCCCTTTTAGTTATTTAGTTATTTCAGCGACGGTTCCTGGTTCGCGTCCTGGTGGTGACGGGCAATTTTATCTTCAGACTTTTCCCGTTTGCATCTGTAGGAGAGGCTGTCATTATTGCTGTGTTCCTGCGCCATTATAGTGGGCAAGCCTATGGACGTTATGCGATTGTGTCATCATCAGAGATGCCGTGTGTGTGTGTGGAGTGGCATAACTGTGGCATCACAAGCACAGACTTGCCACTGAAAATACAAAACTGTCAAAACATATGCGATACTGAATTGCCATGCTGTCGTCGTACTGTACTGTGACCTCTTTTCAGGTACTAGTATGGGGGATTGTGCTTGTCTTTTCGATTTTTCTGATTCGCTCTCCTTCTGCCCCATTATGTCAATGTTGTCAATGTTGTCCCCGCAGTGCGGAAAGCAAAACATGCCCGGTGGACAAGCGACAGCTCAGCAAAACAGATGTACGTAGGACTGCTGACAGGCTCACATGTGTTGACCCAATGAAAGCCGGTTTTAGGAGGGGGGGGGGGGGGGCTGTGCTAGATGTCACTGCAGGTATCCACTCTCACTCCTTGTCCACGTTCATCGCATTTTTTGTATTGTATTGTTTTTATTTTACATCGCAAGTCAAACGGGCAATCATGCACAATGTTATGATGACGATGGCATAAATTTCAATGCGAGGACGTGACCATCACAGAGAACGAATACCGTGGATCATACTGATGTTGTGGAGTTCTGCGGGTAAAATACACTCATTGATTCATGAGTTTATGATGGACACAAACACACACACACACACACACACACATGCACACACATACAAATACAAATACACACACATCCCTTTTCTGAAGGCCAACTGAGTTGTTGCGATATTTGTACGAAAAAGTAGACCTCTGTTACTTCTCTTTCATGTACATTGTCTGCTCACTGCTCTGTTGCTCTGTTGCTCTGTTGTTCTGTTGCTCTGTTGCTCTGTTGCTCTGTTGCTCTGTTGTTCCCACTGTAGATCTACCCAGATAACTGGTGCCGCCGAGAGGTGATGTGCCTAACATGCAAGTGTCGTCATGTCCAGGAGGGTTGCACTTGGCATGGGCAACTGAAAGATTTCGAGGTGAGGATCCAGGCCTAGCCAACTGACTATCTGTAGATCAATACAAGAACTTTTAAGAATATGTTTCGAGTTACCGGTGTTCTTCGAAGCAGTAGACGTATAACGTTTTGCACTGTGTTCTCTAGAAAATAGAAATATAGAGTTTGTGCGAATGGCTGTCGTTTGCAAACCCTCCATTCATCATCCTACTGCTGCAGTGTGTGCTGTGCACTGCCTGGCTGACTAGTATTTCTGTTACGGCCCATGCCACTCCATTCAGAACACCTTGAATGATGGTGCAATTGGAATAACCTCTACAGCTCCGGTCTTTGGCCACTTTGCCAGTGGGTCTGATCTACTCACCTCACACTGCTATAGGAGCTGCATCTGTGCCTTGATCCTAGAGGGTGGTGGCATTCCCACGGATGCGGAAGCCCGGCCTCCGTTCGAGTTTCACGCGAACCGTGAATTTTTATTTTTTTAATTGCTGCTTTTGTATGTATAGTCTGTGTGTATGGCATTGCTTAGCATGGAGTGGAAAATCGGTGCTTGCAATGCTGCTGCATACAAAAAGTATTTCGAATCAGGACGCAATTACGTAACCTATATTGCTACTAAGACTTTTACATGATTGTTATGTTTGTGTGTCTCATGGCCTGCCAATATGCCACCACAGGATCATGTTCAAAGCTCCTGTGAGTACATGACCGTCGCCTGTCGGAACGACGGCTGCGAGGAGAAGGTAGCACGCAAGAACTTATCCAGTCATATGAAGCATGACTGCTTGTATCGCAAAGTTGTCTGCCAATACTGCGATGAATATGTGGCAATACTAGAGATTGAGGTAAATGCTGGAATTTAATTAAGTAGTATGTTTCTTGAAGTGGTCATCGGCAGTGCTGGGGAAAGCCATGTTTGGATTGTGAGGAATGCAGTGCAGATTGATGATGCTGCTGCAAGTTTTGCTTTTGTGTTGGTGGTGCTGCTGCTGCCACTGCAATTGTTTCGGCTGCTGCTATTTTGGAGTGTTGCTGTGGCTGTTGTCTCGTTGGCTTTTTTTGCTGTGGATGACTGCTGCCGGTGATTCTGATTCTGAAATTTCTTCTACACTGATCCACCGCTATGCATTTGTGTTGTTCAGCAAGGAGCTAGAGAGGTAGGGGTTGAGGCCTGTACATGTCGTAGTGCTGATATCGTCAGGTCAATCGGCCCCTGTGTCACAATCAAGATAATTCTCTAGTATTGGAGCCAACATTGCTTACATTAGTGTTGGTCTCTGAGCTGACTCGAGTGTTTGACGGCATCCACTCGTGTTTGCATGACTGTGTATTCACCTGTCTGTCTGTCATATACCTGTACTGCTGTACTGCTGTTCTGTAAAACATTCTTGATTTCGGTGGTGCATTTGTCTGCACATGTACTGCAGACTCACAACTCCGAGTGCGTCAAGTTTCCAGTCGCCTGTCCACAGGAGTGCGGCGAGGAAGTGCCGCGCTGTGAGGTAACTGCATTCAGAGATTTGCTCAATGTGGACACTGCGTACTACCCAGTGCTCATGGGGTCCCCAATTGAGTCCATGTCAACACATCATCATTTGAGACGCTTTGTATGGGTTGGCAAAGCAGTGGCAAAGCCGTGGTGTGGCAGCACTGATTTTGTAGCTCAAAACTAGCACTGTTTGTTTGGTTTGCCTCTCCGTAAAAATCGCCAATTTCCCCTTTCAACACCCTCTACTAATGTATATCCCTATCTGCCACTCTATACACGACTAGCACCGGTTTCCACTCTGCTCACTCCATGTGTGATGACCTCATTGGACTAGTCACGAGTGGTACGTGGGGGGGGGGGGGGGGGCTCTCTAAGAACTGCTTGCTTACACCCAAGGAAAGGGAATAGTGACTGGACCATTCCACGCAGAGCCTGGTCGCCAACTAAATTTTGACTCCTGAGGTCAGAAGACCACACTGGAGATGTGGTAGCTATTTAGTATACTTGTGATATGACTCGTTCCACAGCTCGCTTTCTAAACGTCTTTCTCTAATGTTAGCTTGATTTGCTTTTACTTCCTCTTGTTTGTGCCGGCAATGATTGTTCATTGTATAGTGCTTACTCTTGCACTCAGCGTCAGATTCATGAGCCACAACCACGGTTGTCAGTTGTGTGCACTTTTACTGCCGTGTGTCACATGGGTTTCATAACTGTGGAAGACCAACCATGTTATTATTCCTTTAGACGACAGCTTGAAATCATAAACTTGGTTTTTAGGAAATGGATGGCTGTCTTATTGCCTCTCTATCTTTCTCCTCCTCCTCCTCCTCCTCCTCCTCCTCCTCCTCCTCCTCCTCCTCCTCCTCCTCCTCTCCCTCTCCCTCTCCCTCTCCCTCTTCCTCTCTCTCTCTCTTTCTCTCTCTCTTTCTCTCTCTCTCTCTCTCTCTCTCTCTCTCTCTCTCTCTCTCTCTCTCTCTCTCTCTCTCTCTCTATGTCTATGTCTATGTCTATGTCTGCCTGTGTCTGTAATATCCAGCTTCCTGAGCACGTTGCACAGATGTGTGAGTTGTCAGAGGTTGAATGTCGACATAGTGGATGCACGTGGAAGGTGAGACAAAGTCTGTGTGTCTGTGTGTGTGTGTGTGTGTGTGTGTGTGTGTGTGTGTGTGTGTGTGTGTGTGTGTGCGTGTGTGCGTACATGCATGCGTGCGTGTGTGCGTGCATGCATGCGTGTGTGCGTGTTCCTGTCACGGTATGCATACATGCATGTGCTGCTACTGACATAGAGTTTATCATCCGGTTGCTTTGGAATTGCTGAACTGCTTGGGCTGAACACATGCAGGTACTTTTAGCTACTTTAAAAAGTATTTGTCAAGTACAGTTGTGGCCTAGGAAATCCGACCGACGAGTAAAAAGCAGTGCTGCGTTTCCATTTCAATTTCATCATGCACGTTCCACAAAACGATCTGAGGACCGCACGCGCTGCATGAGCCTTGGCGCTGGCTTTGGCACGTGATTGTACTGCAAAAACTGCAGTGACCCACTCCCTTCCGTTGTGACTGTAGAATAGAGTGAGGGTAAGGGGAGGGGACTTTCTGGTTTGAGGTTACAGTTGTTATCATGTGGAGAACTCGTGTATTTGCAGACCGAACCAAAACAACAACCTTGCCACTGGTGTGACCGCTTACTCCACTCAGGGTGAGCCCATTTCAATTACGTTTAGCACAAGCTGATATGGCTTGACTGATGGGACCATGGACCCCATGTGTGTGTGTGTTTCTCCTTTGCGCTGCACAGGGTGTTCGATCAGAGTACAGCACTCATTGCGACGAGAGCATGGTCGTTCACGTTGAGATCTCCGCCGAGCGCCAGGATCTTCAGGATGGCAATGTGGTGGAGGTCAGAGACAATCTCATGTCAGTGCAGACACAGCTGGATGATGTGCGTGATATCATGCAGGCCATGCAGTCATCGGCCAATGGCGACAGCAAGGCTATGGAATTGGTAAGTGAAAGCATTGGCAAACCAGCGTCGTGAGTGTGATTGCTCTGGTAGACCACTACCCATGTACTGAACAGTTGCTCTGGTTGACCTCTACCCCATGTACATGTAGTGGACAGTTCCTCTGTGAGTGTAAAAAGAACTCTTTTTCTAATCCCGGGAGGGATTTTCAAGGCTTTTATTAATGTCTTGCAATATGCTTCTCCTTGCCTTGGGCTTATGAACCTGATACGTTGACCATCACATGTGATAAGTCACTCCAACCTGGTTACATAGACTGAAGTTCTGCTGAGTGCTGCCCAGCCCCTCACACTGTCACCCATTCATGAACAGTGTACTAGTATTCTATTGATAGCTCCCGTTTACTGTACCCTAGCGGCTAAGGTATAGCCATGGCCTTGAACGCCTGTGTCGTCCTTGACAAGTGCATGTATAGTAAACCTGTTAAGGCGACCACCTGCCTCAGAAGACCACTGTAACCAGGACCAAGGGATGCTATTTTGCAGCCAAACGACCCTGGATAAGTAGACCACCTGGCAACAGAGACCACATTTTGCAGGCCCTTGAGCGGTCATCTTAGACAGGTTTCACTGTTCAACGTTGGTATTGGTTCAGCAAAGCTTGCTGCTAGGTCACAGTAGAGGAGAGAGGCTCTGCACAAGATGTCACCGCTGTGGTGCTCGACTCTCCCAGTCTCCCTGAGGTCATTTCTAGGTTATGTTCCTTATTTACTGCATACCCTTACATCAACAAAGTGCGTCGATGGCTCCCCTCTTCTTTTGTTGTACATATTGTACATGTAGCATTGGAGTGCAGTCTATCCAACCTTGCCACCATTCCAAAGCAGTACGCCCACAGTATATTGTATACAAAGGCAATTTGTCCCATGTAAATGTATACACATTTTCTGGTCCAAAGCAGGACGGTTGGACAGTCTGGCAGTGTCCTTTCTTGACTTGTCTTTTGCTGAGAATACTGCGGCACAGTGGTCTAGTTATGAATTTCTGGCCCGGTGCCCTGTCGGTCTCACTGCCTGTGTGTTGTGCTTTCGTGTCCATGTGCTTTACTGGCAGACGCGTAGCCTGGCTGATAAGCTAGTGAACATCTCCCGAGTCGTCGACCACACCGTGCTGCGGGTCAGCGACGTGGAGTCTCGCCTGATTCAGCTGGAGAGGCGGGTGACGACGGACCGTGCGGCCTTCAACGTCTTGTCGGAGAAGTTTGAACGCAGCACCGTGTCATTCCATGATCAAATAACAACCCTGCTGACGTTAATTGAAAAGCAGAATGTAAGCGACTCCATTTTTTTGCCCGTGCATTATTGAGTGAACGAGTGTGTGAATCACACAGAATAAGCCTATGACTGTGGGCATCACTCTTCGCTTGCACAAGTGCTGCATGTTGCACACTGCCTGTTTGACCTTAGCTTGGACGATCGTATTCCTGATTGCAAACTAACCTATAATATAATGCGGTTTGCTTATCTACTATGACCAGTAGTTGACCACTACACTGCATGTTCGAAGAGTGTTGTGTACCCTGAGGTCAGGTCCTGTTGTATCTCCGGTAGTCACGGTATTACTACAGTAAAATCTGTCATGATGACCACTCGGATAAGGCGACCACCTGTCCCAGAAGACAACTGCAGCCAGGCCCAAGGGATGCTATTTCCAGTCAAATGGCACTGGATAAGGAGACCACCTGGTTACAGAGACCACACTTTGAAAGTCCCTTGAGCAGTCGTCTTACACAGGTTTCGCTGCAGTACAGTCGCCCCTCTTCAACCTTGCGCTGTATAAACCAGCGCCCTCAATGAACTAGCATGCGTTTCAGTAACCGAAATATCCCATTACTGTCCGCTGCAGCAGTACATTAGATAAGCCAATTTAGCACCCTCCCTTATCCAATGGAATTTCCGTAGCACAAATGCTGCCGTATCATAAAGAAACCACCGGATAGTGCAGCTTGTGATACGTGATTCTGAACTTTCCCTTGCATTTGGTGTTTGATCTCTCCTGCTGCAGGGCGGCGGGTTTGTATCTCTGCCACAGTTGCCCGCTATGCCACAGATGCCGTCCCTACCATCGGCCCCAGCTCCGACTAACGTTACTAGTCATGTCACCACAGCTCCTAACCCAGCTGACCCGGCGGCCAGCTATGACGGCACTATGCTGTGGAAAGTGAATGGGTGGAGAGAGGTAAGGAGCATGACTATTTCTGTGGTCTGAGTTGCGGGCAATTCCTAGTTACGGGGCAGTGCTTGGTCCCAACCTGCCCGGATCTGGGCAGTTTTACTTTTTTTCATTTTGGTCTTTACTTCTGTCCTCGGTTTGTGTCAGTATGCTCATTGCTCTGCCGTGTGTGCAGGTAGATTCATGTGTAAGGTCGGAAAGTACTGTCCACTGTAGGCTAAGCATTGAACGTGTGTTTTTTGTGTTCTTGTGTGCTGTCTGTGCCTACCATCTAGCTACGCACCAAGGCAGTGGATGGTAAACGTACCTCGGTGTACTCCAGCCCGTTCTACACGTCCATACGGGGGTACAAAGTCCGTGTTCGTCTCTACCCCAACGGGGACGGCATGGGAAGGTCGAATAGCCTGTCGGTGTTTTTCACACTTTGCAGGGGAGAGTTTGATGCTATACTCACCTGGCCATTCACATCTAAGGTAAGGTCCAGTGAACACGAACAGTGCTGGTCAAATATGAAGCTCTTGTTGTTTGGTTTTGTTTCGCTGTTCCGCAAGGTATTTGCATTGCCCCGAGGCTGTGGCTGTTGTCCGGGCCAAGCCCGCTTATGCTGTCCTTGCCGCTCTGTATCCAGTCTGAGAAACATGCCGATGAAGATCGTCTGTCTTTATCACCCCCCCCCCCCCCCCCATGACAACACTTGCCAGGCTGATGAAGCATCGAAATTTTTCTCCCCTGAGCTTGAGTGGTGTGGCGAATTGTAGAAATCCAGTGTCGCCTGTGTGTGAGGCTGGCGCTGGCTATCATGCACTTCGAAGTATGCCTACCGACCTGCATGGTGGCCGATGAAATTCACTTGTGTGTGTGTGTGTGTGTGTGGTATGCAGTGCCTCGCTAACATGCACACGGTCCAGTGTTCATTGTAATGCTGGATCCATGCCATCCCTTGCAGCTGGTGATGCAGAGGTTGTGTGATTAGGCCATCTTTGGAGCTGGTGTCTTGTGTGGAATAGCATCACAACTCTTCTGGCAGTGGTTTACCACTCCACGCAAGGCATGCTTACGTTAGCGTACAGTGATGGCGTTTTCATAGGACCTATGTTGTTATTTATGATAGAAGGGACTCGCACCCAGCTTCATGTCTGAAACAAAAATAGAATGGAGCCAGCCACTTGGATATGCGCTCAAGCAATGCCCGGGTGTGCCATTAACCAATCAACCTTTCGCCCTGATTGTCTGCTAAGCAGGGCATTGCTCTGCAGGCTGTCCACTAGCATAGGATAGATGACAGCCGAGAACTCTGTAATACTCAAATAGAATACCTATGTAATACGTTCAGCCGAGCACTCTGTATTACTCCGAAGAAGGTATCATAAAGATCTATAGCAGGGGCGTCGCACACGGTACGGTCACTACGGTATTGACCGTACCACTTTTTGCTCCAGGTACCCCGTGAACCAAGAAAATACATTGATCTGGGCTCTAAATTTCCAAACATTTCGGCTCAACCACCCCTCCCCCACGAGTAAAGTGTACTTCAGATGGCTGACCATACCACACTAAAATACCTTCCGACGCCCCTGTCCATAGTGACGCTTTAGATTAAATAAAATGCCTATGTTATGTTCAATATCCGCCTCACTAAGGCTATGATCGTTTGGTCGGATCCAGATCCAGATCCAAATCTCAGATCCATCGGATCCTTCAGAATCAACCGAACATTTTTTTGCGGACCTTGGCTGTTGCCATGTTGACGAAGTAAAAAATGGCGCTGACAGGTCACCCAAAAAGGCAAAAGTCGTACTGATCGCGCGCGTCGTACGAAAAGTCAACGAAAGTCCACTAGACGTACGACAATGAGTACAAAAATGATTTTTACCCGCCATATACGCACAAAGGTCACATTTGGATCTGATGGATCCAGTCAACCCTGCTCCCGGGGCAGGGTTGCTCGGATCCGAATCCGGAGGATCTGGATCCGGATTCGACCAATCGATCATTGCAGATCCAGTGGATCCGATGGATCTGGATCTGGATCCGACCAAACGATCACGGCCTAATACTATTCATCTCCCTACAAAAAAACTCTTGTCTCCACATTGCTTACTCTGTATTAGGCCCAAACAAATAATGACTTTGTTTCCGGTCGGTCGACCGGGCCACTTTTTCCCAAATTCTGAAACTTTTTTTGGTCCCAAATGTATACAAACGGTGGCAATGCCATGTGTGCAAGTGCACTCAACGAGTCATAACTCAGTCAAATCTCAACCGAATTCCATAAACGAAACACCTACAAGGTACCAGAGATTCTCAGCTGTCGGCTCGAAAACCTCCGGGGTCGATACGAGCTAGAATAACGGAGCTGGAAGGACTCGAACTGTTTGCTTGATTTCTCAGGATGTACGAAAACAGGAATACACCACATGCTGTACAAGAACAGTGAGTCAGTCAACTCTGACATTGATCCTTGCCATGATAATATCATGGCAAGGATCAATGTCAGAGTTGACTGACTATTATGTATGTACAATGTACATGTGTAGGTGCTCTTGTCCATCAATACCTCAACGATTGAGGAACCAAAAAAAGTATCCAAAAAAAGTTTCGTTCCGGCCGACCGAGTCTCCTTTTTTAGGGGTTGCCGACCGGAAACAAGCCTATTTTTTGTTTTGGCCTTATGTGAATCTATTTGCGTGTGTCTTCTTCAGGTAACATTCACATTGCTTGACAGAGGCGGTACAGGTATGGACCTCTCCGAGAGCTTTGTACCCGACTCCAACAGCTCGTCCTTCCACAAGCCCAAGTCTGACATGAACATTGCGTCCGGGTGTCCTCTGTTTGTGCCGCTGCATCGCGTGAACGACGGCGGGTCGTATGTGCAGAGTGATTCCATCTGGCTGAGAGTTGTAGTTGAGCCGAAAGCTGATGGATAGTGGAATGTACAAGTATTGGCTATGCGGTTGGATTCATGGTTGAATGCGAGTGCATGAGTGAACACGCCTCAGCTTTAGTTATCACGCAAAGAATGCATGCTGCTCGCTCTACTTAGCTGTGGACAATACTAGCAATGCCTGCCTGCAGACCTGGTGTCCCACATTGATCTTGTGACATGGCCTCGTAACTATTGATGCTCCCTAAGCATGAGCAGACGCAACCCAAGATAAAATTTCCTCCTTACTGTCTTCCGCGAAGGACGTGCAGGTGTGACTGTGGTATTGTATCCGGATGGAGTATTATTCTTATGTTGATGACTTGCTGCGGGAATTAGTTGAGCCTTTCTTTTTGTTTTCTATTTGTATACCTTTCTGCCATGCTATGCTGCTTTTCTGAACTGTGAATGCTTCTAAAAGGGTATGATGTACATAATTATAATCTCAAAGTATATATTATTAATTTTGTTGTTGTTGAGAACGACATTAATTTCGTCTTTTTGGCTCACGCAACTTTCTTCGAGCATTTTTCCTCCTGATAGTGCCTGCGTGTATGCGTATCGCAAATTTGTACATAGAGCAACTTAACGTTATAAGATACACTGCTTGTGCTATAACTGTACACATGTGCATGAATTGTATAAGGGAAGAGATCACAGGTATCTATCCTTTTTGGTGATGGACTGTGTTTCATCGATGGTCACCGTTACACGTGCATGTGTGTGTGTGTGTGTGCGTGTGTGTGTGTGTGTGTGTGCGTGCGTGCGTGCGTGCGTGCGTGCGTGCGTGCGTGCGTGTGTTCTGCGGCTGCTGTTGCTACTGCTGCTTGGTATGCAATATGGGAGTCTGGAGTGTGTGTGACTCCATATGGATGGTATTACATGTACGCCAATATGGCAGTGTGTTCTGTTTGTACTTCGAAGTAGCTTGTCGCATACAAGCACTGAGTTGGGCGTACTGTGCATCGACCGCAGTGCTGGCTGGCCACCAACCTTCTGGAATTGTCAATGATTTCCAACGGCTATGTCTTGAGTAAACCACCTAAAAAAAGATGGAAGACATTGCCAGAAGTCCGCTCATGTCATGATCATGAGTATCATAGTATTACTAGTAGTAGCGGTAATGTTGGCAATGCGGAGGGAGGGGTGGTGGAGAGGCAAACCAGTCAATGCAGCCCCCGCTCCGGATCACAACTACTGAAGTATCAACTTGTGTTTGCTTGTTCTTTCAGCCCGGATTTGGCTCGAGGACAGATTCTATCACGCTGAGAGTATACACTGTACACATGTTTACAGTTACCGCCGTTGTTTCCAGTAATTGGTTCGTTATGACATGGAAGAAGAATGACATGTCACGGCGTCAAACAGGCTAGCAACACCAGTACAGTCTACATTGATCACTTCAGCTCTGGCCGTGACGAGACTTTCACTCACTCGGATCGCGGACGGTGTAGTCTGAACATCGCAGCGCAATCAGCCAGGGAGCTGGAGCTGCTTGGAGTTGTGATGTTGATGATTATTGTGGATTCTATTTATGGCTGAGCTTAAAACTGCCTTATAAAGTTATAAATGCATACCGGTACTCGTACATGTAGCTTATGTCTTCTGCACATCACTACAAGTAATACTAGTATCATGATTAAAAGGAACCGGGACTGAATCAGCAACTAAACACCTCAATCTCCTTTGATATCGCTCAGCCAGGAAAGTCGTGAAAGCCTTTATCAAGACCAAACTTCCAAAGTCCAAAGCCAATGCCAACGGCAAAGATCGCATTCATCTCCAATCCCCAGGCCCAGCACAGTGGCGTCAGTGATCATCAGTTTGATGATCAAGCAGCTGCACTAGTATGGTGCTACGACACAGCTTTCAGCCAATCAGCACCCTCCTTGAATTTTCAAGTAGTGCGCATGCTCCACAAATCCTGCATAGCGGTCTTCTTCCTCATTTGCTGTTGTCTCTGGAGTGGAGGGAAGGAGAGTTCGTTCCGTTCCTTTTGCTTTTCCACCTTCAACCCTGTGACTGCGTCGACTGCTACCACTGATTATTTGAAGACGCGTCGCTAGTGTTGTGCTTGCTAGCCTGGCCAGTTGCTAACGTGCGTATGTCCAAGAGCGGAGGCTACGAAACAAAAGTGAGGTCCTGCTCTCATTCTTCATTTTCAATTGGACCTTTTTGCTCTGGTGCTTGCAAGATCTGTATGAAACTTTCTTGGAGACAATGTTTGTTTGAATCGTTCATACAACAGATGCATACGACTGGTAACGGTCGAAACCTCTTTGCAGTGCACTTGTCGGACATTTCTTTTTGGGGTATGCACTTGCTTGCTAACCGTCTATTGAATTGGAATATTCGTTTGTCAAGTGTCCCGAAGATTTGTTTGTGGTCTGCGTGATTCTCTTCCTTTTCAGATGGTCTCCCCAACTTCAAGGCTCGAGGGCATTTCGCTTGTAGGCTTTCAGCGATGGCCGTGCTGCTAAAAAAACATCAGTTCGCGCATGCGCAACCAACAACATGGTGGCAACGTTTCCCGCTCGAACGGAATCGTTCTCAGAACCTCAAAAATTATACTGCTCTTGTTCTTGGACTGCACGCCACGGATGCACCGGCTAAAACCAATCCTCCAATCTTCGTTGCCCTCATCTTCAGCGGCATGGCTGGCGGCCGACGTTCAATCCGAAACAACTGCGGGCGGTGAAGGACTTCAGCGATTCTCTTCCGGTAATTCTGAGAACGGACAGGCATCCAGGTTCGCTAGTTTGTAAGTGTGAATTCAAAGTGACGCCGAATTGTTTTGTCGTTTCTTCCGAATGCAGTTTGTTGTCAACGTACTCGCTTGCACCTTCAATTGGCATGCACTATCTACGATGTTTCCGCATTGGTCTCGAAAGGGCCTCTTCTGTTCTTTATTCTTCGTTCATCGTGTTCGTAGGTGGAGGGCAGTCTGACAGTATTTTGCTCCACCAATCGTCGTCGGACGTCGTGAGACCGTTGCAGTCCAGTGAGTACTCGCTCGTTCAGTCGTTGCTCTACCGGTCTGCCGAATCGACATCCACGTCCGGCAGAGTGCACCGGCGGCAGCGTCGTGCCCGGCCCGCTCTAATGATGGTCTCCTTACTAGGACCATTTTGCTCTTGACTCTACTCGGGTATGTAGTGGTCCTTCGTAGTGCTAAGCCTAACAGTAAGGCCAGTAAGGGCCTGTTTGCAGTGCATGAATTTACAAGTAGTTTTAGATCGTGTTGGCACGAGCAGAGTCTAAACATGCTATGGGATATAACCTGTAGGGGAAACCGGATCTTTCCGATCATTCCTCCGGCTAAGCGGAAGTCCTTGGTATGGTGCTTCATTTTTTCAATAGCCCAGATTGCTGGTGCGTTCTGTGTGGTGTTTGTGTCGAGTGGGGCATGGCGTGGGTTGGTGATGGTAGAGTTGTCTCCACGAGTGTGCCTATCATTTTATGAGTTCCATGTCTTTTTATCATTTTCTTCTTTTCATTTCTTTCTGCGAGAGTGGAGACTCTTCTACGTACCTCCACCCCACTCCGTGTCTCATGTCGAGTACCTTCAGGGAAACATCTTTGGGGTAAACAATGCAATGTTCTGTTCGAATGAATGATCAAAAGCAGATGGAACCACCATACCGATAGGATTTCGTATTCGTTTTAGCATTGTTCTCAGAACAAGTTTAACATGACCGATGTCTCGCATGACAACTTCCCAATCATGAGGCCTAAGATGCTGGACGGGGAAGCTCTGTGGCACGGGTTGAGCCATTCTAAATTCTTCACGGGAACCTTCCCTGCAACGCCCTGGCCGTTCAAGATGTGCAGTGTGCTGGTCAAAATTGGACTCACGATAGGGCGCAAAATACGTTTGTCCCCAAAATAGTACGAGCTTTGATCGCTTGCTTTGTTTTACTGGTGTTGGTATGCGAGAGTACGAGTATGCATGCGGCTGTGAGCATGTGACTCTCGTGAGCGATCTAATACAGGTTACCAAGTGACAAGCTCAACTCTCCAACGAAGAAAATGAACTCACAGCAACCGCAAGCCGCTTTGAGCAATTCTGTGATGTTTGTCTGTTGTTAGGCTAGCCTATAAGACAACTTTTAGCAACCAGGGGCATATAATATTGAAAGCAATAGAAACTATCGCAGACCCGTGCATGCACTGCAAGGGGGTGGGCAGTACGATGTTGTTCCTAACTTGCCTAGCAGAAGTCACTTCAAGTAACCAGTGTCCGACTTAAGGGGAGCTTGAGGTTACACCGTCAGGAAGGGCACCATGAGCTATACACTAGACCGTATTTCTGGAGTTCAAGACGTACCCAGAGTTTTGTTTACAAAAATATAGACGTCTACCCTCTATCCCGCGTTTCATTTGACCAGCGTAGCATAAGCCGCACCGGCGTTTTTTGGGGCCATTATGAGTGTTTAAAGTGTGGCTTATACTCCGGAAAATACCGTAAAATTAATAGCATTGTTACTATGATTTGGATATCTAAGCACCTTGAGTTGCAGTGCAGCAATTAGTATTTGTCGAAAATCATGCAACGAAAGATAGGGAAACGATACGGCACCTGCAGCATTTGAAAACGCTGAATTTTTTTAGGAGTACCCAGAATCACATTGGTGTTATAATGGCCTGAACTCTACTTTGTGCCGAAGTTGGAGCAGACGTATGACCTAAACTTTACTCCCTGCACTACAATGCTGAATTCAATGTATTGCACCCAATCAGAGGCGACGGCCATGACAGTATTGATCACCCCACTTGTTTTGCCCCGCGTACCCCGTGACGGAGTGGAATGAAGTGATCTGGGCTCTAGATTACACAGAACAGCAAAGCACTAGTCTAGCTTGGTGCAGCTCTGGGTTTCATGCAATTATCAGGCAACAAAAAAGATTCTGTTGCTGGCTGTTGCTCTAAATTTCAAACAAATCTACGCGTGGGTATCGTAAATGCTGAATACACCCCTGGAGTACCTTCCGACACTCCTACCAATGCGATGCAGTGGCTCGGAAGCGGCTAGACTTTCGCGCAGACAAAATGTGCCAGGCGTCAGATTTAAAAATGGCCGGGACTTCACTTCCTTTCTCGCTTGCAGGATCCCCCATAGAGCTGCCAAGCATCCACGTTCTTCCATATTTGAATGGAAACCACCCATGGCTTTGCCACTTTTGATGGGAAATTCACAAAAATGTATGAGATGTGTGAAAACATGCTACAGCATTGCAAAAAGTGCCGATTGTGCCAAGAGTCTTCAACCAGATGGGCTGCCTGTAGGTAAATTTCATGCTGAAGGGAAAGACACAATCTTAACATGGTGATTTATGATGGCGTTAGTGCACTTTGCTCAAATTAGATGCATTCTCGTGTAGTGTACTGTATACAGTGCGGAGTTATAGGCATATTGCATCAAAGGAGACAACAGCAGTGAATGGAGTTGCTGAATAATTATGGGTTTTGCACCCAGGCAACTTTAAGTCATTCTCCATTAGGAGGGGCCGATTTATCCACCCTCGCATACTGCATCAATAGTCCGAGCTTCATGTTGGGGTAAGCACGTCCGCACTAGCCCGATTTTTTGGCCAATATTGAATTGTACGAAGAAGAAGAAAACCCTCCAGATCGGCACGAAAATCGCCTGGTGAGGATCGTGTTGTCGTACATGTCTCCG